ATGCTTTCCTCACTGATCCTTTGCCCTTCCTACGCCAGCTGCCACGAACCCCCCGGGAAAGAAGCGTCAGACAAGCAACCACTGCAATACTGCGTTACGAAGACCGAGATGTTTGATTCTGACTTATGAAAATAGCTCTTACCGAGATTAAATGTCCGAAAAGACTCTGCGATGGCGCCAGAAGCCGTTGCGGTGAGCGCTGCTAGGTGGCCGCGTGCCAAGTCTACAACGTGGATAAAATCGCGAACCGCAGTGCCGTCTGACGTTTCCCAGTCTGTGCCGAAAATCTCCAAGACTGGTTTTGTACCTGTAAGCACCGTTGCAATCACCGGAATGAGATTGCTGGGCCTTTGTCTTGGATCTTCGCCGAGCAGTCCCGACTCATGACAACCAACCTAGGATGATTAAAGACCGTACATGTATAAGAAAGTAATTAAGGGAAGAGAACACCTACTGGGTTGAAGTAGCGAAGCGATATAATCGACCACGACCTATCGGATTTCGCAATATCCGCAAGAATCGCCTCGCACATGAACTTCGTCCGGCCGTAAGGAGATGTAAGCCCGAGAGCGCCAGGTCTTGAAGTCTTCTCACATCCGTCGTCGTCTAAATAAGTCTCTGGATGATGTACGCAAAACTCTTCCCTCAATGGAATGCCGGATTTTGCGCGGTCGCCATATACCGTTGCTGATGACGAAAACACCAAGTTTTTGACGCCAAACTCCTGGAGAAGAACTAGAAAATCGACCAATCCACAGACATTGTTCGCGTAATACTTCAAAGGATTCCGAATACTCTCCTCGACTGATTTGAATGCTGCAAAGTGTATTACACCTGAGATTTTGGATTGTCGTCTAACGAGATGTTCGTTTTGATGTTCATGCTGGTAATTCGTTTCTTCCGCTGGTATTTGGCCTTCCAGTTCGACTGCTGGCGCTGAAAGTCGCATTTTCTCTTCAATCGTAGTCGATGTCAGATTGCAAATCGCACTAGGTGGTACATCGTATTCCATCTGAGTTCCAAAAGTGTGGATTGAGTAGCTGGCTAGTATCGACCTCATTGAAGGACTTCTGTAATCTAACCGGTGGAAGTGGAGTTCAGGCATGGATCGATCGAGAGTCGCGAAGTAATCTGCCGCCAAAGCTTTTATGCGATGAAGAACGCTTTGGTATGAATTGCTCAGATCATCGATGATAAGCACGTTATACCCATCTTTCAGTAACTCTAGAACAGTATGCGATCCGACATACCCCAGACCTCCGACAACCATGATGACCCGAGCGTTTCGGCCAGCAATATCCAATGGATCTTCGACAACGTCATCGTCAAAGAGAACAGATTTTTGAGTGTCTGGTGTGTTCAGAGTCTCTGGGGAACTGACGTCGGACAACGATGAGAGCGAAGGTGATGGGCACGATGTCCCCGGAGAAGGGCAAGCATCCATTGGATATAAACGATTGTTGCGCGTGCAGATCTTAGCCAGCAAAGCGAAGGGTATGCGGAAAGCCTTATATGTGCACCGGAAACATCACCGAATTGCGCCACTTGTTCTCAAATTGGCAGAAGCAAGCTCCGCGCGAGACTTGTTCCGTTCAGATCAATATGAACAGTGTCTAGGCAGCTCGTGGCGTGCTCCGTTCGGTTCAATCGCGCTTATTTGTGCTCGGAAGGGCCGCCATTTCGTCCGTTTCCGCAAAGCACTTCCACCATAAGCTGACCCTGGTGCAATTTGTTGCCTGCGGACTACCAATCTCGACACTTAAAGGCAATTGCGCGCCTGGGGGATTCTATGCCCATCCCAAACGCACTCTGCAATATCATACTTCAAAACCTCTTCAGTGGCTTTAGTCTAGTCATAACTCTGGATGCCTTGCTTTTCGACTGCCTCCACCCAAGTGGCACAAATAAGCACGTTCCTCAAGCCACGGCGAACATCTCATGAGACATCCCTGCGGATCACGTTTGGCTGACGTCTTGCGCATGTCGAGGCGCGTTCATGTACTCTTCTCCATTCTTCCAGCCGCAGCTCTGCTTTGGGGATAAGAAGCCCATTTTATGCTATTTTGAGCCCAGGCTACGAAATGGCACCTAAAGCTTCAGTGTTGCTTCCACTCTACATCTACCCATCACCCGGCGCATGGCAGCCGTTATATCAAACGTATGGATGAACCTTAAATTCTCATCAGCTCTGAGCCGCAATATGCTTATTTGAGGTCACAATAGAGCCGTTCAGTACCCAGGTGTTGACTTCACAATAATCATCAACCCCAATAGCGGACCAGGTGATGGGATGCTGCCAGATGCAAATTACACGCATGGTGTCGCCACCTTGAACAAGCTGGACAACGTCCGCACCATTGGCTACGTCGCAACCAATTGGGGCCAGAAAGATGCACAGAAAGTACTTCAGGAAGTAACCACTTACTCGGGATGGACTAGCCAAGATTCGTCTGTGGCACTGGACGGGATCTTCTTCGACGAAACGCCCGCTCAGTACCATCCAGATCACGCTCAATACCTGCTGAAGGTTTCCGAGGCAGTTCGCGAGGCAGATGGCTTCGGCTCCGGATGTGTTGGTGAGTGGCTCAATCTCCCATGGTGTCCGTTCAACAAGTCGTGATTCTGAGGCTGACGTACGACATAGTGCACAATCCAGGATGCGTTCCAGCCATGCAATACTACACGGACCCCAGCTACGTGACGCTCGCCGACGTGACGGTAGTGTTTGAAGACGCATACCAGACGTGGCTCAGCCGCCAATCAAACCTGACATCGACCTCGCTTCCGTTCGATCACGGCAAACTCGGATGTCTCCTTCACTCTGTACCACTCATGACGGAGCGAAGCCTCTCGGCGTTGATAGAACAGGTGGCGGGCGTCGGCGCTCACGTGTATCTCACGGGCACCACCAACTACACCAGCTTCAGCCCCCAATTTCCGACATTTGTGGACGCGTTGGATCGCCTGATCAACTAGATACGTAGGGTTTCAGGCAGCTGGAGAATTCGAGAAACACGTTCCTTCTGGGCAATGGTGGCACGGAGAGGAGCCAATGCAGCTTGTATATTGGTTCATGCATGATGCCAGCATGACAGCGTTGCAATGAATTGTGGAGGGCCCAGAAACAGCAGACCAGCATATTCGCCACAGGTGGCCTTGCTTGATATTGAGGCTTTGCGAGCTCGCTCGAAGACAGCAGCTATGGTCCTGGCTTCACAGTACGCTTTGTGGGTACGGCACATGCAGGCAGAGTTGCACTGCCTCGTGGGCTAATTGGGAACCGAAAATGCCGGATCAGTGGAGCTGATTTCAATATTGCAGACTCCAATGATGCTTCTGGGCTAATTATACTCTTTCCAACAAACCCAGCATGTCGTGGCCTCGTAGCTAGTCCACGAATCGTCAAACCCAAACCTACCTACAGCCCCGATGCTAAAGAAAACACACGGAGCTTATTCGATGGAGTCTTTCCACCTTGAAAGCGCGCAAGGGATGTCCACCAGGCTATGGTGAAGCCCGCTCCTACAGCAAAGCGGGAAAACCACGGACCAAAGCCCGGCGGGATAAGAGCAGTGAAGGCGGGATAAAAGCAGTGAATCATGAAGTGCATGCAGCGAATCAGAAGCGTGCCACATGGGTGGGAAGATGGCCCCACAAGAAATGCGGAGGCGGCGCCACTACCGGGTCCACTGCAAGGGCACTCCACTCGATCCCCCGTCGTCGTGGGAGTTAAAGCAGCGAAACGGGTGGGAAGAACAACGACGACAAGGTTTCGCCCCGCTGTCTTGCCCTGCCACCACCTGTCACGCCCCTCGACGCTCTGAGACAGTTTGCTGTGCTTGACGACGTGGCATTCGTCCCGCACGGCCCGCGCCTCAGGGGCCGTCTCTCGCAGAGGGAGCGAGCAGGTGTAGCGGCAGCTGACGGACCCAGCCCAATCAACGCAGCATGCTGAGAAACAGCACCCTCGCCCCCTTCACCCAGTGCCACCATACCGGGACTGCACGAGAAGGCAGAGGTGGCACAGCACTCAAGTTGAGGCACACTCACGTCTGGCTTCGGACTCGACGCCTCCGAGCGGCCGACCATCTACCCAGCACCCAGCACGCTCCCTTTACGGGGGAGTGGCGTGGGCCGCGAGAACTGCCACATGGTGGTGGAGGCTACAGTGCTCCATGAAACGAGGCCGTGAGAACCATCGGGTGAGCATAACGTGACTTTTCTTATTCCTATTCCCATCGCTGACTCTCCTCTTTCTCCGTCGCAACACCCTCCCTCCGGTCTCTCGATTTGATTCCCCATATAGCTCTTCTAGAACAAGCGAGCCGTTGTAGGGCCAATATTGCATGCACTGCAGATCCCTTGCCATGCCCTGTATCTACTTCGCTCACCGAGAGCCATAGCATCACTGCAAGGCCTCCTTGCGCCATTGCTTCGATTCGATGCATGCCGCCCTGCATGCATTACCAGAGCTGGTTTATTAAACGGCCACTGCATATGTTTACGTACAACTTTCCAGGTTAGTGTTGCGTGTCTGCATGCTGCAGATCTTTTTCATCAGCCATGGGGCTCTGGGCAGGGTGGCGAGGAGGCGACCCCCCTGAATATCAGACCAGCCATTTTTGGGGGCCTGCGGAAGGACAATCAGGGCGTTCAGATGGGGTCTCGGTTGCTCAGCCATCCGGGCGAAGAAAGGGTTAGACCTTGGGTAACTGTGAACGCGTGCTGGAGCTGACGCCGTGGCACCCTTAAACATCGTATGTTAAAGAGACCTCTGGAAAATTGGCGGGCGCGCGTATGCAAGCTAGTCACGTTTACCGACGGAATGGCTCTCACAACATCTGCAGCCTCCTCGTATTTGCCGTTTTCGGACGCTCGCTATACCGTCCTCTCGCTGTAACACCGCAGCAACCAGCTGGTCTTCTGCAGACCACCACCTCTCCTACCTCGCAAGCTCGCCTGCAGTCCTCCATGAGCTATATCCAGCATCCCCATCGTCCTCCCAACGCGCGCGGCTTATATTACGCGCAATCTAACCCCGCAGATATCGGTGGCTTTGGCTAGATCGAGCCGCCTCCTGCATCCATTCTACCCGGGTGGTTCATCTCGATGCTTGGGGCAACGGCGGCAGCCAACTGCCCCGCACCCCTAGCTCGTCGTCCCGCGTCCGACGTCTGCGCTCGTTTTCCTACACGCGGCAGCACCCAGCCCAGACCCTCGTCGCGCTACACGACAAAAAGCCCGCACAGGTGCGAAACGCGCGCTGGAACCGCGGAGGTGAGCTCCGCGGCGCTACCGCCCCTCAGGACAGTAGAAAAGAAAAGCGTTTTCTAGCTCGAGTTCAGCAGCGTGGTGAAGGCCGCGTAGTTGCAGTACTCGACCCACCCGTCCAAGTCCGTGAGCTTGATGACGGTGCTGAAGTTGGCGGCGTCGGCGGCGGCGCCGCAGTAGTCGTTGACCTGCGTCGTGGAGACTTTCTTGCCCGCGTCCGGGTACTCGATGTGGAAGACGGGCTTGTGGTGCGTGATGAAGGCGGTGAAGTTGGAGCACTCGGCGTACTGGGCGCATTGCTCGTTAACGCTGAAGTGGACGAGGGGGAGGACGGCGTCGATGATGGCGGCGGCGTTTTTGAGGCCCAGGGATAGTTTGTGCGTGAGGGTGGCGTTGGAGAGGAAGGAGAGGAAGGCGATGCTGTCGGCTGGGGTGAGGGAGAGGCCGTTGTTGTTGGACTAGGGGTGGGCGTTAGTCGTATTGTAAGTACTTCTTAATGTTTGCTCTTTTTTGACGTTCTGCGCGAAAACCAGGCAAGGAGAGGAGAGGGAGCGGAGAACGTACATATCCATCTACATTATCCGGATCAACCGCATCACAGCCCTTCTGCGCAGCCAACTCTACCCTCTTCGTCATGATGTTCCTCACATTCGTGCTGTTGAGGTTGAGCCAGTACTCCCCGGGCCACCCGTCCATCTCCTTTCCCTTATCTGCATCCTTGAAGTCGCCGCTGTCCGGCCTGTCTGGCTCATAGCTCCCAGCACTGAAGTAGCAAATCACCTTCTTCCCCAGCTTGTGCAGCGTGGAGATGACCTCAGCGCCGTTCGTGAAGAGGTCGATGTCATACACCTCGACGTCGGGCGTTATGGACGCTGCGTCGGACGACAGCTCCAGCGGGTTCTCCAGCACAATCTGCCAGGTGCTGTTGACGGTTGGTGTCCATGCGGGTTGCACGGTGGGGGATGGGAGGGGAGAAACAGTGCTTGTTGGAGCAGAAGAGGGGGCGGAGGGGGTGCTTCCGCTCCCTCCACGGGTTAAGCCAACGCCAAGGCCGATTGCAAGGGCGATGACGATGATGACCAGAACAGCGCAGACAATGAGGCCGATGCGTTTGCGGCGGCTGCGACGCGCAAGTGGGGGGTTGGTTGGTTTGGAGGACATTGTAGCGTGTGGTCAGGGGTATTCGCCAGCAGTTCTGGAGACCAACGTGTGGAGAGTGTCTTGAGAATTGAGATGTTTGTTTAGGGATATGTGGAGATGAGCGCGACTCGGCTTTAGACTTGTATGCCAAAATCAGAAGTTATAAGTTGCTGCGATACAGGAGTGAATTGCACCTCTGCAAGTGCTGATGGTGCAGACGTCGTCTGCTTTCCCGCGACGGTCGAGGCTGAGCAGAGGGAGTAGAAGTAAGAGAAACGAGCGACGTTGAAAGAAGAAGCTAGAGAGCTGTTACCTTGGTAGTGAAGGATTTTAGCGCAATGAGTCGTGGGCTTAACGTGCTCTTTTTGGCGGGAGTGAGGCTGAGCAGACAAGCTTAGCTAGGGAATGTTAGATTGCGTGGGCTGACGGCACCGGGTCTGCAGGAGGCTAGGCCTATTCTACCGGGCGCGGTATGCAGCTGTGTGTGGAGGGAGAGGTATGGGAGAGGGCGATGCGCTGGTTGGGAGTGACAGCGTGGTCAATACCTTGGTAATGCGTGCATAAAGGCAGCCAGGGAGGTTTACAAACAGCTGCAATAAATCTAGAAGTGCAACTGCAGGCGATCAACTGCGCCACATCGGGAGACGAAAGCGGGCCAAACGGTTTCCTAAGCTACATACGGACACGGGGCTCATCGCAGCTCAGGTGGTGCACACGCTATGAGGCTTCAGCCACCATCTCTTGTCCATCCTACAGCGTGGATATCCTGCAGCCACCCACCAAGGCCTCGATCACGGGTCGTCATCGTTGAGAACCAGGGCATCGCCATCATACCACCACAGCAGTTACACAACCTTATTGACTTCCCTGCAAAATCGTTCGACTTTTCCATTTTGGAGCTTAGGCAGCCGAATAAAGACGGACAGGGTTGTCATTAGGTAATCTGTTCATCCGGTTTGGTAGTTACTTGAATTCCATTTTATAGTTTCTGAATTATATTTTGACACCCCACTCAGACTTTTCCCCTGCCCACTATTGCAGACATGGCGATACGATGATGCCGGAGAAATTGCATACCCAGCGCCAAGCCAAACTCTCGAGGACCCGCGAATAGGAAATGTAGGAGATGCCTCTACAACTGGATCGCCGTCGTCAGGGTGTACGTACGGGCGGACCCGCTCATCGTGACCCAAAGCGTCAGAGGATCCGTTCCGACCTGCTCCGTGGTCGCGCCGCTAGTCGACGTGACGGGGCCGGGGAAGGTTACGGGAATCGTCGTCGCGCAGGTATTGTCGTTGGCGGTGACTGTCACGCTAATGATTGACTTGCCGTCCTTTGAGAGGTTGTAATTGATGTTAGGGTTGCAATTATCGCGTGTCTGGCGATTGACGAATTGCAGGGCGAGATCATCGTGCTTTAAAGTGATGAATGGCCAGGTGACGCTGCTCTTGTTAGAGTGGTAGTCATAAAGGGAGGGGGGATGCTTACAGTCTTGTCATCTCTGCGACGACAGTCTCAACCCATATTTGAAGCAAAGAGAGCTGTTGTGAGCTTCCGTTTACTACGGTGCTTGCGACGTCGGTCTGCCTTAGGTTTGCTTGATGGAACATGTACCTGTGTGGCATCAGCGGGAATACCGCTGTATAGACAGAAGGGTCCTACTTACGGGTCCCAATGCAACCCGAGAAGATGCCGGGTGTTCGTTGCTTTAGCGTCTGCAAGAAGGTTGTCAAAAGTTCCACTGCCTGCAGACGTATTGATCCATTCGGCCAAAGTACATGCCGGTAAATCACAATTGTAATAGATGGTAGTTGCCCATCGAGGCACGATCACTAGACCGTCATACCCGTTCGCAGTGAGTGTGGTTATGAGCGGCCAGAATGGGTTTTGAGTATTCAACAGCACTGGGCGGGTATTGTCTCCCACCACATACTTGATGTTGGAGACTCCGTTGGTCATCCATGCCCGTATGGCGTCTCCGTTGTGAAGTCCGGTAATGGCGGGCGGGATGAGACCACTTGCACTGAACCTATTGGCGTTCCATATGCCCACTTGCTTGAGCCAGGCAATGTTGAATGTTATTTCTTTCAGAGCGTCCGAGTAAGTAGCATTGTCTAGGGATTCATGTGTGCTAAAGAAGTTCAACAAGAGCTCTGCAAAAAGCCACATGAGTACTTACAAGGTGTGAGAGATGTGCGAAAACGCGTTGAGATTTGATGCGGTCGCGAACCACTGTTCAAGTGCATCAAGTTTAGCACAAGCCAAACTCCATGTGTACGACGTTGGGGTTGTGGGCCATATGTTTGTGCCAGTCCCAAGAGGCTTTTGGAATTCTAAAGGGGTATCGATCTGGTCGGCGTATTCAATAGCAGTGTCTGGTTTGCAGGTAGACGAGCCAGCTGTATCGAGAGCAGCCTCAATGTCTCCGTTCCCATTGTGGCCAATTTCGATGACATATTGGGAGCCAGAGGGCAAGCGGGTGTTGAGGTTAGCTTGCCAGGTGACATGGTTGCTAAGATCGTCGGGTCGGATGCGGAAGGTTGTGTTAGCTGGGGAGTATATATCGGTCTCCAAGAACATGTCGTCAACTTGCGTGTTGAAATAGACTCTCCGAAATCCCACGTAGAGGCCCCTGGTCATCCAATGGATCCAAGCATGCTGGAGGAAATTCGATGCCGGGGACCAATCCTGCGCAAACGGCAGGAACCAGACCTGCTGTTGACGACCGCCAATGCTGTTGACGACTGCAGCTGTGCCAACCGTAGAAAACTGTGCAACTTCCCAGGCAATTGAAGTATTGGTGATTGTTGCTGGATAATGCCAGATTCCGGCAATGCTGACCTGTGCATTGCTTGAAAAGGTTTAGCATTGTGTCCGCTCTCGGATTGTACTAGTCATGGGGGCTTACGTTTTGATGTTGGCGGTAGGAAAATCTGAAGAGTTGGTGATGCTGACGGGTTCATCGTTGCCGTTGCCGTTAACGTCGATAACGCCAAAGTCTGCCGAAGGGAAAGCATCAACCCGAACCATTCGAATTCCGAACGCTACCTGATAGTCGTAGAGTTGTTGCCATTGGGACTCTGTAAGTGCACTGAGAAACTGTTCGTTGTAGTCGTACGAAACCTCGCTCAAGACGAGAATGCCACCGAAGTTACCGGCAGTGGTCGAAGAATTCAGCTGCGGAAGGGTCGCGCCGGTTGAGGGTACTAGAAGTGTCTGGAAAGGAATGCCATAGCCTTGAAGCCCAGAGTATCCAACCGCTGCAGAAGCCGCATCACGTGCAATGACAAGGACAGTACTGGATACACTGGCTGAGCCTATTGCACGTTCTTCGACAAAAGGGGCAGAAGTCACGACGCCTGACAGTGCCAAGGCTGCTACTGCACATGCAGTAAAAGGTGAAAAGACAGGAGACATTACCGCGACGAGAAGGAGTGACGTTTTGGCAAATAGATTTGACTGCCGTTAGGGTCTACAGGGAAGCCTTGGGGCATTAAAAGGATTTCAGATTCATGAACAAAGATCGTCACGACAGCTTCGATCGCAGGGAGCGAAAGTTTGTGCCAATTTGAGTGCCTGTAGGTTTCCCTTACCGAGGGCAGAACTTCTCTTGCAGTCACGCGAGGGCCTCGATCAGTTCATGACGCGGCGTGAGAAGCCTCACCACATCGGCGAGCGTTCAATACGGTCAAGCCCAATATTGACGACGTTGCATGCGTGGACGAATGGTGCCGCAAAAATGGCGAACGTTCTGTAGCTGAGCACAGAAACAAGTTTGGAAGGGTACAAGGATAGAAAGACAGGGGAGAGTGCATCATCTGTAAGAAGGTTTGCTGACTATGCGCAAGCAGTAGGTCTGGCCGTGTTGGGAAGAAGTGAGCGAGCTAAAACATGCTTCATTTTGGTGGAATGTGAATACTCCGAGCTACATGCTGCTAGTGCGTACACTGCAGGGTTACTGCAGGCGGTGCATCTACCGAGCGCAACTACTACCCTGATTGTGGTCAGTCCAGAGCTGGAGCCCACGAAGCCCGAGCAGTGGCTCTTGGATGGCCGATGCTTTCTGGAGCTTGACATGAGGCCTCGATGACCACAGAGGACTAGAATGATCCATGAAGACGTTCTGCTACGGATGACTTAGGATATAGAATATGAAGACGCATCCTACCGATAATAAAGGGGTCAATGCCTTGGTGAAATGAAAAGCCATCTACCGCTCATCTGCTGCCCACTATATTCTAGCAGGCGGCATTCTAGCGGCAAGGCTGGCCGTCGGCATGATGGGCCAGTTGCCTGTCGCCCACGGAGCAAGGCCTGGTGGTAGTATGTGACAGGAGGTGGTGAGAGAAGGGAGGAGTGGCCGCGACATCAGCGCGAGGAAGGTTGAGCCGGCGGCTTAAAGTGGAGATCGATGGCGCCGCGTGCATTCTCAGGGGGGCTTAAAGCAGCATCAGCTTGTGCATTTGGTGTCTCCTTGGCACGAAAACCCCGAGGCTGAACGCCACAGAATGCCCTCACCATGTCTCCTCTCTCTCCACATCCGTCCCAGCCGCTCCCGACCCCAATATTCCAGCTGGGTAGCCTGGAGAGTCTGGCTCCTGCACCATGTTGCTGTCTCCCCAATTCGTTACCGCGTGGGCGGGATATTCTCATCTATTCCTGGACGCCGTGCTCGGATGAGAGGCGATTACAACATTGCCAACTCGTCCACGCCTCGCTCTTATCTCCTCTTTCGTCGCCATGACACGACATCTGTCTATTTTCTCCAGTCGCCATTGTTCGAGCTGAAGCGCCATGGCCATCCTGTCTCGATTTCGTGACAGCTAGCAGGACCCTTCCTCGGCCGCCCAGTATGGGGTCCTGTTTGCGGCATCCATGTTCCGGTAGACGTCTCCCATAGTAATGCACTCGTACCCTAGGTCTTTTCCCTGTTCCAATCTGCACTTCTCTCAGTCTCTGTTAGTGATGCTTCGCATGGCCGTTCGTTTTGTGATACCGGTAATTTTTATGCTCAATCTCTTGTTCCCTTGTCCTCTCGCTACTCTTTCTGTGCCTTGTTGAGACCAATACCTAACCCCGTTTGGGCTGCCCAACGGCTTGGGATGGTGGTTTGGTAAGTCCATCAAGCCGTCTACCTCGCCGCTGCAGACCTTCGGTGTCACAATGGTCCATATCTTGGGTATTAGCGCATTCAGCCAAGGTCCCCTCCAACACTGGTGGCAGTGGGCTCTTGTCGCAATTGTCGCATCAAGCGCCCTCTTAGGGATACTTTCTTCTCTCTGGGTTGTGACTCAGGCCACTCGCGCTTATTTCAAGGTATACACAATGAACCCTTCTACGACTAGTTCTTAGTTTGCCTAACTCTTCTACTAGAAGAAAGCAAAAGCTTACTCAATACCTCGTGGCACCTCTCATCGTTTACGAAAAATCACTGCAAGCACTGTGCACAACTGTTCCCTGCGGCCCTTGCCTTCAAAACCATCTAATTTCGGTGTATACCTCGGTAGCCTCTCGATACCCCCAACAGAAGATCAACTTACGCTGCTATCGCGATGGGATGCCATTATACTCGATACCTCGCAACCAGGGGTGATAGAGGCCCTGGACTGTGTCAGCAAACAGCTACCCCAACACGTCATAGACAGGCTACATCTCGAGGAATATCTTGACGCGAAAGTTGACCACAATAATGAAGTCATATCGAAAAAGCTCAGTGAAGTCTTCAATACCATACAGAGTTGTGGAAAGCTTACTGGTATTCTCATTGCAGGGTGGAGAACAATGGACAACGCGGTGGACCTCGTGGCCAAACTGATCAGCTCGTATGGTCTCGAGGTTTATTTGGAGGTTGGTCCCCCTGACTTCTTAGAAGGTAGAAGCCCAAACTTGAGCCTCTTTTCAGGACTAGTGGTGAAAAACGCTACTATCCTGCTAAATGGGGAACGGCGTGACTATTTCGAGATGTCAAAGATGAGAAGCACCACAAAGGCATTCGTTTCCGAGTCGTGCCGCAGGCCCTTCCTTGTAATGATGTGGGAGACCATTGACGATGATGCACGGCTTTCCCACGCAGTTCTGAGAAGGAGTTATATGTGGTGCGGGTATCACGGGGCCTTGCCGTGGATCGGCCGTACTGCATCCATTACAGATGCGTCACGCTACGACTCTTTCATGGAGCCTCTAGCTGCATTCCAATGGCTCAAAGACCGTAAAGTAATGGCCATCCATGAGGTGTTTCGCACAAACCAAAATGTCAGTAGCTTGCGGTCATCCACGTCACCTGGCTCTTTTTCAAAGGATGTTTGACTGATGAGTCCCCAAACAGCTCAAACCCACCATTAACCTCCGTCTCGAGGCTGATCAATCCTTCTTGTCTCTGTTTCCAAGCATGCAAGATATTTTTGATATAGCGCTCGATGATACAGCCTCCGATAGAGCCTCCAATTTAGACGGTCGACTCAGCTCCTCCACCGTCACTCTGCAAGATCGTGGGACAGAAGACCATGGAGACCACAATCTAGAGAATCTAGATTTCGAAATGCCTGAATGGGCAGCATCCATGCCCAGATGCGCAGTCAATCCACTCTCCTGCTCCACATCAGGTACACTCTACGAATGTTTTGGATGCTTTCCAATCGGACTTGATGTCAATCTAAAAGACCTCGAGGCCATTCTAGAGTCGCAGAGAAGATTACGGAGACTCAACCTCCTCGCCAGACCTTCAAAAACTCAACTCGATGACGCTGTGGCATCTTATGCGAGGCTCGCGGAATGTGACGGTATGACCGTCGACATACCTGCACACATAAGGCATAGTATCCGCGACCTTGTAGAGCGGCTAAGCAAACCGTCCGAAGAAGCCCACAAAAACCAGATTGAAGTATACATTGGACTTGATTCTGGTTTTCGAACGCCCGCCGGCGCTCAATTCTGGGCGATCCATGACGCTAACCCTTCCTCTGGTTCGTCTCTGATCTACGTTTCAAAATCAGTACAAGACTTGACTGGAGTCCTTCTTCACACCTATTTAAGCAGCTGTAAATTCTCGCGCTACCAATGCTGTGTTGCAGAATTCGCGCTACACAATCTCGAGTATACGCCGGGCGATCGATTACCAATGCCCATCCGCTTCCACAACGATCTGGAAATCTTATCTCCATCGGATTTGCTACTCTTCTTACAACACATGAGGTTCTCAGACTCGGATCGAGACTCCGCGCTGCTGGCGGTGATCCGTGCGAGTTGCCAAAACCTTTTAATCAACCAGCCTTCACTCGCGCAACTAAAGCGTAAATGTAACACGGATTACCTCAGTGGCGCTTGCACTGATGAAGACATAGTTACGGCAAGGCTGGACTGGTACCGCCAGTTGGACTTTGACACTATCAGCAAGGAAAGCGGCATTGAGATATTCCGTCAAGTTCATCATAGATTCGTAGACCTGCTGAACAACCGAGACTACGATAGTCTTGATCGAATTAATTCCGAATTGTCCAAGCTGGTCGAAGGAGGCTCGATAGATTGGCGCACAGATTTCGTTCTTTTTTGCGTGCTTTCCGCAGCGAAAAGGTTGGCCTTCGAAGAGGTATACATAGAGGTTCAGGACAGAAACCCTCTCTTCAATCAGTTCTCCGACCAAAGCGCTGCTTTTGCTGAGCTGTTTGCCCTCGGATCTCGATGCGAAGCTTACTTCGATGTCACCCCGAGCGATTTTGGCGTGCTGCTTTCCGAAAAGCATCGGAGATATTACAGTCAAGCTGAACACCAACCTCCAAAGTGGATAGGAAACGCTCCGTCGTTCGCTTCTGCATATGCCGCAGCTCAGACAGACATCGACCCGAATACGGTAGTTTCTACTATGCCTGGATACCGCCGGTTTACTTTCCTAAGCGTCTTTGCGATCCCAGCTCTCATCGGTAAATATCCATCGTCGTATTGCTCTTGAAGTGACACTGATTCTGTTAGATATATTGCTTCTTACTACTACCGGTCGTGGTCTTTATCTTTCGGCTTTCATGCCTCTAGAGGATCAAAGATATGCAACGCTAGCTTTAATGGTGTCTTTATTGCTAAGTGGCGCTATCGGGACCTGGATATCTATCGGTGGGACATATTATCTCATATCGATGGCATTCTCAGCAGCTAGCATGTTCATGCTCACACGCCTTCTCGGAGGGCTAGCTTTCACAGTTGTGGGAGGGTTTGTCGGCTTCATAGTCATCTCGGCAGTCCATAATGCGCGTGCAGGAGCGATATTCTTCTTCTATCTATTAGGCCTCACGTCCTACCTCTCGGTCTTAGCAGTCCTATCCACCCACCAGATTCCGGCTTCTTCCTTCTTGAATGGCCGACGCGTGAGTAATAGTTCAAGTTATATAAGGTAATTGTCGGGGCTAATACTAGAGCAGATGATTTTATACTTCATACCAACACTTGCAATCTCTCCGATAATCACGCTATGGGTGCGAGGATACGACTCGATAATATACCTTGCAGTCCTCTATTTGTTTCTCATGTTTCTCATGCTTGGCACCCGTCATGTTTGTTCTGAATGGGCGACATGGTACCATTCTGTCAAGACACTTGACGATAGCGCGGTAAAGGCTTGGTACACAGGTAAATTAGGCACACCAAACGCCCAGTCTCAGGAGACGCCTGTCAATAGTAAAGCATGCCAGAGATCTAGCACAAATTTCTCGGCTCGACTCACAACAGAGAAAAGAACAAGGAATAGAATCGAACAGCCGGCTTTACAATCCTCACAAATTCCGACGACTAGGCTAAAGACATTTGATTCTCTTACAGAACCTGCCATCTTAGCACTGTGTCGTAGCGAGTTATTCAAAGCAGTCATGGATGAAAAACATCGCCGCTTCTGGCAGAAAGCAACAACGGACCCTCTGGTCAAGGAGCTGGCTTTATGCTGGGATTCCACCGTCTTCCTTTTAGAATGGTATTGTCGAACGTCTGAGGTCAAGCGTCCAATACCGTACAGCTCAACCTGGAACCTGATGTCGCAGGTAGCCCTTGACAATATGCAGCAGACTCAGAAAGGCATCCGCCTTCACAACTCATTCATCCACTGGCGTAATATTGGGGATGAAGTAGGTACGTGCTCTGCGAAGTCATCAATCTCATAATGCTGGAGCCCTCGTGCTGACACGTCTAGGCTGTTCAATATTGTACTTCATTGTTGCCTTGCTAGATCGGTGGATTATCCTGATCGAAGGCGCCCAGCTTGTTGGGCTTTCTGCGGCCTTGGACAAGACTTTCCGTTTAGCAGTGGGGTTTGCGTTGGCCTACTATCTCCTAGGCGCCGTCATTTTGGATTACAAGGCACAGCATCTTCATCAAGCGTCCGAGCAACATACCCCCGATTCTATCACAGAGAAATCTCAGATCCAAAAGGCAGTCCTACACGACCAGCACATTCGTCGGCGTCTCTATGTCAGTACTCTTGGCCGATTCCTTGGCGTTCACGTATGGGCATTATCGCTTAGTACAGCTTTCATTTGGATCTTCAACGGATCGGAAGCAGCTATGATCATGTTCTTATCTTACGTGGCGGCATACAGTGGATTGCTCCTCTACCAGTGAGTCTACCATGAAGCCAGTTTTGAAATATCGCTAATAGTCCATTAGGTATAATAAGATCTTTTCTGGGCCTCACGCACTTCTCCCGCTCTCTGCGGCGGTTCTGACAGGGTTCCCAGTTGGTTTTATCTTGAAAGGAGTATACCCTGCATTTGAATACAGCGGCGTCATTGCTCTCGGTACAGCGACATGGACAGCAGCGCTTCTTTCTCTTCGAACGGCCAAATTAGGTCGCCCTGAGGTGCTCCGACACGTAGTTCGCGGCTGTAAGAGGCTGTTTTTAACGAAGAGCTTTCAAGACTCTCTCCTTATTTCCAAGCCCCCGAACACCAAATCGCCTCAGTGCTTTCGCGCCTATTGCGATGGTGGAGTCAATGCCGAGTGGAACCAAGACGAACTCGAAGCGCTGTATTCAACATTACGGTTCGATTTCAAGGAAGCGAGATTCAAAGTCCTTCCTTTCGACTACCCAGGCATCGAAATCAAATCCCTCTTACTTTCGTGCAATTATCACTCATTATCAAAACTAGCTCTGAGAGCCTTCCCCACTGCACCATACATGATGCAAAATATCATATCGACGTGGGAGCGGGGCTTCATCGATGTCTACATTGTCTCAACGGAGGCGCCAACTCACTCTAACGCTGGTCTTAGAGCAATCAGTTTTCAGAATGGCAGCCATATCACTCTACTAGTCGCATCGGAGCGTAGCGGAAGAAATTGCCTACAGCCAAAAATCAGCAGCAACTGTCAGGTTATTGCAGAAACACTAATACACGCCTGTGCTGAATCATTGTTTGGATTGCAGCCCCTTGAAGCTGGTATCTTGGAATCACTCCTAGCTTGTAAGGCCGTTCATGCCAAATCAGAGATTGATCTCTCAGAGAACTCAAAACGGGCTTTCTCTTCGGATATCCCGGATAAGAATTCGGACGGATTAGTCGCATCTATACGACAAACCTTGCTTGCCACTCTATGCCTCGGCATTGATTGTGATACGCAATGGGAGAGACTACCTTCCCACATCCGGAGATCGCTGATCCAGAGATGCATTGGAGTGTCACATCAGTTTTCTTCGTCAGATCTTGAGTGGATCAAATCAAACGTCGGTGCGGACAGCGGCTGTGATGTTATGACGAGCGTCTCGCGATACGATCTTGGTGCATTCCTTCAGGTCCAAAAGATGAATCATCTTCGGGATCGTGTTTCTTTGGGACTATACGAAGTGGAAAATTGCCAGACATCAACCAATATTCATGCTCCACGACTTTCAGTACGTAGTAGTCGGCCCATACCCTTGATCAGAAAACTGGCTACGCGCATGAAAGCGCCTTTCGTATCGGTATATCATAGCCTGGGCATTTGGATCAAATTCTTTGCTCTCGCAGGAATGGGCGACCCCGAATACCAAAGAGAGTTGATCTACACTTTGAAGACTGCGCCGAGGCCAAGTCGAAGAATCGCACGATTCTTCCTGACTGGAATTTGGATTTACAATCGAGCGGCACAAGCTTTAGTCCTACCTCTCTTCTTGTACTACGGACGACCCGACTTGAAGAAAATGTCTAATACCATCAAAGGAAACATCATTACGCAGGGAAAGAGTTGCTTGATCGTGGAAAACTACGAGCGAACTGAAACAATCTTCATTCATTCCAGTGGAATCGAAGGTTATAAGCTCTATGTCTATCCGGGAGCACACAAAGAAGAGCCTAAAACTGGCCATACCATGGTCAGCACTTTTGGGCATGATATGAAGCTGTACTCTCGAAAGGAATATACGAAAGGAGATGTTACGAATGAGTTCGTATATGATTACAATCTCAGATTTGTGCGTCGTCATAGCAAGATCTTGAAATGGGACAATCCTAGAATTCCTCTAGCCAAAACATGCATCGGCGGAAAAGATGAAGGAGCCGTCTTCCGATACAACTACAAAGGCCATGTTGATTCGGGCAGTTATCTGCTGCACGGGAATCTTGTTCGGTTCCAGTATCACTACCGGAAGAACGCTAAATACGACGACGAGCTTTTGCGGGCCGAGTTCATTCTTCCTCATCTCTCTTGTAACGTGAGCTGGTGTGCTCCTCCTGCCCGTCATGCAGACAAACCGGAGCGTTGGATACCCACCCCGAGGGTCTATGAAGCGACTTTTGTCCAAGGAGCTGACGTATACGAATGTTCCTGGCTCTACGACCACAAATTCCATCCAACCATTGCCACTAAACTGAACGGAGAATTCATCGATACCCCCGAGATGATACGCCATGATTGGCTTGGTGTGCTTAAAAAACCCAATCATTGTGCCTTCGCGGATGAGAATCCACTTATTGGTTTCCGGAAACCCACGTCTACTTTTATTAGTCGGTTATTTCGTACCAATAGCAAGACTCAACCAGTCTCAACTGCTCGTGCAAGATCGCAGTTATGGAAAGCTTGGAAAAAGCGTGTTGATCTCGACGGAGTTACGACTAGATGGGTCGACGAGCAGCTGTTAAGAAGAGAGCCGCTGCTGCGCCCATATTGGCGACGTAGAGACCGGGGGAGTCTTACCAAAGCGGAAGACTATCTCGCTCTACATGCAGATGCTATAATGGCAACTTCAGATGTTTCGAGCGATATCAGCGCGTGGACTCCTTTAGCCGTTCGCATGAGTGATCTTTTCAGTTTTGGTCAAGGTGGAGATGCCGTCATCTACACGAGGACCAAAACTTTGCAGAGAGACACGGACGATTCGCTTCATGTCATTGCTGTCGATACGGGAACATGGCCTAATGAAGGCGGAGGAGTCTCGGCTTGTCGCAGAGACCTTATCAACAATCTCCGTACAATCAAGTGGCATATGGTGGTCGAGTCCGCGAACGACTTTGGGATACCGAAGCATCAAACCGAGGAGAATGTTGAATCTCTCAAGATCATCCCGTTGTGGGGTCTTGACTTCATGCATCCCTGCCATGGCATGTTCTCAAACAAGCTTGACAGCGAGGTAGATCACATCTTCTACGATGCCACGCTTGAGGATATCCGCATAAACTTCCTTCCGACGCTGACAGCGCTTGTGCAAGGCGCCCGCGCGGTCAACATGACCCAGGCACATGTCAAGCAAGCTACTAGAGCACTGATCAATCTCAATAACTATTTTCAAGATTCTCGGCACTGGAAAGAGGTATGGACCACCGACCTCGTGAAGAATAAATGGAGAGAACTGTGGTTAGCAGACGACATGCCAAATACTCAGCCGCCTTCGCAATGGTTCGAAACCGAGCTGCCAACGCTCAGCCATCTGGACACTGCTCTAGAGCTTTGGTTCCGATGTTAGTCCTCATTTTTGGTAGAAGACTGTACATTTGCTGATCTTTTAACGTAGACCTCTTCATATTCTCGATTCCTGTCCCAGAGAAGATACCTGCAGTCTTTCAAGCATCTCACCATAGCGTCTCGGCGTCTTATGGTATTGTGTGCAAGATCAAACGAGGCTGCACGCTCCAGATCTGGGATCATGCGATATCTTGGAGGGAAACCAATCTGTATTTGTCCTCGACAATGTGCACGCTACCGCCCTTCATTCGTAATTCTCTGCTGGGGTTAATGCGGTTAACATCAACTCTCATTTTATACCATGCAGATCAGATTCTTCCATGTGCTGGTAAGCTGTCCATGACTGATTTATCGACTGATGAACGCCACTTAAGAAATCTAACATGCTCCTAGACTTCTTCAACCCTGGCTGGGAAGTGGAGATCGGCACATCTCAAGGAGCTCTTGCGCACCGTAATGTATTTAGAAGAAAGGTCGATCCGATCGGTATGCTTCCGCAATCTGCATTCATTTGACTCACTATTCTGACTCGATACAATCCAGTCAACGGCATTACCGATATGCAAAAATTCGCGCCAATCTCCGAGATCAAGACAAAACAGCCAACTGTGACCATGCTGTCCCATGTATGGTTTGCGAAAGACATCAAGACGGCACTACTAGCAGCTGATATCATTTCAAATGAGTGGGGATTCAAAGACTACAAACTCGACATCTATGGCGCCTTGAACAAAGCTCCTGTGTATTCATCCGAGTGCCAGGAGATTCTCGCTTGCAAAGGCTTGGGTGGTAGTGTCACGTTACGAGGTACCGCAGATCCAACAATGGTACTGGAGAACACGGTATGCTTCCTCAAATCGTATGGCTGTAAATCTATATCTGACATAAAGTAGTGGCTGTTCCTGAACTCTTCCGTATCTGAAGGCTTGCCTCTCGCTCTAGGCGAAGCAGCCTTGACAGGCGCCCCCGTTGTCTGCACAGATGTCGGCGCGTCCCTCCGTGTACTCACAGATCCAGACACCGGCGCAAGGTACAGTGAAGTTGTGGCGCCGAACGACGCGTACGGCCTTGCCCGCGCACAGATCAATCTTCTCGCCATGCTAGACGATTGGGCCCAGTACGCAGACGACGACCCCGAGCATCCAGCTCCAATCTTGCCTCATAAGCCAACGCCAGAGGATGTCAAGGTCATCACGAGGCGAATGTACGAAAAGAGCGGACAGAGACGGAAATTAGGCATGATGGCGAGAGAAATCGTCCAGAAGAGCTTCAGCGGGGAGAGATACTTGCGCGAGCACGAGCAGATGCTCTGGGTCGGGAAAAGTGTGTACGAGATGAGGAAGCAAAGGCTCAAACCTGTCCGCCAATCTCAAAGCTACCCTTCTTCTGGCTTCACACAAGAACGCGCTGGCAGTGGTGCGCAAACCCCAGACCTGCAGCTCGAGAAGATGCAGCACCCCCTCCACCCGCCGACTTTCCGCCACCTTTCGACTGCGACGTCGTTCTCGAGCGTGTATATCGACGACCCTGGCCCTTCGACTAGGAACGATGACTGGGGTATGCGGACCTTGGGTCGTTCGGGTGAGAAACTCGATCTCGAGACTGGGATTCAGGTGGAAAAGCCGGCACTGGTGAGGCTTAGCGGGGGGCCCGTGTCGTATGAGAACGAGAAGGGGAAGATGAATATGAATATGAGGATGTTCGAATCAGAAGAGCGGGTTGGGTCCGGGAAGAGACCGAGGTTTGGAGGCGAGCAAGAGAGGGTGGCGAGTGCGAGGAGCAGTGCTAGGATGAGGAGTGGACTTTGTGAGGTCCAGAATGCGGACGAGGGAACTTGAGTTGTACGTATGAGGCTTCCCTAAGCGGCGATGTTTTAGGGGCGTAATGGTATATGTCTGCATATTAGAAACGGCGCGCTGCATGTGGCTGGTTTGGATGCAGGTTTGTCTGAAGTGCTACAATGAGCTTCCACAAATTTGAAGAGATAGAATCGAACAGTTGGTAAGCTACAGTGCCTTGCCATAGATAGTTCTATCCGTACACTTTCCTGCCACTGTCTGTGGGGCTTCAACCTACTAATAGAAACCAGGGGCAGCAGATACACTTCCAATCTGCGTAGACCCTATTGACGCTGTCTGGGGTGGCCTCGCGAGTTTACTGTTTCTTTCTCATTTGGTATGCGGATAGTACTATGAAGCTCCTCATGCAGCGGTAAACGAGTGTACAGATTTCTATGACGAGGCATTGTAGCTGCACTACCTCGATTCGTGCACAATAAGCACCTGGATAGGCCAGATTCAATCTGGGTTTACGAATTCACAAGGATATCCCCACGTGACGTGACCATTCTCTTGGCAAGCGTTAGCGTTCCCTCCACAAAAAGATGGCCCTACTTCCATTGACGCGATCCCCAGCTGTTAACCTTGGAACCTCACCTCCACCCCCTCCCCTCGCATACACAACAAACACATCGCGCATGGTCTCGCGCATGGAATTTTTCTAGCATCCGACTTGATCGCGACCTCACTCTACGCAGTCGGACTGCGCTTCGTCCCCTATCTCTCCCGCGGCCTCGGTCGTCATGTCGAAACGCCAGATCGAAGTGCAAGGCACGAAGGATGGCACATCGTTTCTCGGCGATGGATCCGCTTCAGCAAATGCTGATGATGTCCCCAAGCGGGCGACAGCGGCGCAGCTCGCGAACAGAAAGTAAGTAAATGTTTATTGCGTCCGTAAAACTTGCGGGGCCTTCGAAAAGCAACCGCGTCGGAAGAGAACATTGCCCGCCGCCACGCACAGCTGGCCGTCGCACGCGACTAGTTGATATGTGGCGCTCTCGTTCATTGCTTTGGTTTCCTTGACTGCCCAGAGTTCCACTGGCGGCCGCACCTGCCCCAATTCCTTGTCTTCAATGTCTTCATAAGGTTGCTCCTGCTAATGCCTTACCACAGACTCAGAAGTATAAAGCAGCCAACCTCGCGGAAACAAACGTCTGGCTCGGTGAGTCATGCCCCCCCTTCCCCGGTACAAGCGCTTTCAGCGCGGTCCCCCTCGAAACTCTTCCTCGCTCAATTTCAAATTGATCATCTCCTTCATCAAGCACAAGCTCATACTACTCAGCAGTCCAATATCCAAGGCGGTATCTCACAAGGAAACCCCTTCGGCCAGGTGCAGCAAGGGACCCCCCCTTTGGCCTTCGGATCTCAGCAGCAAAATGCTCCTCAACAGTCAAGCTCCTTCGGGTTCCAACCACAACAGCAGGGTGGAGGCATGTTTGGAGGCACAACAAGCAGCTTTCCCCCGGCGCAGTCTGCTACGCCTGGCTCGTCATTCGTCAATTCATCCTTTCCAGCTTTTGGGGCGGGTGCGAACGCGAATGCGAACACAGGTTTCGGCTTCAACCCTACTCCGCCAACTGCGTCGGACTTCAGCTTCTCCGCCCCTGGACCTAATCCGTTCGCTGCCACAAACACCAATCCTGCCCTCAACACTCCTGCATCGGGCGCCTTCTCAGGATCTATATTCAATCTAGCTGCTCCGCAACCCGCCGCGGCGCCGCCTGCAGAGAACACGGCTCCAGCGAACCCGCAGGCATTAGCCTCGCCTTTCAAATTCGGTGCGACCAGCGCATCAAACGCTCCATCTCCTAGCATCTTTGGTCAGACTGCTCAGACCTCTGGTGCCATTGGGCCATCCTCCAACCTCTTCGGCACGAGCACTCCGAGCACTGCCCCGAATTCCAGCATTTTCGGTCAAGGCAATGCGCCGACAACACCATTCTCCACAAACCTAGAGAAGAAGGTGTCCAGCCCAGACGAGATGCAGACTTCGCCTGATTACTCTCCCTCAAAGCCAACATCACCGGCCGTCAATACATCGCAGCCGTCAGGTACGAGTCTGTTTGAGAGAATTACTCCCGCGGATCCGAAACCTCAAGATACACCAAGACAGTCGGTGGAGACTCCGCAGGCAGGGAAGCCTACTCGACCGACGTTTGGCAGTTTTGGTCAAACACCTGTGGCCAAGGAGACGCCGAGTGCGGGGAATCCTTTTGCAAATATTGCACGTACCCCATCGCCGGCTAAAGAGACCGCACCACCGCGCCCTGCCGAGGACTCAAAGACAGCGAACCCGTTCTCAAAGCTGCATCCTCCACTCGACAAGCCAGGTCGATCGACTCCGTCTCCAGCTTTCAGCCAGCCTTCGAATATCTTTGGACAACAACCGGCCCCTACGCCATCCGTGAGTCTATCAAAGCCCTCCGAGCCGGTTCCCTCTCCGTCCAAACAACAGCCACCATCATCCGCAACCACGACTAAGGCACCATCATTCACGCTACCTCCGACTGGTGCTCCCATATTAGGCATGCCTTCGACGTCCTTTGCTCCACCCAAGAGTAGCCCCTTGAAGTTCTCTACTCCTGTTGATGTCACACCACCATCGAGTAATCGCAATTCTGTCATCGAAGCGCCAACGGTCACACCGACGTCTACCGCAAATGTTTTCGGCATCTCACAAGGACAAGCGATGTTCAGTTCGGCACCATCCATCAATAAGTCGTCCTCAGATGGAACAACTGATTCCGTCGGCTATGATCCCGTCACGGGCAAGGTCACGAGGCTGGACGTTCGCAATGCTACTTTAGCTGATATGGAGAAGATGCTAGAAGATGGCCCAGGCCCAGATGCGGATGATCTTAGCAAGGAGATCTGGTGTGAGAGGGAAAAACTACGACTCTTGAACGTTGGGTTCAAGAATACCATCAACCATGCTGGTGTTTACGCAAACTGGACTCGTTACACTGATTGGTACGCCGAAGTAGCTAAGGAGATCTCCACACGCCTAGTGACCGCGAGGAGAAAGAAGACGGCGATAGATGAAGCTAATTCTGGCCCAATGAACCCGTCCGTCAAGCGGAAAGCGGATCCCAAAGCTGAAGCTCAGCAAGAAGATCCAGGCACTGTTGCGAAGAAGTCAAAGAACGTGGAAGGGGCCTCTGTCCCCCAGAAGACTGTTTCACAGACGTCTAAGTCGCTGGAAGAAGTCCTAAATGGCGGCTCTGCTGCGTCGTCACCGCGTCCCACCTTTAACCAGCCGTCCGTTTCACAAACATCCAAGTCGCTGGAGGACATTCTGAACGGTGGCTCTGCTGCCCCGTCACCGCGCCCTAGCTCCACACAGCCGTCCAACTCATTCTCTACGAGCACGCCTGCTGCTCCATCCAATTCGTTCTTAGGGTCGGTTTCTACAGCTGCGGATTCTTCACGTCCATCCGGTCAAGCGGCCAATAATCGCCCAGAACTTGCTACTTCTGCTCCTAAATTTCCTCTACCGTCTACATCCAGTGGTTTCAATCAGTCAACGTTCAATCCTTTTAATAGTCAAAACAAAGCGCCAGTGTCCAATCTCTTTAGCTCTCCTTCCAATGAGGCAGCGTCAAATTCTTTCACCCCAGTCTCCAAGGACCCAGGTTCCAGCATCTTCAATTCTGCTTTTACGACGTCCCAAGTGCCTGCGCCGGCCTCTAACTCCTTCAACTTTGCTTCCAACTCGGCATCTAAGGAACCTGTCACGTCTAACTCCTTCGCCTCTTTTTCTAAGGAGGCGACGTCGAACACCGGTTCGTCGACTTCCCTCTTCCAGAAATCCACCAACGCGGCGCAGACGCCAACGGCCTCCTTCAAACCATCCACTACGTTCTCTACGGGCAATCCCCCAGCGACGGCGCCGCCTGCTTTTTCAGTGAAGCCCCTTCCGGCCGCTGCTACCAACGGGATCCAGATGCCCAAGTTCTCGCTAGGCTCGGGAACTCCTAACTTCATGCAGCAATTCGCTAAGAATGCTCAGAGTGCTGAAGAAATATTGGCGGAGGAGAAGAAGAAGGCTATGCGTGACTTGCCTGAGCCTGATGATTCCGATTATGAGGAAGAGTTGGCAGAATTCGAGGAGAAGTGGGAGAAAGAGCAGAGCGAGAAACGCGCTAAGCAGGCGGCGGCATCGTCGAAAGCCCCGGTCTTCCAATTCACTCCAAGCGGCTCGAACGCCTCAAGTGATTCTGAAGCCCCAGCAAAGGCTCCATTCTCCTTGGCTAGGCCAAGCAGTGCCGCCTCCAGCAACGGTCTTTTTGTTTCACGCAACAATAGCCCAACACCATCGACGAATGGCGGTGCATCAGTTTTTGACACACCAGCTGCACAGTCTACCCCATTCGCGAACATCTTCGGCCATCTTTCCGGAGGCGAGTCAGGAGCTGACGCTGCTGGCGACGATGATGATGAAGATGAAGGGGAGACTGAGGGGTCGGATGATCAGGAGTCCAACGGGGCCACCCCTATTGCTACTCAACAGAGTTCTACGAAGCGGAAGGAGATAGACGAGCAATCCGAGGAGGACACGTTCGAGGAGTCTGTAAGGCGCAAGCGCCAAGATCGAACTCCTCAGGCCGAGAAGCAAATCGAGAGCACACAGACACCTGTCCCACCGAAAGGCAAGAGCATGTTTGATCGAGTCACCTACCTCCCTGACGGGCAACCGGAGAGGGAACTTTCTACTCCCGAGGACGGAAAGGCGAACGGGGAGTCTGAGACGCCAAAAGCGACGCTTTTCGGCAGCTCAGCGCCGCCGCCATCGGCTCTGTTCCAACCGAAAGCATCACTGTCCGGCGATCAGACTTTCAATCGCGATAGTCGGATCAAGTTCTCATCGACTGCGCCTGCTACATTCAATTTCACGACCACCAGCCCGGCAAATGGCAAGAATCTTTTCGGAAGCTTGACGTCATCGACGCCAGCTCCTCCAAACGCCGCATCTGCGCAATCACTCCTCGCCGCACCCAGCACAGCGTTCGGCCTTCCTTCCGGATTCAACTCTCCGTTCATGTCTCGTGCAGCAACCCCATTCTCGGCGGACGAAGCGAGTGGCAAAGAGTCGGGAGACGCCAGCGGAAAGAATAATGATGAGGACAAGCTCACCGATGCCCAAGTTCAGCTCACCGATCTCACTGAAACCGAAAAGCGGGAGAATGATGTTCTATTTGAGTGCGAGAAATCGAAGGCCCTGGAGCACGACAAAGGTTCCAAGAATCCCGGAGGTAGTTGGGAAAATAAGGGTTTGGGTCCAGTCCGAATCCTGAAGAACAAGCAGACTGGAGTCGTCAGCCTTCTCCAACGTCAAGTCCCTGGTGGCAGAATTGTTGTCAATGTACGAATTCTACCTGGAATTCCCGCGACCGGCGCAGGGAAGAGCGTCAAAGTGCCCGTTCCAGCGAGCGACGATAGACCAGGTACATGGTGCTTCAGATTCGGGACCGAGGAAATCGCGGTTGAGTTTATGAACACATGGAATGAGAATAGGCCAGCTTGATCATTCGGTGGCATGTTTTCGAGAGCGATACTTCAGATTGATCAGGTGACTTCATCGGCTCTGATTCTTCATATTGCATTCTTCTCTTCTTCTTGGGCCACCTGTTTCTTGTACATCAAAAATCCTTGCAAGGGTCTTTCCTTAAATCAAATTTTTGGCGGTTTGTTATGCATGGAAGCCGGAGTTTTCTGGCATATGGTCCTCCAGGGGCCCTCTTTGAAAAGGGAATTGGCGATACACACTCTGTACAACTAGATTAATTTCCTCCCATTGAATTTGAAAGTTCATTCACTCCATCCTTCGGGAAATGTCACTTGCGGGCTTTTCGAGTATTTGCATCCTTGGGGCATAGCCATGATACGAGTCACTGATTCTTGAATCTTGTCTGAATAGGACGGGGGAGTTCCCGACTCTATGGTCATTAACGTCCCTTACTTGCCAACCCCCGCGAGAGGTGCGGAATGCACGCCACCTGTCCTTACCTCGACTTCAGCTCTGTATATTACTAATACGCAGGGCAAGCATGGCCGACTGCGATTCGTCCGTCCGCTCTACCTCCCCATCGCGTTTAGAGGACCCTCTGAATTCTACACCCTCATTGGAGAAATACACACAACACCAGCCCCAGCCCTAGCGCCGAAAGGAACAGAAGCGCCTATCACACCCCAGAATATCCACCACAGAACGTTACGATGCAGCCCAGCAACTTCCTCCGCAACCGGAAGTCCTCCCGCGCCGCGCTCGCCGCCTGTGCGGTCGTCGCGCTTGTCTTCTTCCTCAATGAGCTGCGGTGTGTAAGGCATGGATGTCTGAGAAAGACGGGGTTTACGGGTGGGTGGGAGCAGGAGGAGGCGCAGACGAGTCCGGATAGCAGGGGGGCAATAGAGGCGAAGACGATGGGGTGGACAGGTGCGGAAGATGCGGTGCCGTTTGGGGATGGGGTGAAGGAGGCGGAGAGCCAGAGGGCAGGACAACCGGTGGGGGTGGTTGAAGGGAGAGTGAGTGTGCAGGAGTTGCAGGTGCCAACGCCAGCGCATGTGGTCGGGGTGGATGGGAGTGTGGTTCATGGAGGTACGCAAGGGGCTGGGACGGAGGCTGCTGTGGTGCAAGGAGGACACCGTGTTCAGAGCGGAGGAGAGCAGAATATGGGGTTGGGTATGGGTATGGGTATGGGTATGGGCGTGCCTGGGCTGGATGGGACATGAAACTTTTGGAAGGATGTGGTTGGATGATGGTTTGGGTATTCGTCTTTACGGCTAGTCCGTGATGAAAAGTGCTATGTATACCTATCGGATGTTTCAACAAGTGATCACCACCAGGTCAACTCATCCTCGCAGTCGTGGGCCCCATAGTGCTCGTTCATGTGAACTGAATAGGATGTGTCTCGAAGTACTCTTCGAACGGGGTGAGTCTGCCTCGGGCGTTCTCAGCAGCCCAAGCTACCAACTCCTTCTCGCCTGGGCCGAAGTAGCCCCACTGCTCTTGGGCTTGAAACCCTTCAGCGAAAACGTCAGCCATGAACGGTATGGTCTTCTTGAAGTCCTCAACGGGGATCTGCTTGTAGACGATAGTCTTTCCTGTGGCCTTGGACAAGACGGCGACTATTTCCTCCAAGGTGTACAGTCTAGTGGCGGCGCAGAACCTCTTGCCTTCGTACTTGTCGGGCTCGGCGAGGATGGCGCCAACGAAGTTGCCTGAGTTCCCGACAGCGTCGATCAAGGGCATCGTAGTCTTGGGAGAGTTGGGTCGGGACATAACCCAGGTGCCATCGGGAGCCTCTTTTGGAGCCAAGAAGGCCTGGAACGCGAAATTCTCCATGAACGAGCCAGGGCAGTAGAAGGCACTCTTGATAGGAAGGCCTCGAATGTACTTCTCGATCTCTGCCTTGGCGTCGAAGGGGGTGACTGCGGTGTATTTGCCACTAGAGATGTCGCGGACTGACGGCAGAGTGCTGAAGATGAAATACTGGACTCCTTTCTCAACGGCGACGTCGGCAATCGTCTTGCCGTTGTTGAACTCTTTCTCCAAGGCGTCGGGGCCGATGAAGGGTGTTGTCATGGCGAAGACGGTGTGCACGCCGGTCAGAGCTGTCTCGAGGGAGGCTCGGCTGGATACGTCGCCCTGGACGACGTCGACCTTCTCCTTGAGCTGCTTGGCCTTCTCCGAGTTGACATCGCGGGTGATGGCGCGGATCTTGTACTTTTGGGAGAGCTCTGGGTCGTTCAGCACATAGTTCAAAACTGAACCGCCTTGTTGGCCGGTAGCGCCAAAGATGGCAAGGATTTTGGACATGTTTTGGGTTGTTTAGAGGCAGAAGTCTTGGATATGGGTTTTGTGACTGTTGGCTTTTCCGAGGGAAGTTTTTCGAGTTTGATGATTTTTCTGGAGGAAAGCGGGTATCCTTGATCTTATTATACTTTTGAAGTTGACAAGAGAGAGATATCATCCGATGCTTTTCGGAGAGTCTTCATCGCCGAGCATTATAAAGAAAGAAGCGAGTTTCACGGGGCTCCATGAATATTTCACGGGACTCCGCAGCTTGTGTTGACGCGTGAGGCTTGTGAGCTGTGGACTACGTGGCTACCCGTGGACCAGAAACGGAGCGATATATGGATCCAGCAGACGTCTGATGGTAGATTTGCTCCTTGTAGCTTATCAATCAATTCACCTTGGCCCTCTTGTGCATCTCGCCCTTCACAACGGACCTGAATACCGGTACGTGACTAGTCAGAACACGGAAAGTCAGGTGCAAAAGTTAAAGTATACCTTGTTGGGTCAGTAAAGGGATGGTGTTTACTGCATGGAAAGGATGTATGAGGGTTGCCTCTGGGATATGATAATTACGGGTTGCTGGTAAGGTCTCTAATGCTGTCTAATGGTACGTGTAAATTACGGTCACTAGTGGTGCTTAGCGTGGCTTGTAGCCGACCTCAACTCATACGCCATGTCTATCTGCACCAGAATAGAGGAGCGTTTGAATAGATGATGCTTCTGCTTCTACTTAAAATCTGTGACATGATATTGAGTAGTCACGTGGATTTCCATTGGCATGGGTGATTGGACTGTACAAAGGGTAGGACTGGCGCAACCCGCGATCCTACCATGCCCACCAGAATGATCAAGTCTATCTTCTTCACGCGCTTCCACCCAGAGAAAGGTGGACTCTCTCTCTCTATGCGTCATATCTATAGAAAACTTACTGACTCCATATAATTATAGGCTCACGCGTCCTCCACCAAGTCCCTGAAGGCTCCATCACGCCCTCTGCGTCCCCCTCCGCGCTCAAACAGCCCCTCTTCCATTTTCCCTCCGTCTCTGACTATATAATCCCACGGCAAGAGTTCTGCGATCGCCTGGTCACAACTTGCACGAACCGCTGCCGCGTCGTGGGATACCCTGTCTGTATCAAGGGCGAGGGACGGTACAATCGCAACGAGTTTATCTTCAACTTTGCACTCGTTCTGGACGAGGACGCTGCGGATTGGGGAAGCTATGCAAGTGTGGTGAGGAAGTTAGGCAGGCTGCTCAGGGCACTGGAGGAACAAGGAGGGTTCTTGAGTCGAGAGGAGGATCCGCGGATGTTTGAGGATGATGAGGACGATGGGTTGGGCTGGAAAGAGCAGGGACAGACAGAAAGTCAGACAGACGACGATGAAGAACGGGAATACACACATTTCAACACATGGAAATCCAAACCGTCTGGAAACGGAGGAAAGGTGTATGCACTCTGCGAGATGATTCTCGAGGACTTGAACAACTATTGCGAGTGCATGATACCAATAGGTACTACTCCAATGAATCCTACATCAAGAACGCTCCCATCTAACCAACTGCTCCTGAATAGACGACTCGAACACCATAAACCTCAAACTCTTCCCCACGCACCTCCCGCCCGCCCCCATATTCGCCTGGCACGTCCCGCTCCTAACCATCGACCTCTCCTCCTTCTCCTCCACCACCATCTCCTCCGACCTCACCCTCACCCGCATCCTCCCCTACATCGACGGCACGCGCTCCGTCTCCCACCTCTCCCAGCTCGCCGACACCGATCTCAGCCTGACCCGCAAAGCCGTCCAGCACCTCGTCTACTACGGCTGCGTCATCCTCCTCGACATCTTCCACTTCAACGCCATCTACGCCCCCACCGCCGAGATTTACGACTTCATCACCGACCAGAGCCTGCAGGAGGAGTGCGCGCGCTACGTGCGCATCCCGCACATCAGCCTCGCTCACGGCGCGCGGCACGAGCGCAAGACGCTCGCTGCGCGCAACGTGCTCGCCGAGGACGGCGGGAACGAGGCGGCGGCGGTGGACGCGGACCGCTATCGCGTCCCCAAGGAGCATCTAGTGAAGCTGTACACGAGCCTGAAGCAGGGGCTCACACTGCGCAACTGGGTGCTGGAGAACTTTGAGCTGCTGACGTGTGTGGATGTGCGGCGGTTCATCACGTTTGGCGTCATCAAGGGGTTTCTGTACCGCGTGCACAAGTATGCGATTGCGACGTCGTCGGGCGTGGCGGGGTTCGAGGAGGAGAGGAGAAGGGAGGTGCTGGTGAAGCCGCATGAGGGGGAGGGTGTGGCGTATGGGTCGGATGTTAGTCGCGAGTTGCCGCTTGCGCGGTATTTGGATGGGCTGCATAGCTTTGATGAGATCTGCACGGAGCTGAGGATGAATGAGAAGGATGTTTTGGAGAGAGTGAAGGGGTTTGGGGAAGTGCAGATAATACATCGATGATGCGGATCTTGACGGCGTTTTCTGGGCTTGCAGTTTAGTCAGAATTTTGGCAGCCAGAAAACAGCTCGATCACGAAGACGTGGTTTCTCAACTTTGATGAGTCGGTTCGAAGCCTACTGCATGATATTTACGAAGTCTAGAGTTTCTCAGATGTGAGTGGCAGAAGTCGCGTGATGCCGGAAGGGGAGAGAGTGAAAGTCCTGGTATTTCACCCCTTCCCATCCCTTAGTTGCATGTTAGGATCATGTCACTCGTCATCTTGCTCGAGTCAAGTGTGTTGTTGTTGTCGCGAAAAGCAACACCATTGATATACATCTACACTTGAACCGCCTAGTATAAGTACACGCTACGTTGGGCATGGCGTAAACTGCCTACAAGGGGAGGCGACAGAGACCAAAGAAGATCCCTGCACAATGGCATTGAAAGGAGTGGCCCTGACGTGTTACAGAATACAGATAGCCGCCAGGACGGATCCGAAACATGAAGAGAATTCGTTAAAGAAAATGCGAATAGACAAGCATTTTGGGTGCGGTAAGAATAGTACAGCAGTGTAACATATGGTGGTAAAATCCGGGCGCGCTGCCGATGAAGGAAGGTCTCCGTCCGGTTCCTTTATACCCTCTCCTTTCCCCTCCCAAAGATCCCTCGAAGATTCTTTGCGCTTTGCAATGCAACGCTAGCTCCATTTTCTTGCCGCGGCGATGTATCGGGCATGTTATTAGTAGCATCGATCACGTTATCATGGGACGCTAGCATGATAGTGTCGATGCTTCTCGCCTGCCTTGCGAACCGCGCTGATAAGATGTATCCTCCCAGACGCCTCTTGAATACCAATAGCTTTGAGCCTCCACCTCTTTAAACCCCATAGACGCCACATGATTGTACCACCGAAAAGAATACGCCGAAAGAGGTCGTGAGAGAAGCCGTTAATTCGAATTAGTTTGTAAGGTTGAGTACCTAGTGCGTGGAGGACTGAAATATGGGACTTGAGCTCCGTCATGACAAACACAAGCATGAGGTCTGTCGTTAGGCGAACAGTTCTGAAGATGCGGAGCAAAGAAGACTGAAATGAATGATAGTGAGCGAAAGCTATCCTGCTTGGTAAATATGACCGACACCTGAAACCGAAGCACGGTGGGTCAGACTTGTGCGGTGCTCAAACGAGTCACGTCGTAAAGATTCCATGCTGGTTGCATGCTGAGGCTGAGAGAGCGGCGCGTATCGTTGTCCGTTCACGAGTGTCCCCTCGGTCGCGGTGACCTCCCCTGAAGAATTGTGCCTAGATGATTGCTCCACACTAAAAGAGTATAGGTTGGGGCAAGAATCCTGGCGAGAGAGAGCCATTTCGCTAGATGTACAGACGGGAAGGGTCTGTTGGCGCATAAGCGAGTAGCCTGTGCTTAAAGATGTCGCTGGCATGGTCGAATCTGAGGAAGAAGTGCTGCTGTAGGACATAGAAGGCGCGGTGCTGGTAGGAGATGGCTCAGGGCTGTTTGCGTCCGCAACATGATAACCTAGAACGGGCTCCGGAGCGGATGCAGCGGCCATGTATGGTTTGGACGGGGTTGGTGAGATGATGTCACCTGAGGAAGAGCTCGTGATTGAGCTTGGGCGACCTCTGGCTATACTGCCTTCGGTAGACCAAGGCATAGCAGCTTTCGTGTAACTACCATTTGAGCTCACGGTGGTAGTAATGGGACCTTGAGCAGCTGGGAATGCTCGTGTGTGATTCTGGTCTACGACTGCCGTTGGCAGAGACCGAGTTGCCTGCGGAATAGGTAACTGTCGGTCAGTCAGTGCGACCGGAAGAGTCGAGTTGAGCGATGTCATGTTCAATGGCGAAAACGGCTCAGTGGTAACTGCTGGTCGTATCATGGTCGTGAGATATGGCACACCATTGGTCGCATAGGTAGTTGCGGGGGTGTCTTGATCGAGATATACGCCGGTGCCATTGGGCATTGACTTCTGGGACATTTGGCTCCATCGGAGGCTACTCTCCGGTGCGGTATATACAGAGCTCATAGACTCTGGTCCCATCAGACTGGCACTGTTCGTAAGGCCATAAGACTCTACTGGGGAGTCATCAGCGAAAGGGATTGATGACCACGGCTGCGAGTATGCCGACTTTGTATTGCCGGAGGGATACTGGCTGGTGGGGTAGGCTTGGTGGTACGTTGGAGGGGGGGCTGAGTATATTGGGATCATCCCATTCTGATGGGAATTTCCAGTTGGTATGGTGCTGCTAAATTGGGTAGGGATGTTACCGGCCAAATTCATGACGCTGAATGCATCTCCAGAGCCAACCTGCTCGCCGGGTTAGATGGCTAAACTTTTTCATACTGGAATCATGAGGGGACGAACTCGGTTGAATTGGCACTGCGTGATATCAGCACCAGCGCCCCTGCAGTTTTCGCATCCCAATCCATTCCCAGGATCGCCACTGCAACGAATCTTGCGCTTCCTACAGCGCGCGCACTGATAATAAATCAATAATGGGTAACTTCTGGTTATGATTGAGACAACAGCCACTGAGAGTAGTTTTCACTTACTGCTACAGCGATGCGGCGTCTGGGTTGTCCACTGCCCTGCTCTCCTTCCAGATCCCTGATCGAAGTACCGCGATGTCGAGAAGTGATCGGACAGCCACGGAAATCAAGGCGTGTGGAGTTAGACACGAAACACGGAGCATTGCGGTCGCCAGAAGAAATCCCGTATCGGTGAATGGCGTAGTCGGGGTAACGCGGGACGGAATCGTAGTCGTTCATGGCGCTGGTAGTGTGGGCTTGGGCAATGTTAATTGAGTTGAAGTATGAACAAGGACAGAGGGGTATGCGAACTGCAGGTACGGTCGAACAGAAGCACACGTAGGTTTGCTTGCAGTCAATGACAGCGTGCGCCCTGGTTCGATTCGACTCGAGATTTCGACAACGAGCAAAGACAGGCCACCACAGTGGCCGGACAGGATTGTGGGGGTTTTGATCCAGAGCTTCTTCGCACTCGCAACACCCTCGAAGACTGGAGCGGCAGACTGAGCCTGCATCGATCTGGGCTTGTAAAATTTATACACATGCACGGGAGACGGCGGCGGTGAAGATTCCGGGTGTGATTGCTAGTAGGTGCGCTCAACTACGTGGCGAAAGTGAAGCCTGAGTCGTCTTTCTGTGAAGCGCGCTGGCTGTTCCTGAGGAATCTCGATGTCTTGGGAGAAGGGTCAATAGCCCATAAAGTAGTTTGCAGACGAAACAGTCGAATGGCTATCACTCTAGTGGCGGCTGGCTGCAGTGGTGCCGTGTGTACCAATCCTGGGGCAGCACGCGCGGACGAACAAGGCAATCTCGAACGGTCTTCTGGCCCTCCGAAGTGCGATAATGTGTAACCCAGGTACAGAAGCCCCATCGGTACGTCGTCAGTCATGTGCACAGCCCGTCTCCCCGTTCAAGAGCCGGCCGAGGAACCCAGCGCCCTCTGCGGCGAAGCACCCGAGACAAGGTCGCCCCCGTTGAGACAGGAAACAGACGAAACATGTGGCGCGAGACAGTGCAAATTTGGATAGGAAAAGACAAATAGCTAGACAGCAAGGCACAGTGGTCTGGCGCCGCGGAGCTGGTAGCATTCCACTCCGCATGCGACCCCCACAAAGTCGCCTTCAATCTTGGTCGTGCTTGCTATTCGTCAGTTTGTGCGTTTGCTCTCTGCGCGTGGCACCACGAATCCCTGTTTGGTCGTTAGAAGGAGTAGTTGCACGTGTTGAGTGCTCGCATCCAGAGTCTGCATCTTTGGGTGGCTGTTGTTGTCTAATCACGATGCAGTGTAGCAAACGTCGAGGAGAGATCAGCGCGCACCGAAATTCCTCTTGGTCTGAATGAATTGCGCCGCGCGTAGAGACTACTGCGTGGGCGCAGCATGGAACGGTGGAATACTGTGCCGTTCTTTAGTGGGAGACACCTTGGCCAACGTGGAAGCGGAGAGAGGAAGAGCAACTCGAAGCGCACTATCAAACTGTGAAATAGCTAGCTCAAAGGATGCAAGTTGACACGGTGAGGCGGGGCCACGACAAACAGGTGTGAGGATTGCCACAGCCGCATACCAAGCAGAGAGTATTCTAGGTACGCTCTAGGACCTGTAGAATGCCACAGCAGATATGGGCATCTCAGCATCGAGATCAATTATAGTGGCTATGAATGGACGAGGTCCGCGGTTGACCCTGCGTTCGTGCATCCGATATGGCGGCGGTGGGTGGTCGGTTAATCGTTGCGAGCGAGGCCAGAGCTGTCCTCAGATCAGACACTGGTTCCCACGATTGAGGGGCGTTACGTCGACGACAGAGCGGTACGCTACGTCTTGACTGCGGGTCGGTGCACTTCGGGGTAGCCCGCGTCTTGCTAAAGCAGACCCAGCAGCGGCTACCCCCGTTGCAGAAGATTTGTCAAATCATCCAGTGCTCTTCGCCAGTAGAAGATGACAGCAATGCACCAGAGTGGGGCGGCAACGGCGGCGCAAACAGAGCGCCTGGAGAGGACCCAGCCCGTTACAGTGTCACCGTCTGAGGCGTCATGAGATGGCCATCCCCGGACTGGCCGACACGTGATCTTAAGTCACTCCTTATCGCCAAGGATAGTGGAGCGGTCTCAGCTGAGAATGGCACTGACGGCTCTTTCTTCGGCTGCAGAAGCAGGGACGCGATGAAGCTTGGTCCAAAGTTAAAAGAAGCAGGAGTTCAAAACGAACAAGGAAAACAAAGAGGCGCTGGCAAACAAGCTAGGGTATCCAGGTGGAGGCCCTCGATGGTGATGTCTCACAACAACTCTTTGGTGACGAGCTCTTGGGATGAAGCCCACTGGGGGTTTGCCGGGGTGTGCGTTGGAGCTCAAGCGGTCCACGCAGAGAACTCCAGAATGAGACGTTGCAAAAGCTATTTGGGGCACATACACAGTGGGCGGTTGAACAACCATTCTGCACGGGAAGGAAGACAGAAGTCAGAGACAGAGAGAGATCCCTCAGATGTTATCATATCGTCTAAAGTGCAACAAGCCAATGTCAGTGCAGCTTTGGGTAATGTGCATGAGCCCCGTGAAACAAGGGGCTGCATGGACGATGCAGATTCGGAGGCGGGCGAAGCAAGCCACTAAAGGACTGCAGAAGGTCGGACAAAAGAGACAAATCGACATCCCAACATATGCTGAATTGGGACATGCACGATCCGTATCTAGACGTCAAGGCTAATAAAAAGACAGAAGAAGCAAGCGGAAAGAGAAGAACAGCCATTTGGTGATGAGACGTGGGCCGGTTCTGGCTTTCGGGATGTTGACAGCTCGTGATGGTACGGAGATAGGCCCGAGCGGAGGAGAGCCTGCTCGGGAGACTGGAGCGGTCCGTTCCTAGCTAGGTAGGGTAACGGTATCAACGACAGTCAGTGGCTGGGCAATGTCTTCATCCATGGTTCGCGGGCTAGTCTGCAGGAGGTTGTGGATGCTGTGCTGCAGCTATCCGGAGGAGGAGGCCCAATTGCACAATGATAGCCCGCACGCGCCCTCCCGAGCCCTGAGAGGCCACGGAACGTGAGCAGCAAGCCGTGTGGTTGTTGGCCGCCATCCAGGTGCTCTCTCCAGACACAGACACAGCGTGGTCGTCCTCCGTCGTCCTCTGTGTGCACGTCAAATCGGCTTCGCTCCCAGTTGCCGGCGTGTCACGCTCGATCTAGCGCGGCATTGTGTTTGCTGTTGAGCTTGGGTTAGTCCGCCGTCAGATGTACTGGTACTCAGCGCGCACAAGGAGCGACAGTGTGGGAGGACGAGGTTGTGCTGGGGACGATGGTACGTGAGGCGGAGTAGGATCCAGAGATATGGGTGAAGGTGCCCATTGCCTTCGTATCATTAGCTAGCAGGTTTCATGGCAAAAGCACAGGTGGAGTGTGACAACTGCAAAAGCTCCATGGTGAGCAGCTTCATCGTGAGCGGGGAATATGTTGCGGTACCTGGATGGGCAGAAGGAGACGTGCGATGAGGTATCTTTACGGGTAAAGAACATTCATGACTAAGCATGAGCTAGCCTAAAGAGTGGCCGTCTTCCACGTGAAACGAACGTCAACCGCAGCAGCCTTCCGCTACCCTCACCACCTTGCTACTCAGCGCGCACACCCCTACAGAGACGCAATGTCGGTGCTACTCGAGACGTCTGTGGGCGACATCGTCATTGACCTGCTCGTCGCCGAATCCCCACGGTGTTGCGAAAAGTGAGTCCCCTCTGCGCGTTGCCAACTGTTTCCTCCCACTTCCAGCGCAAGACTGAGCCTACAGAACAGAGACTGACACTGCATCTCCCACCCCTCCAGCTTCCTCAAGCTTTGTAAAATCAAATACTACAATTTCTCGCCTGTATATAGCGTGCAGCCGAACTTCTCCTTCCAAACGGGCGACCCCATCGGCCCCGGCTCCAAAGACAGCGATGGCGGCTCCTCCATATGGGGCTTGCTATCCCCCAACGACCCCGCGAAGAAGACATTCAAGCCAGAGTTCCACCCCAAGCTGAAGCACGTCGAGCGCGGCACCGTCAGCCTTGCGACCGCCCCCGCCCCCAACGACCCCGACGAGCGCCTCGCCGGCAGCCAGTTCATCGTTACGCTAGGAGATAATCTGGACTACCTCGATGGCAAAGCTGCCATATTCGGCACCGTCGTCGAAGGCTTTGACGCACTGGAGAAGATCAACACAGCGTTCGTGGACGAGACAGGCCGCCCGCTCAAGGACATCCGCATCCGGCACACCGTGGTTCTGGACGATCCCTTCCCCGATCCACCAGGCCTGGTCGCACCAGATGCGAGTCCTGTACCCACGCCCGCCCAACTCGCTACCGTCCGCATCGCCGACGACGAAGAACTTGCCGAGAATGAGGACCAAGAAGTCATGGAAGCGCTCCGGCGCGAGCGCGAAGCCCGCGCGCAGGCCCTCACTTTGGAAATGATGGGCGACCTGCCCTTCGCTGAAGTCAAGCCCCCGGAAAACGTCCTCTTCGTCTGCAAGCTTAACCCCGTGACGCAAGACGAGGACCTCGAACTCATCTTCTCGCGCTTTGGCAAGATTCTATCTTGTGAGGTCATCAGGGACAAACGCACCGGCGACAGCCTACAGTATGCTTTCGTTGAGTTTGAGGAAAAGAAGGACTGTGAGAACGCGTATTTCAAGATGGATGGTGTCTTGATTGATGATCACCGCATCCACGTTGACTTCTCGCAGAGCGTGAGTCGCTTGTCTGATTCGTGGCGCGATGCGACGAATGCAAAGCGGAAGAAACAGGGCGGTGGATTTGGTGGCATTGAGGGCTTGGAGAGGAAGAGGCAGTACCGGGTTGACGATGGCGCGGAGAGACTGCGCGAGCGCGAGCGGGAAAACAAGTACGGCCTTGTAATAGACAGAGAGGCTGCAGCGAGGCGAGAAGAAGCGAGCAAAGACTTCGAGAGCTCGCGGAAGCGGAAGGAAAGGAGTCATGAGTATGAGGATCGATGGCGGCCGTCAAGAAGCCGCAGTCCGAAAAGGAGCGACCGGCGAGGCCAAGACAACAAGTATTCAGAAAAGCGTAGGGAGCGAAGTCGAAGTCGAAGTCGAAGTAGGGATCGTTACCGCACCGATCATCGGAGGCGAGATCGAAGCCGTGAGCGCTATAGGGATGTCGGTCGGCGATATGACCGTGACCGACGGTAGGCCAGCATCGCGCCACAAGCCATTCTTCGCGGACTAGCTAGGCTTTGGGCTACCCTTCCGGGCATCACGGCTCGAGAAGCGATCTTCTGGCTTCTCAGGGCCGCGTCGCCTGTCCTGTATTTGTACGGTACTATCGAAAAATTCAAAAATTGACATCTCGAATACAGATTCTCTATTCGAGCAACTCTAGGCTATGGAAAAGCATTGATTCTAAGTGCGCCCAAGCTTACAATGAAACCCCCTCGTGAACTCGAGGTCTGATTCTAGATGTACGGCAAAAAGTATGCAGTACCGCCTGCAAACTACAGCACTAGGTTATAAGTTTGTGCTCACTGAGATCCTGCTGCTCGAGTTTCACTCTTGCTCGCGCCACGCTGCTGTGTGGAGTAGTCCAAGTATACCACCTAAAGCACCATTCCTCGTCCTCAATCCGTCAAGCACGTGCTTCTCTGTACCTATCTGTTAGCCGCAGTCTGAGTTAGCTGTGCAGTCTTTCAGATTGTTCCAGACGGTGAAGGTTATAAAGAGAGCAGACCACCGAGGGACTTTAAGCAGCGGCAGATGAGTGTATACTCAATGTCCTCCTCATACGTCCTCATCAGATACGAGCGAACTTTTTCTCTTTTGTGAAGTGATTTCGCTATTCCTCGCAATTCTATGGTACAATTCGGCAGCTCAATTCAATATGCGCAATTCCACGCTTACTACCCAGCCCAATTTTGGCAATTTTGGCCCCGTCCCAAGTCCAAACCTGGAAAGCCACCGACGCCAAGGCAGTATGCTGAAAGGTAAAGGCTAAAGGAATCGCAAGGGAACCCGCATCTAAAGCCAAGAAAGCCTTCCAATTCGCCGTTGTCTGTTATTGTTTTCTGTTTTTTATAGGTACCTGGTAACGCGTGTTCCGCTCTCAATCTCTCACGCTGATGCCAGTGCGGGTGGTAAACATGCGCGCGGCGATGTTCATACTTGCCAGTTCCTGGAACAGCAGCTTCGCAGCGTACGGAATCTGGACCTGGGAGATCTTGGTCTTGTTGTGGCAGGGGCGGCACTCGTATTGGCCTTTTTTGATTTGACTATCGAGTATAGTTAGCACATATTTTTCCTTGAGACGAGTGATATCTAAGACGTCAAGCAGTCCAGGAAATGGGTCATCGTACGCAATCGGACTCATTAGCCCGCAGATATCACAGATATGCACGCGATATGCATCCGAGACCTCGAACAGCCTCTCCTTCAAGAAGGCCGCTGCGCCATGAGAAATCATGCAATCACGTTCCATCTCTCCGAAACGCAGGCCACCGTCTCTGGCACGACCCTCGACGGGCTGTCGGGTTAGAATCTGGAGGGGTCCTCTAGCACGCGCGTGGATTTTGTCGTCGACCATATGGCGCAGACGCTGGTAATAGGTGGGACCAAGGAAAACCTGAGCGACCATCTTTTTGCCAGTATGGCCCTGATACATAACCTCAAAGCCACGACTATGGTAACCGTGCTTGCGGAGAATGTCGGAGACGCTCTGAACCGTGACGTCGGTGAAAGGAGTAGCGTCTCCTTCGGCACCACGGAGCGAACCAACCTTTGACAGCAGACACTCGATCAAATGGGCAATCGTCATTCGAGAAGGAATGGCGTGTGGGTTGATGATGATGTCTGGAGTGAGCCCCTCGCGAGTGAATGGCATGTCTTCTTGGCGGTACGTGATACCAATAGTACCCTTCTGACCGTGACGTGAAGCAAATTTATCACCGATCTGTGGAATCTTTGTCGTACGCGTGCGCACTTTGACAAACCGGAGACCCTCAGTATTGGTAGTGAACAACACCTGATCGATGATGCCGTTTTCGGTGTGTCGAAGCGGTGTAGACACATCACGCTTTGTGTGCATGACGGTCTTCTGGCCTAACTCGTTGGCGTCTGGAGGAATAGGAGCTGTCTTCCCAATGATCACATCGTCTCCCGACACGCGAACTCCGGGTGCAACGACACCATCGTCGTCAAGCTTGTCGTAGGTCCCACCCTTCATGCGGAGCGTGTCACTACGAGTCGGCTTCTCGAACTGCTCGAGAACGTTGACACCAATGCGTTTCTCCTGTTCTGTGTATGACCGATAGAACAGACTCCTGAATAGACCTCTGTCGATACTGCTTTGATTCATGATGACGGAATCTTCCTGGTTGTAACCGGAATAGCAGGCAATAGCCACAATTGCGTTTTGACCAGCAGGAAGCTCTCGGAATCTGAGATACTCCATGGACCGTGTTGTAGCCAGCGGTTTCTGAGGATAGTAGAGTACGTTCATCATAGTCTCCATACGTAGAGCGTAATTCGTAATCGCAACTCCCATAGCCTGTTTGCCCATGGCGGACTGGTATGTGTTACGAGGAGACTGATTGTGATCTGGGAATGGAATAATACTAGCGCAAATACCGAGAATCATACTTGGGTGAATCTCGCAATGCGTATATGTTTTCACCATTGCATTTGGTTTCGGCTTGATGCGCCTGAACCCATCTGCACCATCATCATCGCCCTCGAATATTCCCTGGCTTGCTTGACGATGCTCGTCCAGATCCTCGGGGGTCATGATAATCATCGCAGCCTCTTCCTCTTCGGCATCTAAATACTCGACTACACCACTGTGCAGGAGGCCTCTCCAGCCGAACGTAACTTCAGCCTTCTCTTCGTCGCTCATGCCTCTAGTGTCTACAAGCTTGTCGTCGTGGAGCTTTTCGACATGGGATTTGTTCAACACCAACATTCCGCGATTGGGTTTTCTCGGACTGTTCTCAACAACGAACAGAGGGCGCATAACTCGGCCCGCATCGGTGAAGATCTTGAACTCCCGATCGCGGATGTCTCGAACAAGACTCATTTCGTATGAAAGGACACCACTTCTCCGTAGTTCTTGTACGACGTTTACGAGCTGAGATGGCTGTGTATGAACACCGACCCACACCCCATTAACGAAGATTTTAGTTGCGTTTGGGTTTACGGTGGGATCGTATTCCTCGAGCAGCTCCATGTTGCGTTGAGTCATGAAGTCTGTAATCGGCGTGCTCTCGCTACCCACGGAGACGTAGCACATCAGTGAGAGGTTTTTCACCAACCCACAGGCCTGTCCTTCCGGAGTTTCTGCCGGACACACCAATCCCCAGTGGGTGTTGTGTAATTGGCGCGGTTTTGCGAGCTTCCCATCACGGCCAACCGGTGTGTTGGTCCGTCGTAAATGAGATAATGTCGACGCATACGTGTAACGGTTAAGAACCTGTGAAACACCAGCTTTGGACGACGCAGCCTTTTTCTGATCGCCCCAATTACCAGTCGCTAGGGAGTACTTGAGCCCATTTGTGATGATGCTGGCTTTGACCGCTAGTGCAATGCTGAACTCCTGGCCGTGTTCAACGCATTTCTGGAGGTACTTGTAGATATCCTTGGTCAGTCGAAGGAATAGTTGCCGGAAAAGATTGGCAATGAGTGGACCTGCGAGATCCAAACGCTTCTTTCCGAAATGGTCCCGATCGTCTTCATCACGCCGACCAAGAACGCACTGGAGCAGACGGTGAATCATGTAACCAAGAAAGAAGGCTTTCCTCGTGTCCTGGCCTTCCTTTTGAGAAATATGTGGCAGAAATTCTCGCTGCATAATGTCTCGCGCGTACTTTAGACGCTTGTCCCGAGTACCGGTAGAGGCGCCACGCTTCGCGATCCAATCCAAGGCAGTCTCCCGATCTTGTATCATGGCGCCTTCCTCTATGCTGGGCTTGAGCAGCTCGAGCATTTGGGTGTCATTCCTGTCGTAGACAATGTGATTCAGTATCTCTTCGTCAGACACAACGCCTAGCGCGCGGAAAACAACAGAAATCGGGACCTCTGCTTTGATGTATGGAAGAGTCGCGTAGGCGTAGGGACCGGGCTGTCGCTTGACGATCATTGAGTTCTCTGCCCACTTGATGTTGAAGGTAGAGATAAGACGAGATCCTTTCTCAACCGCGCTGCGGATTTCAGCCGTCCAGGGAATGGGGCCTTGCTTCTTTCGGAACACCTGGACGATATTCGCGGCACTTCGCTCTTGAGCAATCAACACCTTCTCCGAACCGTTGATGATGAAGTATCCTCCTTGATCGTATGGACACTCCTTTTCCTGGTACAGCTTCTCGTCCGACTGGCTTCTCAAATGGCACATCTCTGAGCGCAACATGACGGGTAGCTTGCCGATGAAAACGCGATTTGCATCATCGTCGAGGTCGAGTGGCTGGTCGCTGGGGTCCTCTTCTTCCCAATATAATTCCGTGCCACCAGATGCGTTGTTGTCGACGTCCATGTCGTCCCCGCTGGGATTAGCCGCGATGGGTCGTTCCCTGGCAACCATCTTCTTGTGCTGGATATTGGCCATCAAAGCCCCGGAATAGGTGAGATTCCGCAAACGGGCCTCGTGTGGAGTCATGGGCATAGTAACACCATCCCCTTCGGTATGCGTCGGCCGCGCCAAGGAAACTTTGCCAAAGTGTATCTCATATCGCCGCTTGATGATGGGATCATCGTCTTCGCTGTAGGGCGCATTCTGATCCAGTATGACATGGCCGTTCTCCTTCACGATATCCTGAATGGTGTTGCGCGTGAATTCGTCGTATGAGTCCAGCTGCTGCGAAACGAGACCCTTTTGCTCGAAGAAAGAGGATATAACGGTCCAGCAGTCCTCGGCCGTTATCACATCGGAATCTTCCTCCTCCCCCAAGTACTCATCATCCTCATATCCGTTGGCGTCGTAAGCCATGTTGGCGATGGCGTTGGGAAGAGATCTGGCAGTGCGAGTGAGGCAGTCGGCTTCGAGGACGGCGCGCGGCGCTCGGCGCTGCGCAGCCAGTGGCGGACGAGCGAAATCACCTGGGGCGCTGCAAGCAGAATGTCAGTTTAGATTGCTCGGCCAAGCAAGTGTCGAGAGTGGTGCGCTCGTGAGGTGATGCGACGGCGGCGCGGTGGCGGGTGGAGGAGAGCAGCGCCTTGAGCCCTTGAGGTCGACGGGTTACTAACAAAGCCAAAGCAGGGGCCAGCTCGGTGCAGTCTTTGACATCACTCACGTGATCAACCCTCACTTCTCAGATTGCAGCTACGCAATAGTGCAGCCCCCCTACGCGTTCTTGTCTCAAGCTATCTAGAGTGCTTTGGCATAATACTAGAACTATCGACCAGATGGAAGGCCATAGACTACTCCATAGCGGCAGATATTTCGACTAGAAGGGTGAATCTGCTCTAGATTCCTAAAAGTTCGTCACGGCACTAAAGACAGCTATAGAATGGTGTAGATAGATCTGAGACGATGCAACATATCTAGTAAGAAAGTACAAAACGGTGACACTGGCAGTCTCTTCTAGATCTTACTCTGCCCCTCCTGAGGTATCTTCACCACCACCTTGCCCCAACTCTCCCGCCCACCCAGCGCCTGCAGAGCTGCTGGAACACTCTCTAGTCCTACGTACTCCTTGTCTGTGAAGCAAGTCCCTTTGTATTTTCCTGACTCCATCAACTCGTATAGCCCCTCCCACACCTTTTCTATCGCCTCTGGCTCATTTATCGAGTATGCGCCCCAATGCAACCCTACGACGCTCACATTCTTGAGCAGAATTCTGTTGGTGGCCATCTTCTCAATATCTCCAGCGGCAAATCCAATAACGAGGAGTCGGCCGTTCCAGGCTATACACTTCATCGATTGGGCAATTAGCCCGACAGGATCGTAGACAATATCTACACCGCGACCCTTAGGCGTCAGCTTCTTGACCTTCTCAGGCCAGTCGCTTTGGCGGTAGTCGATCGCATGGTCTGCGCCAAACGATCGCGCTACATCAAGCTTATGTTGGGAACCTGCGGTTGCAATAACAGTAGCGCCAAATGCCTTCGCAATCTGCACTGCAGCGAGTCCCACGCCTCCAGCAGCAGCATGAACAAGAACCCAATCTCCTGAGAGTCTGTTAGTTATACTTCGCATAGAACGGAATCGGTAGCTCTGACCCTTCTTAATGCCTGCCCGCGTGACCAGCCCAGCATAGCTAGTAGGGCCGGTCACAAAGACGCCCGCGGCGTCGAAGAAGCTCCAGCCCTTGGGCATTGGTCGTAGACGGTCTTCAGGTGCGGCGACCTGGGTGGCATAACCGCCTTGACTAGCCCCAAACACCTTGTCCCCAACCTTAAACTTGGGTGTCCGGCCGCCGGGGAGGGACGAGGGCGCTTTTATGACCACACCGGAGAACTCAGAGCCTGATATCCAGGGAAAAGGCGGCTGGTTTTGGTACTTTCCGCGGATCTGGAGGAGATCGAAGAAATTTGTAGCGGCGGCATGAATGGCAATGACGTACTCGTTGGGCTTGGGGACGGGGCCGGGCAGGGTGCTGATCTTGAGCTCTTCAGGGCCCTGTGGTTGTCAGTGAATAGTGCGCAGGGATTTATGGTGTTGAGAGCACCTTGACATATTCAGTGACTTGAATGGCGCGCATCTTGCGAGCAGGTCCAGATTACAAGCACTTGGAAGATGATGAGAGAAGATGAGAGGAAAGCAATTCTTCTACGGTGGAAGCTGGGGGTGTTCGTGGCTACAGGCGTGCGGGCAGCTACGACAGACAGCGGCCATATTGTTCAAGCAACGCGATAGTGGAAGATGCCTCGGCCAAAGCAGCTCGGCTCGTTCGCTCGAGACACTCCCGCGAGTCGGTCGAGCTGTTCCTCCTCGCGGTGGCTGAAAGACTCGCGGTGGCGCAGGTGCTGTCGTTTCTGGCTCCGTCATTCGGTCGACTTCCATTGACTACGATACGCCAAAGAGAACACGCAGCAACATCCCCAAAGAGGAACACGTCGACCACGATTCTGGCTGCTTCCTGCATCCATTTTGGCCATAACCACAGTCCCCTTGACCGCCCCACACCTGGCCAGCCTCTACATAGGTAGCCTGACCTCTCCGACCCCGCCGCGTCCTCCACCACTATCGCCCTCATGGCCGACGACGCCGCAGCAGCTTCTGCGGAAGAGCCGCAGGTCACCTTCAGCGTCAAGTCTTCGAGCGACGCCAAATATGTTCTCACCGTCCCCGCGGCCATCACCGTTGCGGACATCAAGACGAAGCTGTCGGGTGCAGACTACGCCGATCTGCCCGTCGAACGCCAGCGTCTGATATACTCCGGCCGCGTGCTCAAGGACCACGACACACTAGCCAGCGTCAAGATCAAGGACGGGCACACCGTCCATCTCGTCAAGGGCGCCGCCAGCAACGCCCGCCAGAATCCCGCTAGTCACGGCTCGAGCACCACAAACAACACCCCAGCCGCGCCTCAAGTACCTACAAATCTCGCCACAGGAACCGGCCACGATCCCCTCGCGGGCTTGACAGGAGCGCGATATGCGGGCTTCCACGGTCTCCCAGGCGCTGACACGTTCGGCCCAGATGGAGGAGTCAGTCCCCACCACCTTCTTGGACAACACTGACTGACTGCTTATAGATGGGACCTCCAGACCCCTCTCAGATGCTCAGGATGATGGACGACCCAAACTTCCTTCAACAAATTAACGAGGCCATGGAGAATCCCGCGATCCAGAACATGCTCACCAATCACCCCATGCTCCGCGACAACCCCGCGATACAGCAAGCCCTACGGAACCCAGAAATGCGTCGCATGATGTTCAGCCCAGAGATGATGCGCATGCAGCTACAAATGCAGCAACAACAGATGAATAGAGGAGGCGGTGACTTTCCAGCACCCGGCGTCACTGATACCACACCACAGGCGGGCGGAACAGGCGCCAACACTACTAACCCTACCCAGCCAGCTCTAAATCCCTTGGCCATGTTCGGCGGCGGTGCAGGAGGCCAAACCAACCCCTTCGCTTCACTCTTCGCACCTGGCGCTGCTAATCCTTTCGCACCAAACCCCAACTCCAACACCACGCCCGCCACATCGCCCCCGGCCACAGCCTCCGCAGGCCAGGGCACACCCGCAAACCCAACACCCTCGACCCAACCCCCTAGCCCCTTCGCGAACCTCTTCGGCAACGCCGCCCAACCCGGGGAGCAGAACCCGTTGGCCCAAATGACGCAGCAGATGATGCAGAACCCCGACATGATGCGCGCCGCCATGCAAATGTTCGGAGGAATGGGCGGAGGAGCCGGCGCTGCGCCCCCCGCTACTGGCGATGCCGCCGCGAACCCTTTCGCGAACCTGTTCGGTCCGGGAGGAAGCTTCCCAGCAGGCTTCCCAGCGTTCGGGGGAGCGGCGTCGCCGCCACCGCCCGCCGACACTCGGCCGCCCGAGGAGGTCTACGAGGCCCAGCTGAGGCAGCTGAACGACATGGGGTTCTACGAGTTCGAGCGGAATGTGCAGGCGTTGCGGCGGAGCGGGGGCAGCGTGCAAGGCGCGATTGAGCATTTGCTTGGTGGATCATGAGGGATTGCGAGCTCGCGGTGTCGCGTAGGCAGAGGACGAAGGGACGAGATGGATGCGGTGGGCATGAGCATGTAATAGGTACCTTTCTAAGCTTTTCTCTTCCTATCGGCTCGCATTGGCATGGCTGGGTGGATGGCTTGGACGGGTTTCATAGGACGACGCAGCTCGTCGAGGATTAGAATGGGAATACGAGATATCCGACACGCTGAGACAGCACCGTCTAAGGTGCCCCAGTAACATTCCGAGTGTTCGAAACGAGTGCTTTTTGTGTTTTGCAGATCCGAGGTGGGGTATTGAAACATCTCATGCGGTGGTGGAGCGGTGTGCGCACATGTGTTCACTCTGACGAGGCCGGTGGCCCAGCAAGTTTACCGGGGGTTTCAAAGCTAAGGGTCCGTCTTTTGTACGTACAAGCTTGGGGCAGCGGGTTGAGGGACTACAGACGGTGGCTACGAAGTGGCACACGCGCTCGTTCATGCAGGTGCTGACGACATATGAACTATTCCTGATCACTTTTCCTGTCGAGTGCTAGTAGACAGGATACCACTTAGCTCGCATCAACGCCATCTTGAGAAGTACACCACAACCAGATCCAAACCGGCGCCAGAGGCAGCCCCATCACCTACAGCTCCAAAGACCCCAGCTGCCCTACAGATAGCGATCCCTCCACCCCTTTTTCCCCTTGCCCACCTGCACCAGCCGCCAACTGACCTCCACCCCCCGCCCCCGCGCCAGCTCCACCGCATCAACCGAGCTCACGCTCTGGCAGAAATCCGCCCCGATCCACTCCAGCCCGCTCAGCCTGACGCACAGCTGCCTGATCCCCGCGCCTGAAATGCGCGTCTTCGCCAGGTTCACGCGCCGCAGCTCCGGGAACGTCGCGCACACGAAGTCCACCACCTCGTCGTCCGCGAGCGAGTCGGTGAGGTCCAGCTCCTGCAGCGTTGAGAAGCGTGGGTTGGATAGGCAGCGGAGGAGGGCGTCTTTGGAGGCGACGGTGGTGTTAGCGAGGGAGAGGCTGGTGAGGGAGGTAGTGGTGGCGAAGTCGATGTCCGTCTCGTCGTTCACGGCTTTGAGGAGGAGGACGTCGAGGAAGCCCGGGTCGAGGGCGCCGAGATTGCAGAGGGCGAGGGCGGTCAGGTGGGGGAGGTACGTCGCGAGGGCGGCTTGGGTGTTTAGCGCGGTCAGGGGGGAGCTGGTCGTGAAGTGGTTGTTGGAGTCTGAGGCGATGTGTTCGTAGAGGTGGAGGGAGGGGGGGAGGAGGGGGAAGGTAGTCAACGGGTATCTTTGGAGCTTGAGGGACTCGAGGGATTCGAGTGCGGTGAAGTCGGGGTCGGTGGCGGGCCGTTTGTGCCAGTTAGTCAGGGTAAGGTGCTTTAGTTTTGGGGAGCGGGTGAAGAGTTCTTGCTGGAGCAGTGTTAGTGTTTGCTCTAGTTTGGATGCCTGGGGCTTACAAGGTTCAAGTTAATGCTGTACGGGCTACCACTTGCCGGACCTGAGGTCAACACTAGTGTGGTCAGGTTGGGCAGATCAACTTTCCAATCAACTCGCATTCCAGTGCTCTCGATGTTGTGGAACTCCGCATCAGTAAGATTGGGCGTGTGTCGCAGGATTTGGGATACCGCATCCAGAGAGATGTTGGTATTATCACGAAGAATGAGGCGTCGCAGGCTCGTGGAGCACATCGTTACTTCGCAAATCGATTCGCCACCTAGGGTCCCACTCAAAAAGTCGAGAGACTCGAGTGCCTTGCATGTTGTTGCAAGACTACGAAGAGAGTCGACGTGGTTGAATCGATGAATGGTTGCGGTCTTCAGCTTGTGTTGAGACCGGAGGACGCAGTGGCGCACGAATGAGCCCGAGACATTGCGTCGAGCATGAGAAAGATCCAGATCCGTCCAAAGACGAGGTCGGTTGATAAGGAACTGTTTCCATTGCTTGGAAACGCGGAGACATGTTCTAGTAAGGAAGGTAAGCATGAGTTCATGTAGTGAGCGGGAGCAGACAACTAACACCATGTTTCGGAAAGTCAAGTAGCCGATGACCATTTCGACGATTTCAATGGGCAGAACCGAGAACGGATCGACGGACTTTGGAGGTGAGAGCTGTCTAATAAGCTTGTCAAGCATCCCTTGAAGCAGCTTGATATGTCGTTAGCTTTCGTGTCTAGATCCCGCGGGGGCAAAGCGTTGCGCTCACCTTGTAGTTCTCATCGGAGACAAGGACATTCTTGAGGCCATGCTTGTAGATTTCGACTGCAGAATCAGGCTTTTCCATCTTCTGCAAGATGTCTGCAGTGCGAAGATATCCCTACGGGAAGGTTAGCTCGTTCTTCCGGCAACCGAAGGCCGACCTACTCTAGCGTCGCCTTTGTCGAGTTTGATCATGTGGCGGCCATCTTTAGCAGCCATTTTGAAGTTCTGCAGCTTCTCAAAGCTGGCTGCGCGGTTGTTAAGCATGGCGACTGTAGGGATGATCATCAATTCGATGGCTTCTGTGAAAGCATCCACCGCCTTCTGGTACTCCTTATGTTTATAGTACCGCTTTCCCAACTCTTGATACTCCGCAGCAGACATGGTGCGAGGCATCTTGAACGTATAATCAAAAGTCGCGTCGGCGCAGCGCGTGTGGTCGTGATGAGTTGAAGTTGCAGTGGTCAAAGGCCTGTGACGCGACGCGACAGTTCGCTTATTCTTTCCTATCCGAGCATCGTCTTAGAAGAGTGTGGAGTGTTGAGTGAATTGAGGGGGCCAAGACAACGGCTCACAGAGCAACGATGGTAGAAATCCTGTAGCCTATATTCACGCTACTATCAGATATGCTTGGTTGGAGGACCAAATCAGCCAACGGTCATAGAGAACACGAACCGCACACGAAACAGCTGAGGGTCCCTCAGAAGCGCATCATCATGATCAAAGCTCACTGCTAATTTCCTTAGTTATAATCAAGTGTCGACAATTCTGTAGCCTAGATCTTTCAAGCCTGCTTATGATCTGATAGGTCCTACATGGCCCTCCGCTCCATTAATTTCCATGGCCATAGCACATCATCCTCTCGCGACAAACGACTCCCAGAATCAAGACTTCTAAATTGACTGTGGCGCTATAGGCTCTCCATCTCGTTCTCACGAATAGAAAATCAGATAATAAAAGGATTGCCTCTGTAGACTCTGCATAGTCTGCGTTCAAGACCTCGCTAATGATTGTTTGGAGGTTCCATGCCTTTTGTGTCGACCACCACACGCTACCTCTCTGCTCATTATCCCACAATTCTTTCTCTTGGCAGCCTTCACTTCTTGAACCGAATTTGTCTAGGCTGGTGAGATGATGCGGAAAGCTGTAATGATGATCTGTCAGCATGTAGGTGCAATTATTGCGCTCGTGGACCCGGACCTACTCCTTATCTACGTTGCGCAAAGGTATTTCTTCCTAGAAATGACACAGCCCTTGCTGTTCGTAGGTTATCTTGACGGTCTAGATCCGCCCTTCTCATTCGGCGACATATAGTTCTCGTGCTTTATCGTTTGCGGCTTGCTGGGCACCATACTCTTTCAGTCCCGTGCGTGATCTGGTGCGACGAATGGACCTCCGACGTTGGTGATCCTGATAACTTGCAGGCGAGCCAGAGTAGCGGCGTGTGGATAGGTCATGCGAGTTCGCATGCTCAAGCAACACATGAACATTCAGAGTCTCCGGACCTGGTGCCCAGCTGTGTCGACTTGTGGGACTTTTCTGCCTAGGGTCTAAACTCTGTCTAAGATCTGACTTGTCTGATAATCTATGGGGTGTAGCGTTGCTCGATGCTTGTTTCCGAGCCTTTGGGCTTGTCTTTGGCGTTTTAGGACCGTCCGTTTCCTTAACATCACTGACTCCTGCTACTTTCACAATATCCTGTGAATGGATAATTAGTCTCATTCACTTTGCTTTGAAACACTTGACTCACATTTGTTGGGTATACGGTCCCAGGCAAAGCAACGTATTCATCGAGCGGAAGTGGCAGCGTTGCAAAGTTGAAGCCCTTGCCAGGTGTGACTGGATGAAAGAGTTGGCCCACGTCCTCCTTGAAGTCGAAAAGATAGCTGCGGACTGGTTGATACGCAGAGCGATTAATGTACCACTGTGGATAAGATCCAAACCAAGCGTCGACGACAGGATCTACATCGACGCTAAGGTAGATATCCTGGTTCTCATCAGGTTGGTGTACTAACAGAACGAAATCGAACTCTCGAGGCAACCCAGATCTCTGCGTCGAGTTTTCCTGTAGGGTCCAGACCGCTAATGCATCTTCGACATCGTAGTCAGGATTTTCTGCGCGCAGGGTGCGCAGTGAGCCTTGTATGCTCATCATATCATAGACTTTGTAGCTTGATCTGTAGCCGGCGGAGGGATTGACGCTTGCCGATAGAGGAGTCTGTGATATTCCGAGGGAACTCGAGAGGCTGAAATTCCATTGCAAGTTCTCCGGAGATACGGCCCCGTACATAAGTTGCGGCGCATGCCTCAAAAATCTGGGGGATTCTGGAGGTGTATCGTAGTAATACGCTTTTGGATCATGGCCATGCACACCGACCCGTAGTACAGCAGATTTGAAGCGGTGGCTCTCGGTATCTGCAGGATGGAAGACAAAATGAACAGAGACGAAGTAGACGTTGCGCATATGCCCTTCATGCAGGAGTTCAGTCTGATAGTACCCGCGCTGGAGGCGATTCACGTGGGCAGATATGTAGGCATTACCAGGCAGTAGACGCTCATATATGCACTTCTGGCGGACCTGTAGACGCTTGTCGGGGGCATTAGGATCTGTTTTCACCGGCGGAATGCCAGACACAGGAGTACGAGGAGGTGGCGTAGAGTCCGATGGCTGGAGCTGTGGGCCGGCTCTGAACCGCTGCAGATAGGAAGCCATGAAGTAGCAACAACAGCAGAGTAACTAGGAAAGCCCAACAGGATATGGAGTGAACTAGGAGGCGCAGACCGAGAGATGGACATGTACAAAGGGGATGAGGAAGTAAAAGAGGCTGGGGGCTGCTGACAGGGGCTGAGACCAATGATCGACCCCGGAGCTCGACGTCAGCTGCCTCGCATAAGGCACGCCTTCCAGGTCTAGAGGCATTCTGTAGCGCCGGACTCGGTGGATGAGCGCCTAACTGAGACTCAGGTCATTTATCTATCGAAACCTCTCATAACCAGCGTGAAGCGTGGTTGAATGCCATCCTCGAGGTTCGTGGACTGAGTCTAGCTTCGGGGGTAAATGGCATGACGCTGGGTTCCGTTGCCCCGCTCTTATCGGCTCTAGCCACATGTACAGGCACTGCGGGGGTGTCCGATATCTCGATATGCACCACCATGAAGCTCCATCGTGAGACCTTTCACGACCTTGGAATCTCCAAGGACTGGTCACCCCTTATTTTTATCTTGCACCATAGAATCTCGCAGCTATAATGCAGCTCGTGCCTAAGGAGGTTTGCTTCCACCCTACCATTTGCACTACGATGCCTCGCTAACAAAAAGCACCGCAGCTCGACAAGCTCGTGATCTCACAGCTTGGCCTGCTCGCCCAACGTCGTCTCGCTCGAGGTGTCAAACTGAACCATGCGGAGGCTACTGTGAGAGCTCTTCCATTTACAGCTTGTTCGGGCTCGCTTCTAACAATCCCAGGCCCTAATTGCGAGCAATCTTCAAGAGGTATTGCTTTTTCCTGTATGGCGTGAATCTGGCTCAAATTTTTTGTAGCTCGTTCGTGATGGCAACCACACTGTCGCAGATCTCATGTCCATCGGCAAAACCATGCTAGGTCGTCGTCATGTCCTTCCGTCCGTCGTCTCGACTCTCTCTGAACTCATGATTGAGGGGACTTTCCCTTCTGGAACCTATCTGGTCACTGTCCACCACCCGATCAGTACTGATGACGGGGACCTTGAGAAAGCTCTTTACGGTTCTTTCTTGCCCATCCCATCTCAAGACAAGTTCCTACTCCCCGAGACTAGTGTATACGAAAGCACCAAACAGCCTGGAGCGGTTATCGCTGTTAAAGGGGAAGCCGGAACGATCAAGTTGAATGAAGGGCGAAAGAGAATTCAACTTAAAGTCGTCAGCAAGGGAGACAGGCCCATACAAGTACGTATCCTCGTTTTAAAGTAACATTTGTGTCTAAAGCTCATAAACACATAGGTCGGCTCTCATTATCACTTTATTGAAACGAACCCCCAACTTCAGTTCGATCGTGTGCAAGCACATGGTTACCGTCTTGACATTCCCGCAGGCACCTCGGTTCGGTTCGAGCCAGGTGATACGAAGACCGTTACGCTTGTTCAAATCGCTGGTAATCAAATCATCAAAGGAGGAAACGCCCTAGCTACCGGATTCATCCAGAACGCTTCAATTGCCGAGAGCATTATCGAGAAGATTCAAGCAGGAGGCTTCCTTCACGAGCCCGAGCCACTTGGTGATGCAGCACATATCGACATCTGTACTATGGAAAGACAAGCTTATATCAGCATGTTTGGCCCTACGACTGGTGATGTAGTCAGACTGGGTGCCACTGATCTCTGGATCAAAGTGGAGAAAGATCTAACGAAATACGGCGACGAGTGCTCTTTCGGTGGTGGAAAGACGCTGAGGGAGGGCATGGGCCAAGCAGGTGGAAGATCTGATAAAAAGAGCCTAGACACAGTCATCACAAATGCCCTCATTGTCGATTGGTCCGGGATATACAAGGCAGATATTGGCATCAAAGACGGCATCATCGTGGGAATTGGTAAAGCTGGCAACCCTGATGTTATGGATGGAGTGGATCCTAATCTAGTCGTGGGTTCCTGCACTGACGTGATTGCTGGAGAGCACGATATTGTAACTGCGGGAGGCTTTGATTCTCACATTCACTTTATCTGTCCTCAGCAGGCCAATGAGGCTATTGCTTCTGGTATCACTACTATGCTGGGTGGTGGGACTGGACCAAGGTTAGTAAAATCTCCCCTTCAAGATATAGAGGACTAAATGATGATCCAGTACCGGCACGAACGCTACAACTTGTACGCCAGGTGCAACTCACATACGCCAAATGCTTCAAGCCATCGATAGCATCCCACTCAACTTCGGAATTACAGGCAAAGGCAACGACAGTGATGCTGGCCCGCTAAGAGAACAAGCCCAAGCTGGTGTCTGCGGCCTCAAGCTACACGAGGATTGGGGAACCACCCCGGCCGCTATCGATACCTGCCTCAGCGTCTGCGACGAGTATGACATTCAAACTCTTATCCACACCGACACGCTTAATGAATCTGGCTTTGTGGAGCAAACCATCGCAGCCATCAAAGGTCGCACGATCCACACCTATCACACCGAGGGTGCAGGCGGTGGCCATGCCCCTGATATCATTAGCGTCGTGGAGCACGACAATGTCCTCCCGTCTAGTACCAATCCTACACGCCCATACACGCGAAACACACTTGACGAGCATCTTGACATGCTGATGGTGTGCCATCACCTGTCGCGCAATATCCCCGAGGATGTTGCCTTCGCCGAATCACGAATTCGCGCTGAGACCATCGCTGCGGAAGACGTCCTGCATGATCTCGGCGCCATTAGCATGATGTCTTCTGACAGCCAGGCAATGGGGCGCTGTGGTGAAGTGATTCTACGAACTTGGAACACAGCGCACAAGAATAAGGTCCAGAGGGGCTATCTCAAGGAAGACGAGGGGACGGGCGCGGATAACTTCCGCGTAAAGAGGTATATCAGCAAGTACACCATCAACCCGTCCATCACGCAGGGTATGGGCCATTTGATCGGGAGCGTAGAGATAGGGAAGTTGGCAGACTTAGTGGTGTGGAAGCCGGCGAACTTTGGAGTCAAGCCTAAGTGGATTATCAAGAGCGGGATGATTGCGTATGCCATGATGGTGAGTGAATCTGTGGTAAATTCATGATAGAAAAGTGGCAACTGACGTTTTCCAGGGCGATCCAAACGCTTCGATTCCAACGGTCGAGCCTGTCATTATGAGACCTATGTTTGCGGTGAGTCGTGTTTCCTAAAATTTCCTACCTTCTTGAGAGACTGTGCTGATCCACCTTAGACTATGGTGCCGCCTACAAGCATCACATTTGTCTCACAGGCGTCGGTTGACTCTGGAGTCGTTAAGTCATACGGACTGAAGAAGCGCATTGAGGCGGTCAAGAACTGCAGGACCATTGGAAAGAAGGACATGAAATATAACGACGTGAGGCCGAAGATGAAAGTAGACCCAGAGAGATATGTGAGTACTCCATTTGTCAGAAAAGTAGAACTTGGAGCTGACTAGATATCCCCTAGACCGTGGAAGCAGATGGTATGGTGTGCACGGCTGAGCCGGCGACTGAACTGCCTTTGACGCAGGCGTATTTCGTTTATTGAGGAGATATAGTGGGAGATAGAGAGAGGGTAGTAGCAGGGAAACGGAGGCGAAGACTTGGATGGTGAAAAATGGCTTCTTATTATTGTAATTTGAAACAGATCTGAAGACAGGACGAAAGTGCGTGTTGCAATATTCTACCTGGATGATGCATTAATGCTAGGCCATATGAGAGTGCAGAGTGCCTAAAACGTAAGCAAGTCGATAGCCGAAGTATTGCGCTGCACAGCGAGGTGGCAGCGAGAAGGCAGGTAAAAGGCGGCTGGTGCGGCAGGCCGTGCCGCTTTAAGGAGGCCCTAGATGTAGGCCCTAGCCGCCAAAAGGAGCTTGCAGGTCGTTATGATGGCCTTCGTTCCACGAGCTGCTGGCGAGGACGTGAACGCACCACACCTCAAAGCCTGCCCGCAATATAGGCAGTGAAAAGGAAGCCTGGGTCGCATTGCCGGATGCATGCGACTATTCTGTCAAGTGTTCAAAGCCAGCTGAAGGCGTGGCGTGGACATAATTGATCGCGAGAGGGTGGTCGTAACGAGGCCGGGAAAAGAGCCCGTTATTTTGGGGCTGCAAGTTTTCCGACCAGCACTGCTGCCGCCGGTAATTTTGGCGGCCCAGCCGCCTCTTTTACCAGGTGCCGCCCATTCTTCACCCGCTCCTCTCCCCCAACCTCACCAACACCCAGCCCGACCGCCCACCCACGCCAGCACCCATCACTACCACCGCGGCCCATCACCAAAATGGCCAAAGAAAAGGCGAAGGACAAGAAGGATGGAGAGCTGATGATCCCGCTGGAGCAGTTCCGGAGGACGCGCGAGGTCGTAAGTATTCTGTCCTTTTCTTCCTCGAGCTCGCCGTGTTGTTTGTTGTGCGCGGCCATGGAGGTCATCGTCACGATGCGCCCTGCCCTCCTCCACATCCAAGACTACTTGGTCTATCCTACAAGTCCCTGGCCCAGCTTCTCTCCATCGACCTCCGCGCACGACGCGCTCTTACACGCGCGTCGCGGCCTCGTGATCGTCTCCATCTTCTTTGCGCCTCAGTTCCTTCACCACGTCCGACGCGACCTGAGCTGCGCAAAGACCCATTGCTCTTCTCAATGGCACCTCTTTTTCTCCAGTCGTCGACACAAGCTAATTCGTCTCTTTCAAGATGCTCGCAACCCTCAATGACCTCCAGGGCAACCTCCAACAAGTGCAATCCGGTCTCCAAAACATGATCACTGTGTACCTCAGGCACTCCGCGTCTGTCCTAGACGGCAACTCCGGTGCCCTCGAGGATCTCATGCTTGAGGGTCCAATTGGAGCCACTGGCGAGGCCTCCGCACCAGAGAAGAAACGCGGCAGGCCCAAGAAGGACAAGAAGGATAAGGACCCTAACGCGCCGAAGCGTCCACTCACGGCCGCGTTCCTGTATTCTCAACAGGCGCGCGCCATTGTGAGGCAAGATTTGGAGAAGCAGCTGAACCCGGGCGATAAGCTGGAGGGAAACGCAGTCAATCATGAGTTGAATCGGCGTTGGGCCGAGATGCCCGAGGACGAGAAGGAGGTGAGCAAGCCCATTTCCCAGATCTAGATTATTTCCATCACTGCTAACCTGCGTCGCTAGCTCTGGAGAGACTCCTATCGCGACAGCATGAAAGTCTACAATGCCGAAGTGGCCGAGTACAACAAGAAGAAAGGTATCCAGCATAGTGTACCTGCGTTGGAAGGCGAGATTGACGATGCAGACGCGGGCGCCATCCCCTCCGACATGGAGGCCTCTTCCTCTGATGATAGCGACGAGGACTCTCCTAACCGTCCGAAGGCGCCTACTCCCCCATTCGTAACACCGAAGCCCAACAAGCGCCAGAAGGCTGCAAAGACTAACGGAGTGGCGCCGACGCCTATTCTGCCAGCCTCCACTACGACTATGCGTAGCACGGTGCCAATACCAATTCCGCATCGCGCTACCTCTGTTAAACCCCCGGGAACCGCCAGCCCAGCAGTCGAGAACGGAAAAGTCAAGTCTAAGAAGATCAAGGAGAAGGAGCCAAGCCCAGAGGAGTCTAAGAAGAAAAGGGCGCGACGCAATGTTGCTGACGAGGACGAGGGCACTGTAGCCCAGGAGCCGCCCAAGAAGAAAAGAGATCATCGAAAGAAGAAGGATGCGACTGCTTAAGATTCAAGTCTCATGTTTCGCTTCCTGTGCGCCCATTAGCTGCCTCTCTATCCTCTCTACCAGCGGACCCTGCGCTTGTTTGCCATTCGCTTCCAAGATCGTCTTGCGCTGCGTATGCGCTACTGCTTTCTACCTTGTGTTTATCAGGGGATATTTTGGTTTCTTATATCGGTCTTCTGGGTAAAAGGGGGCCGTGTTTGAGGCAACGAGGGGAGGATATACCCGGACGACTGTCTCCTCTGCCTACGATGCCTGTGGCCACGAAATTCTCTTCCTGGTTTCTTTCGGATGCTTTCTGGTGTTCTCGGATAGGTCAGGCCCGCATACTGTTGTATCATAAACGTCTCTTTCTTCAACATATCCCGTGAGTGTCATTTCCAGGAGAAGTGAAGAAGACGTAGCGTTTCGGTAGTCTCTTATGTTTCACGAATCCAACGTCCATCAAATCCACAGTCGCGTCCAGTAACCGTATCTTACTATTTCGTTCCTACAACATCTTCACAACTCACCTACAGCCTCGGCCTCTCTGGCGTTTCCCCGCTGCCCCTCACCTCCAGAAACCTCACCGGCACCTCAACCACGCGATCGCGAATCCAATCCGCCACCCCCTTCCCCAACCCATCCAGCCTGGCACTCCCACTCACCCCCTTCCCCAGAATCCCATAAACAACAAAGTGCACTGCGCAAATCCCCGCGAACTCGACCCGCTCGATATAGTACGCCTCCCGCCAATCTTCGCCAAGCAACTCCTTCATTTTCGAAACAGAGAGGAACGAACGCAGCCACGACCACGCGTCGGGGCGGGCGGAGGCTGGTAAGGAAGAGGGCAGAGCGGTAGGCAGGAAGACGCCGATGTTGAGATTCGCGCCTTTATCACCCGAGCGGGCGAGGGCGATGTCGCCCAACCGCACGGCACGCGTTGGGCCAAAGGCACTCAGCGAGCTCGGCTCACGACAGTCGTACGTCTCCCGCGGCGCGAGAGGCTCGGTCTTCGGCGGGGCTGTCGTCGGGTAGGTCATCCGCTTATTGTTCGGGGACCGGAGGAGCGTGACGGAGGTTTTTAGGGAGCGCTGTGGGTAGAGGGCGGGGTAGAAGGAGAGGTAGGGTTTGGGGAGCGCGAGCCGCTGGTCGCTGGTGCAGTGGAAGCCGGAGAAGTGCTGCATGCTGAATTCGGACATTGTGGCGGCGAGGCCGAGGTTGGTGGCCGGGGAGGAGGCTTCGGCGAAGATGCGGAGGTAGGTTGTTGAGGCGAGTTGGCTCGGGGCGTTGGGGGCGGGGATGCCGACTCTAGGGGGTTGTTAGGTGGTGTTTTTTTCGGGATTTGAGGTGGAGGAGGGGAAAGGGGGGGTTCGGTGGGATGGGGGCCTTGCCTTTGGAACTCTAGAATGTCGAATTTGTCGAGGATGCCTCGTCGTTTCAGCCCGAAGCGGAGCATTCGCTCGTAGAGATCCCATTTCTCCTTCGTGGCGTAGCCGGTCGCGTTGAGGAGGAGCTCGCTCTGGTAGCCGGCGCGGTAGAAGATGGCGAGTTTGGTTGTTGGAGGGGGTGGCGCGCCGCGGATGCCTGATAGTCGGACTCTATTAGGGAAGTTTGTTATAAGTAATCTGGGTAAAAAGGTAAAAGGGAGGCAGGGTCTACCTGTTCTTCCCCACCTGCTCGACTTTTACCTCGTCGAGAATACCCTTGACGTCGCTGTTTAAGTAGATATTCCCCTGCAGTTCGTACAAGAATTGGCACTTCACAGTGTCTTCCGTCACCATTCCTTTTCCGTTTTCGTGTTTGGTGATGATGCAGCTGCCATCCTTCTCAACCTCCGCAATGCCAAACACGAGGTCGTATAAGCTATCCAGGTCGTACTCGTAGAATCCGGCGAAGTTGGAGCCAGTCACGTACGCGCTGCATTCGATCAAGTGGCCCGCAATGAGTGCTCCGGCAAGCCGGTCATAGTCAGTTTCTGACCACGAGTACCAGTACCATGCCGCTCCAATAACCTAGACAGTGTTAGAACTTAGACACATACTCTGACTTCAAGAATGGAAGTCTTACTGGAGACGCATCAGCTACTCTTCCACAAATGATTATATCAGCACCCAGCTCCAACCCTTTCACAATCTCTCTCGCCCCTAAGTACGCATTGGCCGACACTACGGGCCTTGATTCGTCTTCCAGAAGATTGAGAGTGTCTCTCGGAAAGTTGATCTCTGAGTTGACCGAGTCCAAATGGGGAGGAAGGCCATTCTTTCTGATATCTTTCATAACCGAGAGAAAGTTGTCGTCTTCTACATAAGCAACAGTAAGCGAATGTCCCTTCTTTGTGACCTAAACAGAAATATAAGTTCGAGAGACGATATCGGAAGATGGAAATGACACTAACGAGCTCATGGGTCCGCTCCGCCAGCCCCTTTGGATTCTGAGCTCCTCCGTTGATGATGACCTTAGTCCTCTTCTTAGCTAGGATGTCGATGGTCTGCTCAAGACCATCCCATGCTGTCTGCTCATAGCCAGGGTGAGATCCGGCGGTGAAGGCTTCAGCGTTTTCTGCGATATTGACTTCTACAGATAGAGCCTCTGGTAAGCTAATGTTCAAGTTTTGTCTGTAGTGCAGACACTGCGTACCAGCGAGATAGTCTCCAGTGATAAAGTCGACGTCTCCGAGCTCTGCTTGAAGTTTCATGTGATAGCCGGGGTCCGCTAGAGGGATATGGTCAGAATTGGCAGGCCTTAATTAGGTACTTAGAAAACTACCTTTATAGCCAGAGCAATTTGCGATACGGACCGGCCGTTTCCCTCGCTGATCGTTCCATCTTGTCTCATACGACATTGCGAAATCTGTAGTGAGTACAACCAGCTTTGATCAAATTAAATTGAGAATATTGCAATGCTGGAGCGGATATACTCACAGTTATGGCAGAAACCTAATATGCTACAGTTGTTCGATATATAAAGCGAAACAGTGAAACGTTGAACGTATACAGCAACTCTATCCTCGTTCCGAATTTACCGAAGTCCCCTCGGCCTTCAGTAACCATAAAGCTGTGGGTCCATCGGTGGATTAATTCGAGTCGCAGAGCTCGACACGATCTAGCCAATGACAATCCCGCGTGACCTCAACCGAGGCTTCAGATTACAGGTAGTTCTATGCTCGTACGGGCCATAGCAACTAGGATTCGCCCATGATGGAGATCTTCGGGCCTTCTATACTCTTGAGTCCCCTGCAACGTAATTTGTATAAAAGGCTGTTGAATATTCGCGGAAGCAGTCTGGTCAGAAAGACACGGAGAGCGAAAAGTGCTACGGGTACAGATTATTTTATCAAGATGAGCTCGAATGGGATATCCAAAGACACGAATGGTATCAGCGAAGATCCAGCAATTTACTCAGTGCCACAAAAAGCAAAAAAGCTTTTCCAGAACGGTATCCTCAAGAATCCGTTAATTGCACCAACTCTTCCCGCCGAGATTGCGAGTTGCGCCGAAAATATTCACTTCGAAGGAAATGACAAACCTAGCATCCCCATCAATTGGCGGTTCGCAGAAAGCATCGCGTCGTTGAAAGGCTTGGAAGCAGCCATGATCAATGTGCTTTTGAAGAGAAAATACGGCCTAGAACCGCAGAAAGTAGTCATCAACACGTAAGTTACACTTCGAGCTTGCCCTGAACCTACCAACTGACCATTTGTAGCGATCACGCGCAGCTATTCATCATGTCAGCGTTAACTTGGACCATTGATCCTAATGGAGAGAATGTAACCATGGCCTCGGGGCCCAAGTATGATAAGTACATCAGAAACCGCGACCTCCACGATCAAGCACTAGGATTCCATCGTCAGTCAGCCACGAATATCTATCGAACAAAAGACGGCCGGTTCTTCCATCTGCATGGCAGCATGAACCCGGAACCCACATTGAAGAGTCTGGGGCTTCCCGTTCGCAAGGACGTAAAAACGGTAGAAGAGTCTTGGAAACCATTCGAAGAGAAGATCGCGCAAATCAACTCCGAGGATCTCCAGAAGCTTGAATCCGATGAGTGGAAGCAGGCAGGCACGATATGTTGGACAATCGATGAGTATCGCAATAGTGAGCACGGAAAGGCAAACGCTCATATCGGTCTTTATGACATTAAAGACGTCCCTTCACCGAATCAACCAGCCTGCTGGTGGCCTGATTCTGCAGAAACCTCTCCGCAAAGACCACTAGCTGGACTGAAGATCGTGGATCTAACCCGTGTTATTGCAGCGCCTGCAATCACCCGTGGCCTGGCTGAGTTGGGCGCTAGTGTGATGCGTGTCACTGCTCCTCATATCACTGATTTCTCAGCGCTTCATATAGATTTGAATTGGGGGAAATGGGAATCAGAATTAGACCTCCGGGAAGAAGACAACCGGGAAAAACTGCGTGCCTTGATTCGAGAGGCTGATGTCGTGGTCCACGGGTACCGTCCTGGAGTGCTTGACAAATATGGATTCTCTCAGCAATGCATACTAGACCTCTGCAAGGACAGAGAGCGTGGTTTGATCGTGGTGCGGGAGAATTGCTATGGATGGCAAGGACCATGGTCGTACAGAAGTGGCTGGCAGCAGATCAGCGATGCGGTAAGTAAGATTTAATTCACCTGCCTCTCAACTACTGACCCAACTGCGCCAGAACTGTGGTGTATCCATGGAATTTGGACGGGCAATGGGCAACGATGAACCGGTCACCCCTGTTTTCCCGAACTCGGATTACTGCACAGGCGTTTCCGGCGTCGTAGCCATTCTAAACGCAATTCTACGGCGAGGATCGGATGGAGGATCTTATAGCATTGATGTAAGATTCCATGCGCTTGCTTGTTAGTGGATGGAGTGCTAATTGTGACCAGATCGCCTTGAACTACTACTCGCAGTGGTTGGTCAACAGTTGCGGAACCTATTCCCCAGCAGTTTGGGAAGATGTCTGGGCACGCAACGGAAAGCATGTCTTCCGCCATCATCACAACATGGGCTATACGCTTCCACGGTATATTCAGATGCTGAAGACGAATAGCGGTTCAGTGCTTTTTAGGCCAGAGTTTTTTGAGGACCGGAAAAATGAGGCGCTAGGGAAGTCAGTCCGGACAGTCGCGCCGGTTTTGAGATTTCCGGATGGTCCCGTCCAGTTGAGGTATAATATTGGGACGCGTTCGAACGGAGTGGACAAGCCATACTGGCCACAGAATTTGATGACAGAAATTGTGGCGTAGAATATCTTTGTCGAAAAGGCTGCATCAACCTTCAACAGGCGAGGGCAGTTAAGAGCCGAACGCGATTTTGCATTCACCAATATTGTACCTGGGTAGATACTTGTAGGTCAATAGAAGTATACCTTTAGGTTTAGCTCATGAGTCAGCTACCTAATCTCACTTTCCTGAATGGCATCATCCCTCCCCGGCCACACCGGCGATGGATTTTCGCTTGTGAGTAGACCATGTAGTGAGTCAGAGCAGACAGCAGGACACTATAAGAGCCGAAGGAAGATACCGAAGGGAGGATATACCTTTCAAAGTACATGCTTACTAGGACGATAGACCGCTTCATTTACACACCCTACTTCGGATCAATGGAATCGCCAACAACTATAACGACACCGCGGTTGCGGCTGACTCACATTACAGGAGTGGAGAGCGGCTCTATAGCGTTGTCCGATCTTCATTGTGTTTGGGGCAACGAGATCGCTACTAAGTGGAAGTATGTACGAGCCATTTTCTCTGATTTCAGATTCGTCCGAGCTATTTCTAGTAATTCAAGAACGTCTTGTTCGACGATAAGTCGGGACTGACTTCGTTATAGCATCCACGGGTCCTGCAAGACGTTGTCAGAAACCGAAGAACGGGCAAGAACAATCTTGAAGAAGGCGCAAGACTACTTCATTGTCCACAGAAAGGTTCCTGGCCAGCATCTGGAAGTCGCGGAAGGCAAAGATGCAGCGCCTTCGGAATCCAACTACACCTGGGAGGCAATTGGAATGATCAACCTAGTCCGATCTGAAAAGCCAGATCTGGATCCATTGCCAATCCCAGATTCAAAGCTCCAGCGAGATTCACAGGATTCCGATGAGTCTGCAAAGCTCCCAGCGGTTCAGACGAGGAGTATCGGTTATATGTACCGAGAAGAGGCGTGGGGCAAAGGATATGGGATGGAAGCAGCTGCTGCTCTACTCAATCACTTTCGTCAGGCAGCATCCCGCATGGACAGCCCGACTTTGGTATACGTGGAAGCTGGAGTTGATCCCTCCAACACTGGAAGCCTACGTATTTTAGAGAAGCTCAGATTCCAAAAAGTCGGGCTGAATGTTATTGCAGATGAGAAGGTGTTTCTGGCTGGGGAATGGAGACAGAACGAATATCCAATTTATGGCCTATACCTCTGAAGATAGCGACCAATAGCCGTCCTCCTGGGTGTACAACAGTCAGTTTCTGGATTTCTATCTTCCGCTAAAACATTGTATTCATTAGACTATGTTGTTCGCACCTAATTTCCAATGTGCATGTCTTGCTCACCGCGGAGAATCCCAGTTCTGCTGTTTCAACACCCCAATGTGCACACTTCCCCACCCGGGCTGCTCACGTGACCCTGCGACGCTGTGTCGGAGTTCGGCTCAGTCCCAGCTCAGCTTCGGCTCAGGTCTCCTCAGGTCTGCTCACCCTTGCTCACCCGCTGCAGCACCAAGTGCGAAATGGAAGAGAAGCTTCGCGAACTTTTTTGGTGGAGCTGGTCCGAGCGCTAATCAGAGATGTTGAAGTTGCCAGACTGCCAAGGCCAACCAATCCCTTCCCTAACTCGCCATTCACAATCCTGCTGCGACGAGTTTCAGCGCCTAGGTACACTCGCTACCGATGCTGGGGTTTGCGTGGACTTCATCTTTCATTGTCAAGCTCATGGCAAAAGCGCCCTAGTGGAGGGGAGTTGAATGCTCTTCGAAATGGCTGACTTGACTTTAAGGCTGCTCGGCTTTCATCTATGCTCGCTGTTCAGGCCTCTTTCCATCGAAATGAGCAATCAAGTGGTTCATGTATGCCTTGACGAACCCCATTTTGACGTCTGAGAAGGCTGGGCTGCCTTCAGCTGATTGAGATGCCGAACCTGGCTGCGGCCATGAGCGCTGACATGATCCCTACTTATTCCTACGCCCTTCGCTAGAGGCCGCTTTCATACTCTTTCTCTGAAGTGTTCCTTTGATTCCCGTTTCTGCAGGAATTCCGCTGCCTTTTGGTGACTGGCGCGATGCACAACACATTCAACCCCCGCAGCACGCGCACGAAGGTCGACACGGTCAGGCTTTAGTATCCTCAGGAAGGTGGACCGTTGCTGCAGCCATTGCATTTCGGCCTCGCCTGGATGTGGCCTCTGACGCATGCCATTGGATGCTTCACCCTCGATTGGCGTTTTGATCAGCGAGGCTGAAAGTTCACCTTGGAAAGGCTGAGGGCCGCTTGCCTTCTTGCGAACCCTTTACACCGGAGGTTAAGCGCCCTGGAGACCCGTCGATTGCTTCTCCCAACTATGTGGGCCTCAGCAACTCGGCCGTTGTTCCTAGAATAGAAGGCAGTACACGCATGACACACACGGCTGTATGCGTGTCTCAGCCTGCCTAGGGCAAGCGCTCGAGGCAGTCCATTTATTTCCCTATAAGCACGGCATTTCCACCTGTGCGCAACGTTCTTTAGCCTTGTTATGATAGCACTACCTGACATCTACGTTTCCCTAGGAAGGGCTTCTCGAAAGTGCCTCAATTATCCAAGCACTTTGTCGATTTCAACATCTGTGGTCTGAAAAATCTCCCAACCGGTCGGCTCATGTGAGCGGAGGTTGTGGAATCCGGGTAACGAAGACGAATTTGGCACTACAATCGGTAACACTCTCTAGTGGTCCACATGGGCAATAGAAGAACGAAGAAATCCGGGGCCGATCTAAAGAAGGAAATTGAGGACGAGATGGCACGCGTGCGCTTGGATTACAAACGAGACTACAAAGAAACCGCTTTTGTATCGTACGACTACATTACCAGACTCTTGACGTCCACACAACCCATCAACAAACTACGAGATAGCCTCCGGGCTGATCAGAGCACGCCGGAATTTGAAGGTTATCCCAGGAGAAAAGGGTTGAAGAACTTGGAGAGGGACGTGAAGCAAAAGGCACCGAAGCTTTATTCAGTCCTTCTGCTTGTGGGCAAGCCACAGCGGATTGGGCAGCTTTTGCGAGACAACGTTACCGATGAAATATTCGGCCAGGTTGAAGGTGGCGTCGGCCCCTCCTGTCCCAAGAAGTATTTGCGTAGATGTCGACATTTCCAGGGGATTGCAGAGGACTTTTACCAAATGCAGTGGCATATTCCTCCGATTCTTTCCGATGAGAGTCACCAGATATACCCAGTAGAATGCTTCCGTTTCCCGTTTGTGGCTGCGCCTGAATACATTGCTCGTGGGAGTTTTGGTCATGTTCATACAGTCACGATTGCGAAGGGACACTTAAGAACAAATGACTATGACCAAGTGAGTTCTTCAATCCTCCCAACCCCCTCTTTGTCTCTCAACATTCCATTGAGTTGCACTAACATGTTGTTATCATCAGGAACCCATCGTGGCATACAAGATGGTGAAGAAAGATGACGACGTGACTTGGGATAAGCTGCTGAGAGAGGTCGAAACGATCCGAGTGCGACGACATGACAATATCGTTCCCTTACTCGCTAGCTTCTCAGCTGGACGTGAAAATCCCTTGGAAAAGTACTGCAAGAAAGAAAGCTTACATATGCTTTTCCCGCATACCAAGGCCGGCGATATGAAAGCTTGGCTAGAAAGAGACAGCTGGCCGCAGGACCTGAGGAATGAAGAAGCTCGTCGAACATACATTTTCGAAACCATACAAGGCCTTGTATCTGGTGTCGCATTCATCCATAGAGAGATTCAAAATCGCATAGCCTTCCATCACGATTTGAAGCCTAGCAACATACTCCTTTTTGAGAGAACGGGATCCCGGCCAATGTGGAAGATTTGTGACTTCGGCAATGCGAATCTTAGAGATCGGGACGACACTGAGACCGTTAAAACAAAAGATAACGTATTTGGCACATACGTCTACAAACCTCCAGAATACTTTGTAAAGAAGGAAGGAGAGCAGCCAAAGCACGGACGACCTTTCGATGTCTATTCTCTTGGATGTGTATGCTTGGATCTTGCAACGATACTGAAGTTCGTCGTCGGGCTGAAAATACGGAGCACGTATACTATGGGGACGAGAAACCGGATCCCCCTGAACCCGATTACTCTTTTCACAACAATCCGAAGGTCGTCGAGTGTTGGATCAATCATCTCAAGGAAGGACGCAAAGGAAGCAGTTCCGACAAGCTAGAACAGCTCCTCAGTCTGATATCGGAAATGCTAAGGGACAAGGACCAGAGAATATTTGCCTGGGAAGTCGAAATTGACCTGTACGAAATGCAAAATCCCATTTCAAACGAAGAAGATCTTCGAAAGATTCAAAAGCGACTCGAAGAGATTGTTCAGCCATCTAAAATGTCCCTGAACAGTTTGGATGATGTGCATAATCCCTTGCAGAGGGCCATTGCAAATAAGAAATCCTGGCAGTACGATATTCTCAGAAAGTATAAGTGGTCTGATAGCACGCCGAAGTCGACCATGGAGCAGAGGGAGAAGCCGAAGCCAGCCGACGGGTATCGATCAACGCTCAACAAGTTTCAAACCGCTCAAAATTTTGCCCGAAATAAGCTCTTTGGCCGTCATGAAATCGATAACAAGATTGTTGCGGGCTTTGGTGCCTCAGAGATCGTCGGGCTTTATGGAATAAGCGGCATAGGGTACGTGTGTGACAGTGCCAGGCATTCGATTCTGCATCATTCTAACGAGCAATCTTAGGAAATCTCACTTAGCATACCACAACATCGCTCGGTTTAGGGACACTAAAAACATCGACAACAAGAAGCACACGTTCTGGGTTGAGGCTGGCAACGACTTGGAATTTCGAAGATCGATGCAGACAATAGCCCAGGAAATTCAATTCGAAGGCTGGGAGCGGAGCGATCCGACTGCCCTTGTAGCGAACTGGCTAAGTGATTGTAACAACGGGCAATGGATCATGGTTCTCGATGGCCTTAACGATGAGATTACTGCCGAAAAAGTCAGGAAGCTTTTACCGGATAAATGCGGACAGATACTCATCACGACGAAAAACCGGCGTGTTTTGCCGAATTTCCTAGACCTCAAGCGGACAGACCTCTGTCTCCTCGTCGAAGAATTGCCTGTGGCCGACTCTCGATTGATCTTCGACTGGTACAACGATGATATGCTTGCGGAGGACGCCAAGATGAATAATCTGATGTCAAAGCTCTCACTTCCGCTCCTTATAAAGAAGGTTGCGGAGTCTACGATATCAAATAATATTCCACTATCGAAATGGTACAAGAAAATGCAGGCTGGGCGAGAATACAGCTTTTCGTCCTCGGAGGTGGATGATTTGCTCAACGAAGAAGGCGGCATCTTTACCCCCTTAATCCCAGCGTTTCTAAAGCATCCCACCCAGCAAACGAAGTCCACAACATGGCCAAGCCAGGAGATGCGCCTTCTCGGAATCTTGTCCTGCCTGAATAACAGTCGGATGGAGGTTTGTCTGATACAACAGGAATATGAAGACCACGGCGTGCTCTGGGAGATGCTGGGAACATTGAAAAATTGCTCATTCATCTTGGAAGCAAACGCGGAAATCTCAAGAACGAACGACAGTCCCCGGATCAAAGATACTTTCTACATGCACGAATCCGTGCAAATCCTGTTCCGGCAGTGGATCAAGACATACATGGAATCTCCTGGGGCCGTACTACTTGAGCTCCAGGCGACCGCCTTGTGCATGCTCTTCACACGCTACGGCCATGAAAAGAACAAGAAGCATGCTGGAGAGGCGGCGAAGATTGCGCGATCCTCCTATCGCTGGAAGAAGGACTTCAAGCCGCATTTCGAGCGCTTCCTAGAGTTTGCCAAGAAACAGAAGGACAAGCTCGACGGTTCCACCAGCTTCAAATGTGACGACATGGATAATCAAAGGATGGTCCAGTCAGTCGTTACTTTCTCTCAGGTATACCTAGATGAAGGCCGTTACGGTGATGCAGCACACGTTCTCGAATTGACGCAAAATCTCTACCAAGGGACAAAGTTCCGACACAACCTCGTCCGCACGCTCGCACAGGCATACACTGCCGTCCTGCCATTCGGGAGAACATCTCGAAACAACTGGACCAGGGCTGAGTCATTGCTAGACAAATCGATCGAAGAGTGCGCGTGGCAAAACAGACACGAAGAAAAATGGGAATGTGTCCTCGCTCTGGCCAATCTCCACAGCAAATCGCTACGGCCCAACATGGCACTTGCTCGGCTGAAAACTTTGCAAGAGCTTGAGTTGCGGATTAAAAACGATCATCCGTACCTTTGCAGGCCCACCATCGTTGGCGATGAGCAAATAAGCCAGCGTTTCGCAATTCGAGTCAAAATCGAAGAAGCCAAAGCTCAATTGGCCAGCGCAAAACTTTCTATCAGGAAGCAGCTCTCCGACAAAACAAAGACGGAGCTTTTGGAAAAGGCCCTGGCCAGTTTCGACGATGCAAAACTCGCCATTAAGGAGTGGTTCCCTAGAGAAGAGTGGTGGAGCATGACGGACGTTGACCAGCACAGAGCCGCCGTCTTCTTCGAAATGGGCCACCAGGAGGCATTAAACAATGCCGAACGCATCCTCAACAGGCTGCTTATACCGTTGAAAGCCGAATGCGAAGCTCCAGATCAGGCTCCGGATCGAGATCCACATCGAGCAGGAAGCCAAAAACGAATTTGGGACATTCAATGCCAGATTGCACGCGTGTGGTTTGCCATGGGCTCTGAACTTTGTCGAGATAACGCCATTGCGAGTTTCAAGGAGCTGCTTGGACGCTGCGAGGGATGCTATGGGAAACAAGATGGGCAAACGCTTACTTGCGCTACTCTGCTCAAGGAAGCATACGAGCGGCGTGGCCAAAGTGCGGATGCTGAAGAGATAGGAAGGCATTACAGCTTAGAGCCAGAGATGAGCGATGTGCCATTCGCTGACCGATGCACAGAATCGGCTGGCAGCAGCGTAGGGATGTGCAGCCTCGCGGTCTTCTTGCTAGTCATTTGCGCCTTTCTCTATTCCTACCTTCTGTATTTCCACCCTCCTTTGCAAGGACCAATGGTTGAGAAAAAGCTATAGGGTGTCTCGGTGCTAAGCTCTACAAGCTCAGTCATGTTACGAAATAATCTTGAGATGGAGAAGACGGTTTTATATAGCTTGATGGCTTCACTAATAACTGGCCATTTCAAGCTTCAAGAAAGCGCCGAATATCACGGCAAATGTTGACGCTTACAAAATCGGAAAGGAGAACAAGGAAATGCTCCGTCGACCACTGCGAGCTCATGCACCTATGCAACTATGAACCTATGAGCCAAATACCCATGGACTCCATGAACGGCGTGAACCCCATGGACCCTTGAACTCATGAGCGTGTGAGCTCATACACCCATAAACCCCTGAATTATTGAACGTATTACGCCATGCAATGTCCCGTCCTCCCGTCTTCCAAAATTGCCATAAACCCATAACTCCGCCTCCATACCGACGCTAAAATATGCACATGAAGATGTCGCTGCAGGTGAAGCAACGCATTGACAAGCCCTGGACTGCAAGTCCCAGAGCAACAAACGAGAGGGGGTCTAGCAGAACGCATGACCGAGGCCTAATAGCTCGCATTAGCTCTGTCTCCGTACCAACACATCAATACAAGAAGTCTTACGTGGGCTAGGCATGGACGTCGCCGGGCCGTATTCCGACACCCTGCCGGTCGCTGATCGCCGCAGGGAGAAACCAGCGCCAACATCCTCAACATGCAGCACGCGTTCGCGGCGCCCAGCGGCGTCGGCACTCGAGCTACCAATGCTGCCCTGCTGATTGTATGCCGAGCCAAAGGGTTGCCTGCCGCCGTATGCCGAGCCAAAGGGTTGCTTGCTCTCTGTGCCGCCAGAACCACCGCGCAGATGAACCTCGGGTTGTTGTGAAGGCAGTCGAGGAGCATGACCTTCAAGTGCCGGGGCAGCGCTGGCGGGATGGCCGTGGCTAGTGTCGTAACCAGCGTGGTAGTCACGACTAGGGTCGAAGAGAGGGTGTGGTTCGGAATGATGCTCGAAGGGCCCGCTGCCAGAGCGCCTCAGTGGTTCGGGGAGCCTGGTTCTAATATCAGAGGAAGGCGGACTGCCAGCCGGAGTGCCTTTGCAGCTTACCTGGCTATGTTGACAGCACGCAAGAGTGCAGACATGACGCTAGAGCATAACAAGCACTCCTGGAACGGCATGTCCTTGTCGCGCGCATGCTGAATGAAGTGGTTGAGCAAGTCCAGGGCATCTCTGAGATTGACACGACCCTCTGGGGTAGGACGGGCGGGGGTGCGCAGGCGGAACGGGGACCACCACGGGTTGTCGCGACGGGAGGGAGCCATGGCGCTGTGCTGGCGTCGTGGGCGTCGTGGTGACCTGTTACGAGAGAGTTGAGGCTGGTGGGCCGTGGGTGGTGGAGTGGAAAGCAGAGCTCTGTCCGTGTCGGGCAACCAGCTGCCCAGCCACATCCGGGCGGGACCTGCATTCACTGCACCTCCCGACCAGACCCGAAGGCACACCCCCAGATGGCACCTGGCTCAGGGCAGCTGCCCGGTGGGTTTCATTCCGTCGGCCGCTGCTGGTGTTTGCACTCGCGATGATCTCGTCAAGGGTACAAGGTAAGACTGTCGAGGGGTAACTACAAAGGATCGAGGATGACATCACCAACCACAGAGCGCCACACATGGGCCGGAGAAATGCCGAAAAGCTTCGACTTCGACACCGCCCACCGCCCACCGCCCACCTCCCCCAGTCTCTCAGCGTGCGGGGCGTGGCTCTCGTTAGTGTCGCGTTGGAGGACGAGGCACCTCACAGAGTGCTGCAATAGTGTACGCAGATTGCTCAACAGTCCGTGGGCATGATCCCATGGCTGTATTCTACGTCGGGTTGACCCGGTTGGCAGTCTCAAATCGAGCAACCCGTCCAGAGCATAGTGGGTAGACAGGTCCAAGGCCGATACTCATCATGCTATAGTACTAAGAGGTAGAGATGTGTCGTTTCTCTTTCCAATTTGCGCTTCACTACTCCCAGTAGGTGGTATCCGCCCCTCCACCTGCCTTGGAGACCGCCGTCTTCATCTCACGGCCGCTTCCGAATGTCATCGTCTGCGAAGTTCTCCGACACGTTCCTAGACGTAATCTCCACTTCGTATCGATGCTGGCTGGAGCCCGCCTTTGCTGTTATTGTGCCCTCCCACCATGTTCCTGTCCTTGGGTTCAGTCCGAGCATCGCGCTCGATGCCGCCGAAGCTCACCAGAATCATGGACCCAAACTGTGTCGCCGACTTTGTACTTGTTGCTTGTATAGCCGCCCGAAGGAGTTGCTGGACGTGTCATTCTGATCGAGCCTTAGGATGCCAAAAGCCTGCGATCATTCGTCAGCCTGGTGCCATCCTTCATATTGAGGCGTGGATGGACGAACCTGGATCTACGGTCGATAACTGGATCTATAAGCGCGTTGCAAATGTCCAAGTTGTTATAGCGCGATGGCTGCCTCAGAGGATGTAGAATCTCTGCCTGCTGCCTTGCGCGAGATTCCAAGTTGCACAGCCTGGCCCAGCCTTCCCACCTGCATTGCAGTGCGTGCAATCAGTCACTACAGACACCAAGGCGGACACGTCAGCCGCACCTCAAGGCATTGCTGCTCATAATAGCCTGAGTCAAGGTACTAATCGTCCTCTCGAACTACACGAGGTATCCAAGCCCTTGGTAAGAAGAGCATCATCGCCCACTGAAGTATGCCTGGAGGTTCGCTCTTCTACTTAACAGTAATACAGTAGGCGGTCTGCTTGTTATAACTTATGCCAGGAGCCACTATCTCGCTCACCTTGGCGTCATGCCACATAGCTTACTGGGGGCCTTGAAGCATGGATCCAGTATCATTCTCGGCCAGCTTGCTCACCCTAATCGCTGGCGCTGGCAATTCCTGCAAATTCCTATACGAACTCTTTCTTGACATCTCCGACGCGCCCTTCGAGATCCGCTCACAAGCCGTCAAATTACGAAGCTTGCATCAGACCATTTCGAATCTCGCTCGAGTGTATGAAAGCGGCGATCTACCACCAGATCTAAGACTGGACCCAGTATTGCAACGGAACATATTTCAATTCGTTGAAGAAATCAAGACCATTGAGTCTAAGATTCAAGGTACAGGCAACATGCTGGATCGAGGCCGGGTACGCCATATTTGGGAAAGATTCAAATGGCTTTTATCAGACCGAGAGCTACACAAGTTCTACACTTCGCTAGATAATTGGAATACCGTATTTTCGAACGCAGTGGCTGTCACAGGACTGTGAGTTTCCCTAATGTCCTCACTTACTCCTAAGGACGTATTACTAATTTGGCTCTAGGAAGCTTTTGATGAGAATATTAAAAAACACCGAATTGCCAATTTCTGCACCACCACCTGCTATGTGCGCAGAGTATACTGCACCCTGCAGTAACTATGTTTTGGATAGTATGCAGAGCCATCAAAGCCACGCACAATGCTTCGAGACTTCCTTGAGTCATAAGAAACAACAGTTCACAGCTTCCAAAATTGCTACAACCTCTGAAACTGCCCTCCCAAAGCGACTCAGTATATATCTATCATCAATCTCTGAACCTGTTGGTTTTAGAGTTCAGCGTTGGAGGACGTTCGGGGGAGGCCTACTATCAGCAGACCTCCGCACAGGGCCTGTGATTGTTCGATGTTGGTCCGAAAATGGCCAAGACATATACAAGCTACTTCCTTCCCGAGAAGCCTTTTGCTTTTCCTTTCAAATTCGACTAGTTCAAATAGTCCCTAGCAAAGTATTAATCTCGATCTCTGCGCTGTATAAAGCGTCGTTTCCCTTTCGGACCAGGTTCCAATGGGATCTGTCGATCTCTGCAATGCTACACACCGACAGTTGTGCCTATCTGGCTTCTAAACGAGGAGATTGGCTCCTTCTGAGACAGCTTCTTGCTGATGGTAAAGTCCGGATATCAGACACCACTGCGCACGGGGACACATTGTTGCATGTTGGTTACCTCCGGCCAAACTTTGACACAAGGCAGCTAATTTATGATGCAGATAGCTGCTCAATCAAATCATTACGAGTTGGCAACGGAGCTTCTAAGTGCTGGCGCGGATGTAAACGTTGCAAACGACTTCGGCCAGTGAGTAAAACCACCTCCAAGGATTGATTTTACAAAACGGTCATAGACTGACAGAATTCCAAGAACCCCGCTTCATAAAGCTGTGAAAAATAACGGCGGCTACGAAGTCTCTCGACACCTCCTGAGTAGCGGAGCCGATTTGAGCCGTCAAGACTTAGCCGGCCGAACGCCCCTTCACTGTTTCTTCAACGAGACCTCGCGACAAATCATCCAGTTTCATCAAGAAGACCTCGACAGCACGACTCAGGATTATCGCGGCATGAACATTATGCATTACGTTTCCTGGAGCAAAAGTTCTCGGCCCACGGATATACTCCGTTGTCTCACAGACCAGCCTCCCTCTCTTGCCAGCACGGACCAGGAAGGGCGAACAATCCTGCACCTTTCCCTTCAAAGAGGCAATCTAGAGCTGATAGAATTCCTCCTCGACCAACCGGACACCGCCACCTTCCGGCCAGACTGGCGCGGGCGCACCCTCCTGCATTACGCGACCGAAAGCCGGCGCACGCAGACAATCGACATCTTGCTCAGACGGGGCTTCAATCTCCACGCGGTGGATCTTGATGGCCGGACTGTGCTGCACCATGCCGCCGCAAAGGACAAACTCGACGCTGTCAAGCGGCTACTTGAACTGGGCGCTGCAAGCGACTTGGTGGCTTTGGACAAAGGTTCAAGAACGCCTTTACAGGTCGCAGCGCTGTGCGACGCTCAGGCCGTTGTGCAGTATCTACAGCCACTGTGCGTATCTCAGAAGCTAGAGCATGCGGCGGAGTTGAGACGTCGCGCGCGCGACGGGCGAAGGAGTTCGTGGCACCGCGCGATTCTGGCTGAGTTTTGCAAGTATGGTTGCTTTTGTGGGGTTTTGGTTCTCGTTGTTTACTGGGTCTTCTATCGTGCGCACACCTTTTGATTTAAGAGGCCGTACGGGCAATTTAGTGGTGTGTTTGGAGGAGAGCTGGATTGTCAGGTCTGCGTACACTAGTCGACCGCTGTGAAGAGTGCTTCAACGCATTTTTCAAAATCCGAGCAAGCTACAAGTACAGTGTTATGATAGGTGGATGGATATACTGGTAGTACAACTCACTCTACCGGCTCTAGAATGATATTATCAATCAACCTCACCGGAATCTCACCACCTCTACTCCTCCATATTCTCCGGATCTATGAGCGAAATATAATTAACTTTAAACCTTGCCCGAGCCCCGGGCTCTTAATCCTCCTGCGCCGCAGCGACCTTATTTGCATGGGCCGTCCCCGGCTATAAGATGTCGCCCCTTATCCGCCTCCCAGCCATATATTGCGCTTCGGCCCGTCTTAGCGCCTAAGACAGTACCCGCGCGACATGCCTCCGCCTGGTGCACAGATACACGTTCCTTAAGCTTATTGCAAGCCTGCTTTCCCCCCGCCGCGTTAAGCTGATGCGCACCGCCGTATTAATATAGAAATCCTTTACTAGGCGCCATATTACGGCCGTCTGCTAGACGTCCTTCTACCTAAAGTACACGCGCTCTAGCGTGCAGATACTAAAGAGCTTTATAGATATAGTTGCAACGCCGCGGAAGAAAACGGGGCGCGATGCGCCTTCTAGCAGGTTTACTAGCAAGGTAATAGTTATAAAGGAGCCCCTTCCTGGGAGGAAGGGGTCTAGGGAAAACGTCGTATATATTATTTTTTATAGTGGGAGCAAAGATAGCAAAGATGCGGCCGGCGCCTAGGATTATAGCAAATTTAGCATTAAGGCGCTTAAGAGCCGCTATTGTAGGTTGGCATCCTAGCCTTAAGCTGTTTTCTATTAAGAGTAAATTTACTTAAGAATTAGGGCCCTAAAACTAGAACCTAGCAGGCCTATAGGCCTGGAAATAGGCCTGGAAATAGGCCTTCCAAGGCAGGGTGAGGACCCTAGTCTCAACACTCTCTGTCGAAATACAGGGCCCAAAACTGGGTTCTAACAAGCTGCTCAGTCTCGGCTCAGGATGTGCTCACCCAGCACAACCACAGCTCAGGCTGGAGCATGAGCAGCTCAGTTCCCTGAACGGGAAAGGAAATTGCTTGGGTGCACATTGGGATATCGTACTACCTGTTTCATGCAGCCGTACTACACCCTTTCCGTTTCACAGAGATTTAAAAAGAGGACGGCCGCAGTATCGCTTAGTGGAAAACGGATGGAACTCAATTCTAGATGTATAGTAGCTACATGAACAATCAAAACTAACATCTCCTACTAGCTCAACCGAAGTCGACTCGTTAACTAAGGAATTCAGGACTAGCATCATAATCACTTCAAGGGCCAGGATAGCGTAATAGGACGGAATCTCGTCCACCGGCCAACTAGCAACAAGGCCATATCATGGCATTGGGTCCAGACACAATACGGTTTCATGAGGAGTAAGATAAGGACTTTTTTCGGGTTTTCGGTTAGGGTCCCGAGAGGCAGCGTAGGACGACTCGTAGATCTGGATTCTTTCGCAGACGGAAGTGAAAGCCATGCCAGTGTACCGCTGATCCTTCGAGAGACCACCCATGTAAACGCTCGGTTGGTTGAAGGCAGCGAAGGTTGGCCGCTCGGTAGCATACCAATCGTCGAGAGTCATAACCTCTTTGCTAAAGGCAATGACAGCCCCGGGGAGCATGCTTCTCAAGTAGAAGTCGACCACGGTGTCCACGTTAATTCTGGACAGCCAGGCCCGGGAGAAATAGCCAATGCCCACTTCTGGAACTGGCAGATTGGCCCTGTCAACCAAGCTCTGCAGTAGACCCTTCAAACGAAGAGGAGTCTTGTTGATGACCGACGACTGTACGGAGACTGGTGTAGTAGGCGTTGTCCCAAAGGACAGGTATCTCATAGGCTGCCACGTTGCCTTCTTCCACAATGGAGGCTCGTTATATTCGGTACTCTCCCCAATGGGCCTGGCCGGTGGAGGAGGCATGGAGTTGGCCGACGAAGCGCTTGCCGGTGGGGTCGCAAAAGGCGCAGAGGACATCATCATTGTTGTTGTTGGAACTGACCGGTTCTATAGCCGGGATGCGGTCAGTTGACGTGAGCAGATTGTATGCGGCGTCGGTATCCCAGCGAGCCTTTCGAAAGGCGTCCTCAATTGACTGCCTGGAGATAGACAGTAGCAGCTAGATAAGGATGTTGAACCCAACCAAGTGCGCAGAGATGTCGACATCATCACCATCAACGAGAGAGGTGTTCGACAGATGAGAGACGGTGGCATCCAGAAGCGCAACTAGATAAATGGAGGCGTTGTCGTCTACGACGGAAGAGACAGCTGGCGGGGGCGGAGACTTGGTCTATCAAACCGCGTGCGAGAAATTGAGGGTAAACGAAAATATGTACTCTTTGTATCAAACCACTAGAGCCCACGTGCATTTTCAAAATATAGAACCTTTACCTGCGGATCTACCACGTAGAGCTCGTAAGGGGCCATGCTCCATTGCTTGAGTGTGAAATGAGATTTAGGAGGTGGTCTCCTTCGTACTCTGCCAAAGTGAAGAGAAACGAAGAGCCTACCGTCAGCCCGCAGCAAAACCTGAATCCTTGACGCCAAAGAAAGTAACAGACTGCTTCTAGCTGCTCCTGGTGATAGATACGTGTGGTTGGCGATGGTGGAAAGCAGCTCGCCTGGGGATGCAGAACAATTCTCCGAAATCCCCGCCACGAGCCGCTAGCCTGGAGAACCTTGACCGCAATAGTCAGGTCGTCAGCGCCCTCCATCTTGCTCGCTCGCCTCCGACGATAAGACAGCATTCCCGGCAGCTGTCAGCCGTGCCATTGGCCTCTTTGGTCTGCCCTGAATTGCGCTGAACAGGGCAGGAGGTCGTGTGCCATCACAGCGCGTGCCGTGGACCGTCAACCGGGTAATTGGAGTGCTACAAATAAGAAGCCATGTCCTCCTTGTTGCCCTCTCTGTCCACTGCCTATTGCAAGTGATAGATCTGTGAAAATGCGCGTACAGACACTTCTTTCGGGCTGCCTGCTGCTTGCTACGGCCACGGCCTGGAACACCGATGGTGAGTTATTGCGAAGGCCCCTTTTGATGCTTGTACTGACAAGAACGCGTACTACAGTCCACAATCAGTGGGTACACACTATCTGTGATGACTGAACTCAGCTGAACGATTGAAAGGGTTGGCTTTATGGCCGAGAAGTTCCTCTCTCCATATACCACGTCCGTTTTGTCTAAGATTCTGGACCCGGAATACTTAGGATCGATTGGCAGGGCGGCAGCGTGGGCAGACGCGTATGCCCATACCACAGAGGGTCGTTTCAGCTACCAGTGGTACGTATAACGAGGTTTTACTGTAGCCCACAATCTTCTTGGCGCTCTGAATCCGACTCCGCCGCCGCGTCGCTCTACTTGTTCCTCAACTTACTCTGATTTAGGCATTGGATCGACAGCAGTGACAATGTAGGAATGTCATGCCTCAGTGTCGAGCCAATTGCTGACGGTCACAGCCTCCTCAATTCTGCAACACGTACTACAACCGTGATTGCACGAAAGGTGGATGCGTCGTGTCCGCCATCGCCAACCAGACGGAGATATTGAAGGGCTGTATTTCCGCGGCCAAAAGCGGCGAGCTCTCTGCCGGCAAGAACCTAACTTGTGATTACGCTTTACGCTGGGTCGTCCACTTTATAGGAGACATCTCACAGCCTCTGCATGCTTCAGGGATAGCGGAAGGCGGCAACGCATTTCCCGTTACCTTTGGCGGGAAAGCTACTGAACTACATGCTGTAAGAGATCACGCATTCAACACCTACTCGTATGTTGTGGCTGACAGTATCAGGTATGGGATGGCGAAATCATCTACGCCGACTCCAATGTCCCCAGGTTCTCCAACACCTCCCTCGACCCATGGATGAGTGGCCTGGTCTCTAGAATCCGAAGAGACGACTTCTTCGAGCCGACTGCCTCGTGGTTGGATTGCGCCGACCCGTCTACACCCGTTCAATGTGCCCTGTCATGGGCGCGTGACACCAACCAGTACGAAATCCTACCCAAAAGCCAAAGTTCGAGAAACCGCTAACAGACCTGACCTAGATGGAACTGTGACTATGTGTACAGCCAGGTCTTCAATGGCACGGATCTGTTGACAAGCGGCTATGCTGAAGGAGCTTATCCAATTGTAGAGCTGCAAATTAGCAAAGGGGCATTAAGACTCGCGACTTGGTTGAACAAGCTTGTTGCTGGAGACTACAAAAAGGACCGACAAGTGATCTTGAGAACGAACCCGTCTTGGGCGCTCGGACCAGATGGAGGTGCCTAGACGCAAAGAGTTTCGGTGAGATGAATCTATGGGAGCGGTGTATTAGATCTTCAAAAGCACATAAAATATTCAATGACATAGCGTAAGAACGGGACCTTCTTTTCAACTACCAAAGTCCGCTTGCAAAAACCAGCAGCTATCCAAGCTACGAACGCAAGATACTTCCACTCAAGTCATAAAACTTGGACTTCATGTCAAGATAGCTACCTCACGCGCACGTCAAGAGGTGCTACAAGCCATCACAAGAATCAGATTCACGCGTCAAGAACAAATACGTTCGGATTAGCCTTGCATTGTAACCTCAAGAATACAACCTAAAGTAAATGTAAGGAGCACCTCTGGCAGCCTAATAAGCCACCATAGCCGAGAACCCCTCCATCTCCCTATCGAAGTTCTTATGCTGCGAGATAGCAAAGAAGTACGAATCCACAAAGTCCTTCGCGCCCTTCGCCATCTTCACAGCCTCCTTGAAGCTCTCCGGATGCACCTGGCTCGCCGTCACCACGCCATACGAATCCACCACCTCGCCGGACGACGAGAACGAGACGCCGGGAAGCTGGCACGCGTCACGGACGAAAGCCACAGCCTCGCCGGTGGCACCGATGGCCTTCAAGTGCCCGAATGCCTCGCGCACCCAGTGCAGCGCGCGCCCGTTCTTACGAAGTGTAGCGATGGCGTCGACGCCGCCGGGGACGAAGATGGAGTCGAACATGGTTGAGCGCATGCCTTCAAGGTGGTGGTCTGGCACGACGCCCTTCCCGCTGGACTTGCTCTCGCCAGCGGCGAAGATGGTGCTGCGCTTTGGTCCGATGGTGAAAGGGACAGCACCTGACGCGGTGAGAGCAGCCTTGACACCGTTATAGGCGATGGCGTCGTAGCCCTCCGCGATGATGATGGCAACGCGGCGAGTGGCGATGGTTGGCTCTGCTGGCATTAACTCGAGCTGGCTCAGGCCCTTCGCCTTTTTGCCGTGGTTGGGGCGCTTGGCCTCCGAGGGCACATCGGCGCCGACCAGCTCGGCGACATGCTGTGCGAGGTCGAGATCGATCTCGCAAAGGCGGTCGGCCATGCGCTTATAGACGACTGGGTCATCGCAATGATCGAGTTCGAAGCCTAGGGCGGCTACAATGTGGGCTTTCTCAGGGGGTGACAATGAGTTGTAGAAGAGCTGGGCTTGGTTGAAATGCTCCCTGAACTTCTTGCTCTTAAGACGCGTCTTGATACCAGCAACCTTCTCAGGATAGTCGACATAACCACCCTCTTGGGCAGTGGCTGGGGGATGGGCCTCGAACCGATTGGGCCAGTAGTTGGCCTTACCTTTGGTAATAGTGTGCCTCATTGCACCATCACGGTTGTTGTTCATGACGGGGCAGATAGGCTTGTTGACCGGCAGCTCTTCGAAGTTGATACCGAGGCGGGAAACTTGAGTGTCCTGATAAGAGAAGTTGCGTCCCTGGAGGAGGGGATCATCGGATAGACCAATGCCAGGGACGATGTGGCTTGTGCAGAAAGCCAACTGCTCAACTTGCGTAAAGTACTCATCTGGCATGCGGTTCAGCTCGAGCTGGCCAATGTATCGGATGGGAATAAGCTCCTCTGGCCAGAGCTTTGTGGCATCTAGAATGTCGAATTCGAAGTCCTGCTCCTGGGCTTCAGGGATGACCTGGATACCGAACTTCCACTTAGGGAATGCTCCGGCACTGATGGCTTCCTCTAGGTCCTTACGATGGAAGTCCGGGTCTTGTCCGGCAAGCTTCAGCGCCTCGTCCCAAACGAAGGAATGGACGCCTAGCTCGGGAGTGAAGATGAACTTGACAAAGTTCCTCTCTCCCTTCGCGTTGAGCAGTGTGTAGGTGTTGACACCGAACCCTTGCATCATCCGGTAGGATCTTGGAATCGCTCGGTCCGACTGAGTCCACATGAACATGTGCGTAGCCTCGGGATGCAAGTATTGGAAGCTACATTATTCATCAGTACACCAACTAGCACCAGAATTGAAAGACGGCTCACTCCCAGAAATTGTTGTGAGCAGTCTGAGCCTGAGGAACCTCGTTGTCGGGCTCAGGCTTGCCAGCGTGGATTACATCGGGAAACTTCATCGCATCTTGGATGAAGAAAACCGGGATGTTGTTACCCACGATGTCCCAATTACCTTCTTCCGTGTAGAACTTGACAGCGAATCCTCGCACATCACGAACGCTGTCTGCGCTACCCCGACTTCCAAGAACAGTGGAGAATCGCAGCGCGACGGGAGTCTCGCGCTTTGTGTCTGTGAGGACTCCTGCGGAGGTCACGTCTTCGGCGCTCTCGAAAAGAGTGAACTTTCCGAAGGCTGCGGCACCTCGAGCGTGGACGACTCGCTCTGGGATACGCTCATGATCGAATCGATGAATCTGCTACATATTAGAAAGACCGCACACGTACGCTTCAGTGTGGAGTGTATGTGACTACCTTTTCTCTCGCGAATCCGTCCTCTAGCAGAGACGGACCAACCTTATCCTCAGTTGCGACAGCCAGCCAGTCATCAGTGTTGATTTGCTTGGTGCCCCAATCGGTAGTGATGCGAGCTTTGGTGTCCTGAGAGTCTTTGGTGCTCGTCGCCATTTGGGCGAACTTCACGTCGTGTTCTCCAGGCATGACTTTTTGCACTGTCTCGGTTGCTTTGTAGAGGATTTCAGACGCCATTCAATAATTTGAGATACGGCAATCAGCAAAAGAGTAGAGGCAATGTGCACTCAGTAAGACGGAGAGGTTATATAGCTTTCTTCCAGCGACGGTGGCGGTGACGTCTGCTGTACGTAGGCCGTCAAAAGCTTCAAAAGGTGCGTGCACGCGCGCAACTGCCGCGGGCACTTCCACGTGAAAGGAGCCTCCATGCGTTCTGCATCACCGCGTCGTAGGGAGCCAATTAGAACTACTCTAGTCCATCTTCCTCTGAAGTTTGGTGGACGTTGTGACGTTATCCGGATGTTGGAGGAAATCTGCTTGCCGAGGAGGCGCGAGTGACAAGGATGACATGGGATTTCAGAATGCCATGTCGCTTGCCGCCATCGAGAACGTTGAGCTTTGAAATCCGTCCTACCACATTGGTGTAACCCTGGAAGACGATCATACGGTGACGATGTGAATCGAGCGTGACGGAGAAAAGACTGATGGAATTCTCTATCTCAAAATTTGAATACTGATCAGGGCGCATACAAAACACTGCCTTCCTTAAAGTGTTGAAAGCGATTCTCCAATTTGAAGCCTGTCATACATGAAACAATAAAATGTACCGAACAACGTGATTCTATGACGGTGAAGCAGAGATAAATAGATGCGAAGAAGTTCAACATATACAGCTAACAAAACAACGACGTCATTCCAGCGCAGGAGTATGGATGGCTTTTGAGGGGCATTAGCTCCGTGAATACTTACACTTCAAGTCCAATCAGACGATATAAGTTTGAAGGGCTTCGGGTATAATCACGTGAGTTTCACGTGGATTAACGGGATCTACGAGACTGGCCTGTACCAGCCAACACCTGCGATACTCCCGTCCAAAGACCCGCTGGCCGCAGTAAACGACCTGACATTAGACCGAGCGAGGTCCGGTGCTTCTATTGATCCTCGGTTTCAGTCTCGAGTGGCATTTGCCAAGGGCTTGGTCTTTAATGCTCTGGACGAATCCATCAACACGAGATGCTTTGAGAGTTATTGAACTTGGCAATTTTGTCGAATTCTACCGAGGTACAAGATCATCAAGATATGCCCATGGATACACGCGGCTCTTCTAAAAAAACGGCGATCCCATCTTGGCCCATCTTGGCCCCTCCAGGACACCCCTAGACATTTCCAACACCACCTCATTCTCACACCATCTTTCACAAGCCCGAACCTCGTCCACAGCAAGTCCGAGCCCCGTATCCGTTGCAAGCCACCAACACCAAAAGAATCCACATCCGCTTACAGAATATTCCCATTCGCACCAATCACCCCCCGTCACCCACCCAGAAGGCCCCCCTCAAAACCCGCCCCCAAATCTCACGCCCGGGCTCCTCTACAACCTAAGCTTCTCGGCTTCGGCGCGCCCCGAACGGCGCCGACCGCGGATCCCCCACCACACGCGTCCCCCACAATTCTACGAGAGGCCCCAAGAAGCAATTTTGCTTTTTCCGCCAACCGTCGACGAACTCAGGCTCGACATGCTGTTTCGGCCGCTTGGCACAGCACGCCAGCAGTCGCTTACGGCAAGCCGTGCAGCATGGGCCAGGCGCGAGCTCGATGTGGCGTCTGCAAGGCCAGCACGAAATTGCTGCAATACTCTCGTTCTGCTTCGTGAAGGGTGAGCACGAGGTGGTGGAGGCGAATCTGCATGGGCGTGCAGCGTTGATCGTCGAAGGCGGGCATCCCGCTGCCCGCACGCCGTTATTCAGCTCAGGCGGCCCTAGCCACGGAGATGCGATACCGAGTGTCGCGTTGACAGGTACATCCGACGTGGCTGACCGGCGGGGGGAGGCTGATGTACCTTTTTCTGCGTGTTGGAGGGAGGTGGGGTCAGGTGGATTCACGTCTCGGCAAGCCCTCACAAGCTTTTGCCCGCCGGGATACCCGCTTCGAGCGATGGTGCAGCGACTGGCGTCGCGAGAAGAGGCTGCTTTGGCCAGTCAGGTTCGCGGGAGCGTCGTGGTGGGCGGATCTGCTTTGCTTACAGGACCAAGGACGGGGGCGATGTGCGGGAATGTATGCACGTAGATGCAGGCAGATACGTCGTGTATCAACTAGTATAACTTTTCTGCATTTGCGGGAACCGCCATCATCTCCTCCACCGGACTTGCCTCCTACGGTAGGCGTGTATGTAAAGCGAGAGTGACGAGAAAAAACGAGATGCAGCTTGTGTTGAAGGAGAAAGAAAAGAAGTCAAGCTGACACGATAAGTAGAAACATGAATGTGATGTGTGCATGGGGTAGGTACTCCAGCTGCGCGTCTTCCATGCAGCACATATGATCATCCAGGCCAAACTCCAACCCCGCTGAATCCAAATGCTATTGGCTTTAGTCAGCCCTCATGCGTGGTTCCGTCTACTCCAGCAGAGTGAAGTCCGGAACACCCGGCTCACCGCCCCAGTGGACGGGGCCCAGCTTGAGGAATCGTGGACGGCCAAACGACTCAGAGCTGCTGACGCTGCTGGACCGCCTCTTCTTCAACATGTATTCGATCTCTTCGGCGGTGGTGTCCGCGGAGCCAACTGTTGGAGACGCCATCTCGGCCGGGATGAAGTCGTCAACTCGGTCGACGATGGAAGAGGCCGAAGCCTTCGACGCAGTGGAGGAGATGCGTGGGCGGGAGGGGTAGGAAGCAGAAGTGACCGGCGCCAGGGCGAGGAAGGTGAAGTTCCGAGCGGGAATGTGGTGCGAGCACTCGGTGGTTGAGAGCTGGACGGGAGAAGCGGGCTCGATGATTTGCTCCATAGTCTTTTCGGCAAAGTTAACGGACTTCTTCGGCGATTCAGAGGCCATGGCTTGTGGTGGAAGCGTTGGAAGGTTGGGAGAGAGAACGGTGGAGGGATCAGAAGGTGGGAAGAAATGCAGTGTGTGGGGATGAGACTCACTGGCTGGGTATTACAAGACTTTATAGAGCGAAATATTTAAAGTGGGTTAATGATTCGAAATGCTGTGTTCCACACGTGGATCGTAGCCGGACTGTACCAAGGTTCGACCCTGATTTGTCTTTGGGATACACCTGACACAGTATGGAGGCGCTTGGGTGACAAACTCTCGTGCAGCCGCGTGACCAAACAGCAGCGAGTCTTTCAAAGTGGAATGAAATCAAGGAGAGAAAAAGGAAGGAAGGCTTGAGCTGTGTCTACTTTGGAGGATCGTGTACTTATAGGATTCCGGCGCAGCACCCGCAGATATCGGAAGCCTTAAGCGGGAGCCTTACCGATGACGTGAAGCCGCTATGCCAGCTAGTGGTGCAGGAGTCCCTTCGTCCATCAGGTAGGAGACGAGGAAAATCCGGAAGGAGACCTGGTCTGTCTGCCCTCCTGTTGTAGATGCTTGGCTGTCATTCTTGGTGTGCTGATCGCTATTCGACGAGGCTCTAGACTACCCCACAAAGATGCAGAGAGCGGTCAATCAGTCTTGTCGAATGAGCGTTATTTATTGCCAAGAGACTTTGCGGTATCCGCCGCCAGCGCTGAAATGCAAAACACCACCCGCGATCAGTGCAGCCATTCTTTGTCAACTTAGTGACGCGTCCTGATCTCTCACGAGATAGAAATAGTCTTTCGTTTCCCCAGAGTGCCAGCAAGCGCCCTTGCCTTTGGTGGCCCGCATTTCGGGCGCGAAAGGAAGCTTCTGGTGGAGAGACACCAAGCTGGCTGGAATCAGGACTATCGTGAAGTCGGGAGCCGATCGTAGCCGGCGGGCGGGACCGGTCGGAAAAGCGTGACCGAGCGGGGAGTTTTCGAGGCTTCAGGGGAGCTGAGCTGAGGTCTGTATTGTGCAGTTGTGCAGCAGGGCAGTCAGGAGCTGAATCCCGATTCCGAGTTGCCGGCGGAGCGCCAGTCACAGTGATAAAACCCGTGACTTTTGGACTAGGCGTGAAAAAGGTACCGAGCACACTGGTTGAGCACGCTGCCTCATGTATACGGCTGTTTGCCGCTGCTTGAAGTGCTTTGACGAGTTTCCACATACCTCGAGGTGAAGAGCCTCTATGTCGTGCAGATTTGTTTGTGGAACATCCATTCAAGCACCCCAAGCAGTGGCGTACAAGCGCACACTGACTGCACCGCCGACCGCGGCACATTGCTGAGCGAGCCCGCAAATAGCACGCGTGGCTTGTTCGATCGGCTGAAGGCGTTGCAGCGAAAGTTTATTCATGTTTGCCAGATCTTTCTGCATCAGCACCACGTGCTCGTCGACGCCCAACCTTCGGTCGAACCTGGGAACCTTGGAAACGCCGGTACTGGCACGCAGCGGCGCGGGAATTTGACTTTGACATGGCGATCCGGTGTGCTCCACGCGAGCTGATCGATGATTACTATGGGGTTGGGGTGCGCGAAGGAAGGGGGTGGCTTCTGGCAGAGAGCACTCCGACTCGACAGCGGCGGAAGTGGTGGCGAGAAGGGTAGGCGCTGCGAGCCTGCGATAGGCTATGATGCAGCGTCCTGAAGGACGAGAGAGAGCTGGGCCAGCGTCGAGGCGAGCCGCTCCTTTATGACCGTCCGCTTTCCATGTCCTGGATGGCGAGTGAGTGTGCCGTGCGTGCTGTCCGAGAAGAGCCCGGACGAGACGAAATGCCTGCGACTACGGCAATAGATTGATGATGCCCTTTGCGGACTGCACATCGCCTGGAGTCGCGATGATTTGCCTTGGCAGATACTCGGAGCAACCATCGGACTGGCCATTCACAGCCCGCGGTGCGGCTTAATGTGACAGGACTGCGCTACCTTAGAGCAAGGCGCCTCGTACCATGTTCCATGGCCATTCTCAACCCTGGTGCTGGCCTCGCCGCGCGACTATTGTGGCAGCTCCTCGACCTTCATTCGAGGACTGCCCTGTTGCGGCAAAGTCAGGGAGCTTTCCGGCGTGACATTGCGTGCTTCTCCGGATCTGCTGACTCGTGCTGCTCCAGCGGATCGCTCAAGCCTCGTCACAGACACAGATATGACATTGATGTCGACGGCCGTTTTGGTCGCATGTACAGTAAGGGACGTCTGGTTCCACGCGCTCTCCACCACACCATCACCACCTAGCCAACCTCGTCGAGCCAGCATCGCTGCCCACGACAGCTGCCGCCAGGGTGCCATGTGGATGCCGGGCTGGCAAGGGATTCCTTCGCGGCGCCAGGCGGCGGACTGTCTGCAAACTCGCGTTTCTCGTCGTGATCCTCCGCCCTGCCTGCGCAGCACTGCAATCACTTCACGGCTGCGCGCCGCCCTGAAGCCAACGCAGCACGGCCCGGCTCACGGCAGAGGATGCTTGCATGCCGGGAGGACCATGGCCCGATGTGGGTGTGTATCGCTTTGGCTCCAAGTAGCTCATGGGGAAGCGGTAAACTGACCACGATTGGCGTACATGGATCTGATTATGCACGAATAGCGTGTGCACTACCTAGGTATAGAATACGCGCCAGTGAAGGACTTCCACGGTTGAGAATGGTGGCTTCTCTTCCGGGGACGCCGTCTTTCAGGTGCATGTTTGGGAAGTTCTAAAGCGTCTGCATGTCTTCTCACCATCCAAAGCAAATCCACGTGTTTTCTGAAACTCAAAGGAGCGAGAAGTATGTATTGTACCTTTGTATCAATTCAAAGGACGGAGGTTGGTCGATTCAAACAGTTAGTAAGCCCCCCCGTTCCAACGGCGCTACCTAGGTAGTCCGCAGAGTTGTGAATAGCCTGTGCATGCTAAGAGCAGCCAGTCTACCGCCCCCCTTAGCTCCATGGGCTCCACGACGAACCCACAGGGCTGATGCGTCCGCTCGACGTTGGACAGGATCTGCCCGGCGCCCATTGCGGCATAGCCTGCCATTGCGGTATGGAGCAGGCCGCCCGGCTACTGGCAGCTGGGCATTGCTGCTGGCGATGGGGATGGGCCACCGTAGGAATGCGCGGGTTTGCTGCCCAGCTCCAGGTGCGCGTACGAAGAGCTACAATGCACCGCAGAGGCGTCAGGTCGAGGCATGATGGCCGCCGGGGTGCATTCACCCTACTCGCTGCACGGAGGGGCCTGCGCGGGCTCTAATCACTCTCAGCCGTCGATAGGCACCCCGGCCCCGTGTCCCTTGTCGTGAGAGGCCGTCGCCAGACGCCCACCTACATGTCCTTGCTGCTCCCGCACGGAGCCAACGGCTTTGCAGCTCTGTCGCACTCTGTTGCAAACGGGAGCGGCAGTAATCTAACAGCTTGCTAAAGGCCCGTCGTCTCGGGTGCTCGACGATGCCTGTATAAAACCATCCCTCGGCCCACTGCGCCTTGCCATTGTCCATTGTCGACTCCAGCTCCACCACCTCCCACGCTCCCACACACAGCTCCCAGCTCCTACAGTAGCTCCCTCAGCTCCCCCTCGGCCTCGTCCTCCGCCATACTCGTCGCCCCAGGGCTCCCCACTGCTGTGTCGTCTCTGCGTCCTCGTCCGTCCAGCTGCATCCGCCACAGCTCCAGCTCCAGACCATTCCAGGCCAACCCCCGCCAGCCCCACGAAGCTTGCCCGTCCAGGACTCGCACGCAGCCCGCCAATCGTCCTCGTCGTCGCCAGCTCCCAGCGGTGCTCGTCTCTCCAGCCCACGGGTCGGCAGCTCTCCAGCACCCAGCTCGCGCTGCCTCCGTACCTTGGTACGCTCCGCCCACCACCACGTCTCGACGTGCGCCGGCTCGACCCTCGCAGACCCTCGCAACCAGCAGCCATGTGCCAGAAGTTCGTGCACACGTTCAGCTGCGGCCACCAGATGGTGCAGAAGGCGGAATGCGCCACGTCGAGGTCGACGAACTGCGGCGTGCTGCAGGTGAAGAATATCAAGCATGACGAGAAGTGCGATAGCTGCGATCACTGACAGGTAGGCCCCTCGCGGCTGGCCCCGGCGGGTGCATGTCTGACAAGCTCGCAGCAGTGTGCCACCGCAGACTCTATCCGGACGACACCTCATGACGGCCGGTGGCACGCAAACAGGTGTCTTCGATCGCAGCGCAGGCGGGACCTCCGCTCACCTCATCACACAGTTTCCTAGGCGGGGGCCTGCTGGTCTTACGGGCCCTCTCTCCTCTCCAGTCGGCAGGGGCATTTCACGGCGTCACGAAGACAAAAAGTGCGAAGGCGTTGGAAGGGTATCGGCGGCCCACGTGGACCACGGGCTATGGCTATCTAATGGCGAGACTGGTGACTGGCGTTTGACGGGCAAAATGGGTTGGCTGGGGCCTCTGCTTCACCTCTTGTATTACTCGTCGCTTTTGTATCCGCGGTGCGATTGGGCGCGAGCGTGATGGACTTGGATATGGACTGTGACCTGTCCCACGGCGGGACGGGCAAAAAGGCGTTGCGTTTGTCGCTTTCCACATGCTGTCTTCTTGCTCTGCCTGCCCACGATCCTGCGTTTCATGAAGCTGCTGCTCTCTCGGGCGACGTGCGGCGGTTCCCCGTGTCCGTCCCGTGCTGCCGAGGCGGGGAGACGGGAAGGCGTGAGGTCAAACAGACTGCGCCGGCGCAGTGCCTTGGTGCGGCGAGTCAATTGCGCGACAGCTGTCAACTCGCAGGACGGGGCAGTCCCTGTGAGGTTCGCCAATGTCGTACGAGACCGTTGAGAAAAAGCAAGTGGCGCGTCTAAAAAATCGCCCAACCGCGGCAGATGCTGCAGCCCGCAGGCTCGCCAATCGCTCCGAATTCAAATAACCGCCTGGGCACCTGTGCTTCTCAACGGCTGCCCGCCGAGGGGGAGCTTGGCGGGCCCAATATCAGATCTGATATTGACACGGCAGGCCGAAGTCAGCGGACTGGCAGCACCGAGGGCAGCAGCAGCAGCGCGGCGGGAGGGCGGCGGGAGCATCCAGATGGACAGGCGGGGACGCTGCTGGAATGCTGCCCAAGCTCCAATGGCGGCGACGGGCTGGACAGCTGGACAGGGCGACGATAAGTGGAGTGGTGGGCGCTGAATCCTCCCTCAGTCTCTGGCATCATGCACCGCAGCGGCACAGCGAGCACAGCGCCTCGAGCAAGCCTGCTGCAACGGCGACATGTTTCGTTCGCCCATCCTGCGTACATAGCCTGCGCCAGCCAGGCCGAGGAACGGGCCGCACGCCACACACACCTACAGCACATCCGCCGTGCCTAGATTGGATGCAGTGTTCTGATATAGCTGCACTGTTGTGATAAAACGCCGCCGCATGGACCGCGCGGGCAGCCCTGGGTTTCATGTGAAGACGCAATCTACGGTCGACCCGATCTCCAGCGTGCATACGTACTGACAGCAGCAAACGCGGCCGGCTATGCGTTCTGGGTTGCTGGTGCTCTTCCAGAACACTTCGTCTCAAGAATAGCCCGCACCCCAGACTGCACCGGCATCATCGTCGATCATCCAACAGCAGCCCCGGTCAGCCTCCACGCCTGAGGTCGCCCTGCCCGTCGCCGCCGCTCATCCGGCCCGCTACTGTACGCATCCCTGAGCTGCCAGCAGCAGTGCCGAGCACACGAGCGAAGCCTGGCAGCCCTGGCACGCCTTCAATCAGTCCGAAGCCTCGTGCATCGGGCATCTGCTTAGCCGCACAGCTGCGGCCTTAAATCGCTGGATCGATGCTTGCCGCCCGTCCCTGGTCTCCATGGCTGCGCTGGCTTGTGACGGCGGGGCTGCGCGCGCAGAGGCTCGAAGGGGCTGGGAGGGGCTTCCACAAGGCAACGGTTCGCATGACTTCATGCCCGCTGGACGCACGGCGCGGAGGGACGTCGACGAGGCCTGCGGATGCGGTGATGGCAAGCTCTAGAGGTGAGCGTCCCAGGGCTCGACGCCAGGCTGGCCCTCGACAACGGTGCATCGGGAAGGATCGTTGCGCGTGTGATGCCCACAGCAAAGCTGCATTATCACAGCGCCCGTAAGGTGGGGGGTTTGTCGTATCGAGCAGGTCCAGCTTTACTTTTCCTAGGTCGAAACCTCGACCGTGCGCGCCGGGGCAGCTCGCGCACGTCGCCTGCTCGGAGGCGAAACCGCAACCTTCTTGTCGACCCTGCAGCGGCGTGCAGGCACTTATCTGGCGGCGGGCATGGCGATTCGCGCGTGGTGGTTGGCGCAAGCGGTGCGTACCTAGGTCGGGACTTGAGGTCGGCGACGGAGCCTGGCCCGAGTCTTGGCATCTGGCCGACCTCGCGTCCGGCAAGACTGGCCTGCACCGTTACATAGAACAACACTACGACCTCACCGATGAGTATTGACATCCACTGGGACGCCCTGACGGGCGGCCCTGATGGAGTTGCCCGTGCCGAGACCATTCGAGCATTCATCCATGAGAGGTTTCAGCAGGTGACGCTGCCGCGCTTCATCCGTTCCGTCAAGGTCCACTCCTTTGACTTTGGCAGCGTGCCCCCGGAGCTTGAGCTGAAGGACATCTGCGACCCGCTGCCGGACTTCTACGAGGAGGATGACGACTATGGGAGCGAGGATGAGGAAACCGCCGACCACGTTTCAGCCCAGGTCGAGAGCATGCACCTCGACCCCCCCAAGTCCTTCAAGGAGCGCCGCCTCAGGGGACTGGAGGTGAAAGACCTCGATGGCCAAACCCCCCCCGTGCGGACACATGTTCCGCCGCACGTAGAAACCAGAGGGCCAGGCTTGCGTTCGACGCTGGCACCAGGCGAGCAGCTTGGAAGCCCTCTGATCTCCAGAGCACCCACTCCCGGCATCCCAGGCGGAACGTCCAACATGAGCTACTTCCATCTCCCTCTTGGAGCTGGTATCTCGGGTGCCACTACTCCGCTCGCTGCTGTGGCTGGTGCCCAGTATCAGAGCTGGCCAGACAGCCATCATTATGGTCGGTTCTTACACGAGCACGGCAACCGTCGGCCCGATGCTACCTCCATCAGTTCTCTCACCCCTCCCCCCTCAACCGCTGATCCAGGCTCGCGTCCACCGTCACAGCATCACAATGAGCCCACGAGACATCCAAAAGCTGACACTGAAGAGTCCTCATCATCTCACATACATCACAAAAGTCCCTCTCCGTCGCCACCACCGCGAATGAGGGAGAAGAGCGTCAACGACATGCAGGTTGTCTCACATGTTAAGTACTCCGGGGACATCAAAATCTCTCTCACAGCAGAGATCTTACTAGACTACCCGATGCCAAGCTTCGTCGGCATTCCTTTGAAGCTTAATATCACAGGCTTGACTTTTGATGGCGTGGCCATTTTGGCATATATCAAAAAGCGGGCGCACTTTTGCTTCCTGTCGCCGGAAGATGCAGAGTCACTCGTGGGCGGCGAGTCTTCTCTGGACAGCATGCCTAGCGATTCACAATCCTCCGATCACCCGAGCATACGGCTCCCCAAAATTGGTGGTCTACTTGAGCAAATCAAGGTCGAGAGCGAAATCGGCCAAAAGGAGAACGGAAAACAGGTTCTCAAGAACGTCGGAAAGGTGGAGAAGTTCATTCTCGAGCAAGTCAGGCGCATCTTCGAAGACGAGTTCGTCTACCCAAGCTTTTGGACATTCCTTGTGTGACGACACCCATGACGCCCTATGGCCGAGCCGCCCAGTGCTCAGCAATCAGTCAAATTTCGAACAAACTGTTTGCCCCACCATCCGAACGACGCGAGGTTTAGGATCATCGAATATATCGCATTCCCCAGATGACAACCGGAGAGGCTACAGTGACAGATAGCCTATTAATTTCCACTCCTTGGGAATCCTAACATATTCCCTATGATATGTCCACAACTCAAGGATAGGCCTCCGTATAGCATGCAGTACTGCATGCACGACACTGCAGTACAGCCCCGTCAGCTGCAGCCTTGAGAGAAGCAAGCAGACGGGAGGAAGCGGGAGGCGGGAGGCGGGAGGCGGGAGGCAAGTGGAGCTGGCTAAATCAGACGACCGCAGGTGTCAGTCGATCCCTGGACTTTGTGCTACGGTGGCGATGCAGGCCAGCGAGCATCCGCCCTGGCGCGGAGATGGTTTCAAGGTTGCGAAGTGTCACAATGGTCGCGTTACAATGCAGCACAGGTGCCACGTAGGGCTTGCGTCTTCTGAAGCACGCCTGCGGGCTGCCTCATGGCTGCCGCGCTTGTTTCGCAAAAACGTGGGCGGGCGCTGTGATGTCCGAAACATGGCGTGAGGAAAGAGGCTGGCCGCATGTGCTTGTCACCACGAGGCGTATATATGATCAGGGCGGCTATATCAGCCTACGCAGGAACGGTATCAATCACACCTTTTTTTCCTCGTCATGGTCAGGTCCCAGTGAACTCATCCCTAGCTTCATTTTTTCGACGTAGCTCCTGCCTGATCTCGGTCCGACCCTTTCTTTCCATTTCAAGCTAGCGCTATACTGCCGCGATACCCGGCTCCCTCTCCAGAACTGCAAACGCGAGCCCCTTGCATCCTAAGTCTATTTCACGATGAGCACAGGACTGCCGGAATGTGATAGCTCAAGCCAGACTCCAGTTATCGGAAGGTAGGTGACGATGTCGCAGTGTGTTCCATTGGGTCATGTAACCCTGCAACTACTTTCGAAGGCGTGCATGGTGGACAGCTAATACTGAATAAGGGCCCCAGCATTTGCTAAATAGGAACATGCATCAGATGCCGGCGCCCTATTGCTACGTTTGACGATGGGAGTTCGGTAGGCCTGATGTGGCGGTCCGCGTGTGCGACGAGGACTAGGCTGTTTTGATTCCGTGGCGTGGAATAATGCATACTGTGCTTCTAGTGAATGGTCTGACTTATTTGTCCGAGTCTCATCCTGCGTAGGGAAAGTCTGATTATTACTCTCCAAAATTCTTAGTATTCCTTTTTAATTGATGGTTAGATGTCCTGTCATCTTGCCTAGCTTTGCCGCTCTCGAGTGTCTATCTAAAATTGCGTAAGTGCCCGTGAAAGTAGAGCAATCAGTACTACAGAACACGTCTACCAAATATAGGTATGCCTATCCCTTGAAAAGCAATTATTCAAACTCTTCCGAACTCGGCATCGAGTCATCGTGACAGTCTTGTGTTTTCGACTTTAGCTCGATGTACCCATCCCCTTGAGGTTAGCAAAGTGAGAGGGAGACCCCGCCTAAATCAGGAACTAACCTGGCTGGTTCGGCTTGGGCTCAGGGTCCAGATGGCAGCTCGGGTACCTTAGACGGAAGCGGGTACACTAAACTTTATATTTTGATCCATGGTTTGATGTTTTCCCAACGCCGAATGTTTGTCTAAGAAGGATTTTGATAGCCAAGCAATCCAAGAAGGCCCCGCCGTCGATCAAGTGGCGTAAAATCCGAGCACAACTCTACCTAGGTAGGAGTGTCTTGGCCGGCCAAGCCACTAATAGAGGGGCTGAAACAATTCACTCGTCGACGACAACAACTCTTGTTTCCTCCACAACACACTCTCTCCCTAAGAACCTAGTCTACTCTCACTGTCATACATACAGTTGCATACTGATATCAACACCGCAATCATGCCGTCCCTTCGGCTCCCTCCCCTCCTTCTACCGTGTCTCGTTCTGATCGTGCTCTGGGCCCGCCCCACCCATGCGTTTGGTGCTGGTAATATTGCTTCGACTTCCAAAGTCGAGGGCCAGAACTGGCGTCATGGAGATATCGAGGACACTCTACTCACCATTCTCATGTCCCGCGCCACTGGCAAGAAGTTCAGCAAGATGGATGTTAAGCGCGTCTACTTTGGAAACTGGCTGCGAGACTACTCTCAGGCTGTAGACGTACGTATCTAGCTAAGCAAATGGTGGAGCGGCCAAAACTTACAATGTGATAGGTCGGAACCGTCAAGATGGTCAGCGCGGAGGCCATCCGTATCCTGCTCTGGGTTTTGGGCTTTTTGAGCTTTGGCTATGGCACCAAGGAGTTTGAGGTCACGCGGGACAGGCTTGGTTGCTACCGGTACACAAGTCTCACACCTACGCTATAGCAAATTGCTTACTTTCTCTACAGTCCCGAAGAGCACATCGACAACCCTAAGGACTACGCCGACAACCTCGACGCCCGCCAATATGACCGCCGCCTTCGAGGCCCTGTCGATGAGCGACGAGAACTGGGAATTGACCCTCGCACCGGTCTGAAAAACTACATTGCTTCGGAAGATATGGGCATCACAACCTCAGCGGGATTGGTCCGCAACCTGTTTGGGCGATGCATTGACCTCGGTCGACGATACAACCGCAATCGAAACAAGGCAGATCTGTATGAAGCTCTGAGACTTCTTGGAACTGGATGTCATTGCTTGGAAGGTAAGACACAGATCATGCAGGCGTAGACTGCCTGACCCCCTTGCTGATTATCTATAGATTACTCTGCTCACTCCAACTATACCGAGCTCGCTCTCATCGAGATGGGCGAGCGAGACGTCTTTCCCCATGTTGGCCGTGCCACGCAAGTTCGCGTGCAAGGCGCTCGTGGTCCTGTCTGGCCTATCATCACCGGCACTTTTGGAGGTGTCGACTTCCTTCACTCCGTATGCGGAGAATTCTCAGACAAGGCCACTCAGTCCGAGATGCAAGAACTAGAAGGGACTATCCAGGACTCGTCTCGAAAGGGGGACAAAAGCATCATCAAGGACCTCTTGAGTCAGCTTCCCAGTGGCCTCTTTGGGGATAAGGACCAAGCCGGCAAAGCCGACGAACTCGAACAGAATGCCCAGTCTGCTCAAATGCAAAACATGACCATCACTCCAAAAGAGCCCGAAGAGTTTACCCAGCAGCTGGATGAAATTGTCAAGCAGATCTACCCTATCATGGAGTGGCACGACGAGATTATGCAGTCTATCAACGAATTCATTGAGTCGGTTCCCAGTAAGTAGTCGCGATTACACTCCCCCCCCAAGCTACACTTCTCTTCCCGTGTATGCGTTTATTAATTGGTACCGCCGTCTTTAGTCCTTCCAGACCTGATCGAGCAACTGCAAGATCAGATCAACATCTTTGTGTTCTCCCTCTTGGCCCCATTCGTCCTTCCAATCATCTCACAGGTGAAAACGGAGCTTGAAACTGGCTCCTCAGAAGTCATCGCCTCCTCCCGCGACAAGCAGCTCATCGTATTCAACGACGACCATTCCAGCGACCCGACCCACTCCATGATTTCCAAGGATCATTTCAGCAACGTCCTCAACGAGCCCGCTGGTAAGGTCGCCTCGCAGGTTCTCAAGTGGGTCGTCCCTCAGATTGTAAACTGTTGGGATGACGAGCGTGCCGACGCGAACCGCACTATCCAGCGTATCATCACTGGCGTTTTCCACCACCCTGCCCTCCGTCAATATGGCGACGACGGTGCTTCCGAGTGCCGTGGGCTTATGTTCAACGTTATGGAGAGGTGGTGGGGCGAGATGAGCGAGCGCGAAAAGGACGATTTGCGTGACAAGCTTAGCAGGGACGGTGTCGAGCAGGGCCGAAACCACAAAGAGGGTGTGCACGACAAGGGTCACGGTTGCGGCAAGCCTCTTGGGATGGCCAACGATTTCTCTGGCGCTGGGGTGGGAGGTGGCCTCGGGGGTGTACTTAGCGGCGTTCTCGGCGGCGGCACGCCCTCCTCGGGTGGCTATGGCGGGGGGAAATCCGGCAAGAATGAACCTTTCCACGAAGTCGGCAACTTCGCTAGCGACGCCGTTGGAGGCGGTGCACTCGGTGGCATCGTGGGCGGTCTGGTCGGCGGCATTGGTGGATCCCTCTTGAGCGGTGCGATGGGTGGAGGTGGAGGGGACGACGAAGATGAGTACAAACCTAAGAAGGGGAAGAAGTACAAGGCCGAGTACGACGAACCGTATGGCGGAGGCCACACGACGCAGTATACCGAAACGTCGAACCAAGGCAACCGATACGGCCAAGCTGAGTACAAAAAGACCGAGTATGAAAGCGGTGACCGACGCGAAGAATATTCTAGCTACCAGCAGCAAGGCCGATCAGGCCAAGGCCATTCGGGGGGCTATGAGTCCCGCGTCGAGACGACGACTAGCTATGGAGGCGGAGGATACGAGGAGGAGCGGAGATCGAAGAACTATGATGAGGGCTCGGAAGATGACGAGGAGAAGCGGAAAAAGAAAGAGCGCAAGGCCCGTGAGAAGGCAGAGAAGAAGGCCCGTAAGCACCACGGGGGTTATGATAACGACGAAGATGAGGACAGTGAGGATGATAGCGAGAAGTACAAGGAGAAGCATCATAAGCACCGCTCTGGATCAGGCGAGCACCGCTCTGGATCAGGCGAGCATCGCCGTTCCAGTAGGTCTCGCGAGCGAGAGTCTCAGGGCTACGGGTACGGGGAAGAGCGGAGATACGGAGGGGGGCAGCAGCAGTCCTATGGTGAGCAGCGTGAGAATGTGGGTTATGGCGAAGAGCGCCAGTACGGTCAAGAGCGCCAATATGGTCAGGAGAGTCGGGGTTATGGTGGTGGGGGAGATCAGTATGCAGGTGACCAGTATGGAGGCGGCCAGTACGGAGGCGGCTACCAGCAGGAAGAACGTATGCCAGGTGGCTTTGGTGGAGACGAGTATGGCGAGCGACAAGAGCGACGCCGCGATGACGAGTACGGCGAGTCTCAGCAGCAGTACGGGCAGCCTCGACGTGGTTGGGGAGAGGGTTACTAGTCGTTACTCGGGTCGCTGAAGGTTGGGTATTCCCCTGGTTGGAGTCTCAACTGGCTGTGGCATAGTGTGCTAGTCGAGATTCCTAGTCGGCCTCTTCCCTATGAATAGCAAGCGAAAATGAATTGAATTAGTATCATCAAATTTCAGCCACATGGCTCGTCTTGAAATGAGATGGTGAAATGATAGACGAAGTGTATAAACATCTATACGCTTGAGAAATAAGTAAATAGGTAAATGTGGACAGAAGTCCCTCCCTACACAAAGCGGTAGACTAGTGATTTGACCTGGCTACTGGGATCACAGAGAATGCTTGCAGGTGAATCACGTGCATCGAACAGAGAAATGGCCTGATTCTTGAGGGCATGCCTTCAGGCACGCTTTGTGCCATGCAGCGCGGGTTGATGTCTTCTCCTAGATTTGTCTCGTCTGTACAATGGACCCAATCGAACACCCGGACCAGCAGTGATGGAAAGGATCACGGCGCATACAGCCTGAGTGAGAGCACTTCACACACAGGAGAGCCCGTGGCTGGTTCCAGAGGGGAGGCAAGACGGTCTGCGACTGGGCTTCGGCGTCTCAAGGAGGCGGGAGGAGAAGATCAAACCGGCCCAGTTTCGAAAGCCAAGCGCAAACACACAGCTTGGTCGGGCTTGGAGAGAGGGTTATAAGCTGACGGCTCCGGTGTTCTCGCTGACACTCTCCAGCTGACGTTGTAGCGGGCGTTTCTGCATCATTCGTGCGGTTGAAGTCGAAGGTCGAGCTCAGCCCTCGTTGTCTTACTCCGTAGCGCCACGAGTCCACCTTCACGGCCCGCCCATCGGTTCCCCATCTAGTTTCTGCAAGCCCGAACAGTCGTAGCTGACATATACACACCGACGCCCTCCTGCGCTGGAAGCTGGCCTTCCTTTCACTTTTTCCTTGTAATAATCACGCTGTTGCAGTAGACGCCACGTCTACCAGCCGTGTCTTTGTCGTTATTGATGAGCGTTCAGCCCTGTCGCCTCCTCCGCACACCTCCGACCCGCCGACCGACTTCCTCCAAACCCGGACTGTACATATCGAACGCGGACAGCCCTCTGGGGCTCTAATAATCGCCGTTCTCTCTGCGACCCTCCAGCCATCATGGCGCCCTCGTACCTGCCCGTGTCGACGCGCGATGTCGACGAAACCGCCTCCCGAAACCCCCCTCCACAACCGTCGAACCATGCGCCAGGAGCCCACATGGCCACCACAACCTTGAAAGTCGAGGGCATGACTTGCGGCGCGTGTACCTCGGCCATTGAGACCGGATTCAACGGTGTTGACGGCGTTGGAAACGTGTCGATTAGCTTGGTTATGGAACGAGCAGTCGTCCAGCACGACCCCAGCAAGATATCCGTGGATCAAGTCAAGGAAATAATAGAAGACCGCGGGTTCGATGCCGAGGTCTTGTCCTCTGACATACCCGCTGCGAACCAGGGTGTTGATGATCACTTTTTGAGCGATTCGGAGGATGAAGAGGAACACCAAGGCTCGAAGATGTCAATCACCACCGTTTCGGTTGGAGGCATGACATGCGGCGCATGCACTTCTGCTGTGGAGAAGGGGTTCGCGAATGTTTCTGGTGTACAGCATTTCAGCATATCTTTGCTTTCCGAGCGAGCCGTCATCGAGCACGACCCGGCCATGATTACCCCAGAGCAGATCGCCGAGATCATCGAGGATACTGGGTTTGACGCGAAGGTGTTAGAAACAAAAGCCTCGGCTCCTGAGAAGAAAGAACGCCGGAGCAGGAAGCGCAAGACGTTGACTACCACAGTGACGGTGGAGGGCATGACATGTGGGGCTTGCACCGCTGCGATTGAGGAAGGCTTTAAAGGCGTAGACGGAGTGCTTCAGTTCAACATCAGCTTGCTAGCCAACCGAGCGGTCATTGTCCATGAAGCGGCGAAGCTTTCCGAGGCGCAGATCGTGGAGACGATCGAGGATAGGGGCTTCGATGCCAAAGTTATCTCATCAGTGGATGCGAATGCCCAGACCTCGACGTCCTCAACGACCTTCCATCTGAAAATCTACGGGCTGAAAGACGCAAAATCGGCCCAGGAGCTAGAGACAAACCTCCGCGCCATGTCAGGTATCTCAGCAGCAACAGTCAACTTTAGCACATCCCGGGCGACAATCACACACGAGCCACTACGACTAGGCTTGCGTGCCATAGTCGAGTCCATCGAGGCTGTTGGTTATAACGCATTAGTCGCCGATTCTGACGATAACAACGCTCAGCTAGAGTCGCTCGCAAAGACCAAAGAAATTCAAGAGTGGCGGCGAGCATTCAAAACTTCTCTTACTTTCGCTATACCGGTCTTCTTGACTGGCATGTTTCTCCCTATGTTTCTCCCGATTCTAGATTACGGCAGTTTTGAAATTTGTACCGGAGTCTGGTTGGGAGACGTTGTGTGCCTCGTCCTCACAATTCCTGTCCAATTCGGCATTGGCAAGCGATTCTACGTTTCCGCATTTAGGTCCTTGCGCCACGGTTCGCCTACTATGGATGTCTTGGTTGTTCTGGGTACATCTGCAGCATTTTTCTTCAGTGTGGTGGGCATGCTTGTCTCGATACTAATCCCGCCGCACACGAGACCAACAACGCTATTTGACACTAGCACTATGCTTATCACTTTCATCACACTTGGTAGGTTCTTAGAGAACAGAGCGAAAGGGCAGACCTCAAAAGCTCTATCACGCTTGATGTCTCTAGCGCCATCCATGGCCACTATCTACGCAGATCCAATCGCAGCGGCTAAAGCAGCGGAAGGCTGGGATGTTGCGTCCGATGAGAAGAACGGCTCTGCAGAGATGGATGGCAATGCTGCCGAGGAGAGAGTTATCGCCACAGAACTCATCGAGGTCGGTGACGTTGTCATACTCAAGCCTGGCGACAAGATTCCTGCCGATGGAACAGTCACTCGTGGGGAAAGCTACATCGATGAAAGCATGGTGACCGGCGAGGCTATGCCTATTCTCAAGAAGAAAGGAGCGCTCCTCATGGCCGGTACTGTCAACGGCAACGGAAGAGTCGACTTCATTGTCACACGAGCCGGACGCGATACTCAGCTAAGCCAGATTGTGAAGTTAGTCCAGGAAGCCCAGACAAGCCGCGCTCCAATCCAGCGTCTGGCCGATGTTGTTGCTGGCTATTTCGTTCCCATCATCATCACTTTAGGTCTCGCTACATTTGTCTCATGGATGGTCCTCAGCCATGTTCTGCCGAATCCACCCCGAGTCTTCCAGGACCACGCTAGCGGTGGCAAGCTGATGGTGTGCGTCAAGCTCTGTATTGCTGTCATTGTCTTTGCTTGCCCATGCGCACTAGGCCTCGCAACTCCTACTGCCGTCATGGTCGGTACTGGCGTGGGTGCAGAGCAAGGCATCCTCGTCAAAGGAGGTGCTGCTTTGGAGACAGCCACAAAGATCACCCATGTTGTCCTCGATAAGACGGGCACACTCACTGTTGGCAAAATGAGCGTGTCGAAGGCCGATATCAAATCCGAATGGGCAGGTGATGCGAGTAAATCACGGCTATGGTGGACATTGATTGGTCTGGCAGAGATGAGCAGTGAGCATCCGATTGCGAAGGCCATAGTCCTTGCCGCGAAAGACCATATCAGATTGGGTCCCGATGGGTCTCTTGATGGGAGCGTCGGCGAGTTCAAAGCAATCATCGGCAAGGGTATCACTGCAACTATCGAAGCTGCCATATCTCCTGAGAGAAAGCGATATAACGTCCTGATCGGTAATGCCACCTACCTGGAGTCGGAGGGAGTGAGCATGGTCCCGTCACTCGAAGAAGTGCCCATTACCCCAGCAGGCGCCGCGAACCCGCGAAGCAATGCTCCCCAAGCTCGCTCAGCTGGCATCACCACTATCCACACGGCCATCGACAACGTCTACGCAGGCTCGCTCTCCCTCTCCGACACCATCAAACCTTCCGCCAGAGCCGCCATCGTCGCCCTCACACGCATGGGAATCTCCGCCTCCATCGTCACTGGCGACACCAGCCCCTCCGCTCTCGTCGTCGCATCGCAAGTGGGCATCCCGCCCGCCAACGTCTACGCCTCCGCCACGCCCTCGGACAAGAAAGACATCATCGCGTCGCTGCAATCCCAAGGCAAAGTCGTTGCCATGGTGGGCGACGGCATCAACGACTCGCCCGCGCTCGCCTCGGCCGACATCGGCATCGCCCTGTCGACGGGCACCGACGTGGCCATGGAAGCGGCCGCCATCGTGCTCATGAGCACGACGGACCTACTCGCCATCCCGGCGTCGCTGCTGCTCTCGCGCTCCATCTTTGCCCGCATCAAGCTCAACCTCGCGTGGGCCACCATGTACAACCTCGTCGGCCTGCCCTTCGCCATGGGCTTCTTCCTACCCTGGGGCCTGAGCTTGCACCCCATGGCGGCCGGGTTCGCCATGGCTTGCAGCTCCGTCAGCGTCGTGCTCAGCTCGCTGCACCTCAAGTTCTGGACCCGCCCGGCGTGGATGCGTGTGAAGGCGCTGGATCCGACAGCCGAGGTACCCGAGGCGGAGAAGCTGGCCGAGGGGCGCATGCGGGTGGATGGGGTGGTGAAGCGGGCGAGGGACTGGGTGGCGGAGGCGCTGAGGGCGCGGAAGAGGGGGCGGGAGGAGGTGGGGTATGTGCCGTTGAGAGATATGGGGGAGTCGTAGCAGCACGTCAAGTCCTTTACCCTTTGTATTAAATTGTATTTGCTTATTTTCCTTTGTGAGCGTAGGTTGGGAGCCGTAGTTTCTGGATATGCATGGGCGGTCGCGGTATACCTGTGTTTTGAAGAGCGGTTTTGGGAAATTCCCTGTGTACATCAGTTGGTGTAAGACACGCGAGCGACTGAATGCGCCTTTTCATCATCCATCCTAAGCGTGCGAAGATTGCAGTGTTGTGTGATTGTATATTAGGTATACATTCAATAGCTACGTCTACGCCCTTCCTACTCCTAACTCATACATAAACCCATCCATCAAGCTGATTGTCCGCTGCAACAGCTACTTCCGATCTCCGGTATCGTGGATCGCATTCGGCAGTGCGCGCTCCAGCTTCTCGGGCACGGCTTTCTGGATCCCGAGCGGGACCTTGCTGGCGGCGCCGCCCTCGAGGGCGTGCGTCGTGTGCTTGTTGGCCGTGTTGGTGCCGCTGGCGCTGGTGTCGTGGAGCTAGAGGACGGCGTTTAGAGATGGGTTGGGATGAGGGATTAAAGAGAGACCCGGGGGGGTGGGGTGGGCGGGGTGCGGAGAGAAGATGGAGATGGGGAAGAAGATGAGAACGAGTGTTGTGGATTAGGTAGGGAGATGTAGAGAACATACCGAGTCGGGCAAGCCCTCCTCCAGTCCTTGCGGGACCTTCTCCTGCACCTTCTGCGGGACTTTGGAGTCGCCTGTGGCGTGGGAGATGCCTTGGCCTTGGTCGTTCTGCATATTGACAGTTGGGTTGATGTTTGGTGCTTGGTGTTTTGAGGTTGATAGGAGGTCTGTTTGAGTGATTCGGAAACCGTGCGAGTGATGCTGGTTGAAGCAGACTCGAAAGTGAGTTTATATATCTATTCGGAAGAACAAACCTCTTGGCCAGCGTCACAGACACACGTCCACGCCGTCAGTCCATGTTGTCAGAGCGCACAGCCTCTTGTCGCCTGATATCGTGAGAAAATGTCGTATACGAGTGAGTCTTGACGTCAGTTAACCCTGTCTGCTCCGAGAGAGATGAGGTCGTTGCCAGCCACGCGTTGTCGCCGGGTATCATGATATCGTGCCTCATACGCCCGTAAGGATTGGTACGTGAATGCTTGTTGCTTTCGCTAGCTTAAATGTATTACTAGATTTGGTAGAGGTTGCGCCGCTACTGTGAGGCGACATGCATGGTTAGTAGCTGTCAAGGCGGGTGGACTAGTGAGTTGTTAGTGTATTTGGGCTGTTGAACGTCATTAGCACTCACTGATCGAGGTTGCTATCTACATCGGCGACGGGGTACTGGCTGTCATGCAGGAATTGACGCCGGTTGTTCCGTGCGTATATCGCGGTTCTATGACGATTAGGAGACGAATCTGTGTAAGACGCAACAATTTGGTGCAACCTGCGAAAAGGCTTTTTCTGGATGTAGAGGGGGAAGGCGAATGAAGCTGTAAGAAACTCGAAAGTGCGAGTCTCGTGGGTACTAAGAATTAAAGCGTCTATATATGTACTCGGTGCTGTGTAGATTCGAATAATGAGCTCGAGAAGCCAGTATCACTACTGGAACTTCCCGGTGTACTCTGGACCAATATGAACAGTTCCCTCGCGCCTCTAAACTCCACGCTATGCATAGCAGACCCCTGATCGCTGAACGCTCTAAGAAGACCAGATAAAAAGCGGATGACGAAAATCAACAGCAGTTCCCACCCCTCCGTCTCGGGCCAAGTCTGAAGACTTCTTCCCATTCTCTCATCCCAGTCAACCTCCCTGCACCCCCTCCGCCCCTGTTGTTCCTCCCTTTCCGCCACCGTACGCCCTCTTCGTTCCCGAAATTCCCGCTCTTGACGCTACCATCGTCGTCTACCCCGCCTCCGTAGCCCCCGCTATCTCCGTACTGTATCCCGCTGGCGGGATCATCTGGGTCGATCTCGCCGAGCTCGATTTTTGTAAGGATTATGCGTGCGAGGCGGTGGAAGAGCTCGTCCACGCCTTCGCCGCTCAGGGCGGAGACTTCGACAGCGACGGGAATCGGGACAGGGAGGGACGAGGCCCAGCGAGATGCGGTCTCGGGCGCAACTTCGCGAAATGCGTCGTGTGAGGTCGCTGTAGACTGCGCTCCAAGCATGCTCTGGCGATTCGAACTTGGGGTTGAGAGGAGGGAGTTTCGCGAGGAGAGGGAGGAGGGCGGTGGGGTGTTGTCCAAGCTCATCCCCCCACCTTCGGTGTCAAGTTGGGCGTCTTCGTCGCCCACATCTATCTTGTTCCCGGCGAGGATGACTGTGAGGTTTGGCGAGGCGAGGGCGCGGGCGTCGTTGAGGAAGTTCGGGAGGGCGGCGAAGGAGGCATGCGAAGAGACGTCGTAGACGAGGATTGCGCCGGCGGCGCCGCGATAGTAGGAGCGCGAGACGCTGCGGAAGCGCTCGGTGCCGGCTGTATCCCAGAGCTGGAGTTTTATGCGCTTCATGTTTGGGCGGGTTCCGATCCGGACTGAGGATGTTAATTGGTGTCTGGAGTCGCCTATACGCGGTTGGTTCTCACCGATTTTGCTGGCGAACTCGACTCCGATGGTTTGGCTGGAGAGGACGCGCCACTCATTCTTTACAAAGCGGTGGAGGAGGCAGGACCTGGGGGCAAACGACGGTCAGAAACGGCGCCGAGAAGCTTATCGGAGGATGGAGGCAGAGGTAAATGGCAGAAAAGTGAGCGTACTTTCCACAGCCGCTGGGTCCAAGTAGTATTATTTTGGCGAGGTAGTCGTACATGCTTCCGAGCTCCTGAGCTCTAGTTAGACTGTAGTATCGAGGATTGGAAGAGCGCGGCGGGACCTGGTCCTTGACAGCATTGGAGCCGGAGTTGGTGCTCGCAGACGAGGGTGCTCGTTGCCGGGCCATGACAAGAGAGAGAGATGGAGATGGCGCGGCAATGCGGAGGTTGTGGTCAAAGGGAAGCAGAGGTCGCGACCTCGGAGGGCCAAGAGGAAAGGCGAAGTACGAAGTATTGACCGAAGCGTGGGAAGCGTGGGAAGCGTGGTGACGATGGTGGTGCGCGAGGGTTGCTCAGACGCGGGCCATGCTGGCGGAGACGAGCAAGGGCCCTAAATAATAAATACAGCATCTCAGTACGTCCGGTGGTCGCTCTCTAATATCAAGCCACAGACTTACCGTATAAGGAAGCAACTCCGGACGCCCTTAGAGGGGAATAGCAACGTTCTAGCCAATCAATCCTCAAGCCGGTAAAGTACTAGCCCAGAAAAGAGATATATCAGGATTGACTCAGTTTAGCGCTATGTTCACCGGACGTGAAGAGATGCTGTATATCACCAGTCCTCACCCACGTTGCTTCACCACCGGCACCGGAGGCGCAGAATGCACCGTCGCAAGTCCCCTGAAGACGTATAGATGGGGACAACAGGCTCCCCCGAGGCTCCGCATTGGAGCGACATTCTGACACCACGCTTCTGACAGGGCGAGCCAGCGCAACGGGCCTATCCTCCAGCTTCCATGGGTCCCTTGGTCCTTCACCCCGCCACCTGTCATGATTCCACCCATCTGGGGCTCCTTTGCAGTATCCGAAAAAGCACCGAGGCACGTCAAGCGGCGGCAGACCAGTGTACACACTCACCAAGAGTCAACTTCTGTCCCAAGTAGACCCGCCCTGTGAGGTAAGCCGTACGTCGCTTGCGCCGGCCGAGGCACAGTTTCAGTACCTGGATAGATACGTCACGAACGCCTCCCGGCAACTTTTTCTGTCGCTTGTCGCGTGCTCTTTTTTTCTTCTCTATTTCCTACTTCTCCCACGTCTATCGCCTAGAATAACATTCACTACACTGTCTTGGCTACCGGCACCTCATCTTGCGGCAAAGCGCCCGCTCAATCTCTTCCATCCGCTCAACCTCAACATGTCCTTCCTCAGCCGCTTCAATCCCACCCCGACGTTTCCCTCCTACACGGGCCCATACAAGGTCGGATCAGTGGACGTGGAGATTCCAGCCACCGACCTGGCTTCTCCCAGTCCTGCACCGCCTTCTGCACCATCTACAGTTGCATTCCGCATCTTCTATCCCTGCGAAGCAGGCTCGAATGAACGCCCAATCAGGTGGATACCAAACCCTCAGCGAGGTTATGTGTCGGCGTATGCGCGCTTTCTAGGCGCCAATTCCGCTTTATCTCACATATTTTCGTACGCAACCTAATTTAAAAGTGCCCGAAGATACTAACAACTGGCCAGAGTATTCCCCCAGCTGCTCTATTACGTCTCTTTGCCTGTTTCTCGGAATGCTCGGCTTCTCGAACCCCCCACGAAAACCGAACGATGGCCCGTTATCATATTCTCGCACGGTTTGGGAGGCTCCAGGAACGCATATTCGCATTTAGTGGGCTCCCTGGCGAGTCACGGAGCTGTGGTCATTGCTCCCGACCACCGGGATGGAAGCGCGCCCATATCATACGTGAGGGAGACAGAGAACACGCCGGCTGCGACCGTTGACTATCGCCGGATAGCCCACAAGCCGTCGCCGGATGTGTACGAGCAGCGAAACGAGCAGTTGCGAATCCGATTATGGGAACAGGGCATGGTTTTCGACGCTCTACTCAAGATTGATGAAGGCAAAGTGGTGAACAACCTGGACCCAAATCATAGCACAAAAAGCCGGAAGCGCGAACGCTTTGAGGTCCTTTCAATGTTCAAAAACAAGCTCGATGTGCACCGGCCAGGTGCTATAACTTGGGCTGGTCACAGTTTCGGGGCGACAACGACAATCCAGCTTGTCAAATCTACATTTTACCACGCATCTGCTGATGAGAAGGAGGGCTACGTGCCTCTTTTCACACCCTCCGCGTCTTCAGAAATCGTTAAACAAATCACACCAGCGTCACCCGTCATGCTATTGGACTTGTGGTGTCTCCCCCTCCAGGGACCTTCTACCAGCTGGCTCAGGGATAAGCCTATGCCTTGCTACGCGCCCTCCGGCCCAGGCGGCACAGCTCTCCTCGCTATCGAGAGCGAGGCGTTCTTCAAGTGGCAGGTCCATCTAGAAGAGACAAAACGCGTCCTCTCTGAGTTCCCAGGGTCCAATCCACCAGTCCATACGAAGCCCGGTCCCCGATTCTTCTATCCCATTTCCTCCGCACATCTCTCGCAATCCGACTTCGGCATTCTGTTCTCGTGGGTCACAACCAAGGTGTTTGGCGCCAAAGAACCAGAGCGAGTGCTTCGACTTAATGTACGTGCCATGCTACAGGTCATGCGAGACTGCGGGGTAGAGGTTGCAGATACGAGTCGTGTCGATATGGAAGAGACGGGTGAAGTTGCTGCGACTGGCAAGGCGCAGGATTGGAAGATCCTAGAGCCGAAGGCTGGCACTATCGCGGGTTGGATCCCGCTGACTACAGACCTGGATTCTAATGTTGCGAAAGAGAAGATCAGCGAGGCGCCGTCGGATGCTGTTGTTGAAGGCGAAGTTATGGGGGAAATGACTGTAGAAAATGGTAAGAGGGAAGCTGCGTAATAGACTAAGCAGCGTGAACATTTGGCACCTTGCGGCATTGGATAGGCGTTATATTATGAATCTGACGGATACCTTACCTGTAGACAGCTGGCATACCATCGCGAACGGTAGGTAAGCACAAGCACTAGATCTCTTCACATAATTTAGATACTTAAAGGTAACGATTTTCTGCCATTGAACATGAGCTCTTGCAAAGTCGTGATATATGCTTGGCAGCGTTTACTGCGAGGTGGTGCCTAGAATCCCAGGAAAGTCTCGTAGATGATCAGTTTGTTCGAACGATGCCATTGCCTATACTCTACAAAAGAGAACCCATTCCGATATATACACAATAATTCAATCCCTCCTGCCACTCATTTCGTCCTGATGATCTTCAACTTCTTCGGACTATGCACAAAGTTGTTGGCATACGCCTTAGGCACAAACTTGCGCTCGTTCGGCTCCTGTACAAAGTATTCGTAGCCTTGCTTGTTGGCAAATGCGACAGCGGCTTCTTTGCTTTTGAAGGTCACGCTATAGCCCTGCATGAAGTCGGCCGAGGACTGCCACCCCATCAGAGGGTTCTCCCATCGGTGGCCCTTTGGGAGCGGGTCCCAGTCCATGACCCAGTGGTGCGAGTGCCAGTCGCCGGATTGAGTGGCGGTTTTGGTTGGGCGGTAGATGCTGGGGTGCGTCAGATATGAAATGCTATTGCGGGGGAAAGCTGTTGTACCGGACTGTTCGGGCTTGGAGGTCTACTGGTGCACCTGATAACACAGCTGCGGCTACACTATCACCGGGCTCGCTACCATCCATCACTCGTTTCGGGATGGGGGAGAAGTTCCTGTATAGCGCTCAGCGATTTGCCTCCAAGCTCTGTAATAATAAGACGTACGAGACCCGGTAGTCAATGGAGACATCATAGTCTGGCTGATGCGACGGTGTACTCTCCCCAGCGCCCTCCCGGCTGACTATGGCCGAGTCCGCGGGCTTCTCTGCAGGTGCATTCTGCGCGCTGATCTTCGAGGCGTTTTGGTCGGCGTAAAGGCGGATCTGAGGTGCAAATGCCCTCCGCACTGTGGGCCGGGCGACTAAGGGGAGCAGCCGCGAGCCAATTGACCGCGGCAGGGCTGACATGGTGTCGGAGCGGAGAGTATAGGTGGTGTTGAACTGGCGTTGAGGTGCTGGAGGTTGTCTAGACGTTGGCGGAGAGCACGGCAACTTCCGAGCCAGCAGCCGCTTCACTCTCTGCAATCTCTCGGCTTCTTGACGACGAACTACCATCTGCCCGACCCTCACCACCAGCCCTTCACGTCAACTCGCTCTCCACTCTGGTAAGCGCCCTAAGGCTATTCTCACGGGTAAAAGAGTTGTGGATGCTAATTGGGTCGCTGCAGTCAAGATGAGCTTCGTTACTAGGCGCGCTCTCTCGACCCTTATTCCTCCCAAGGTACGACTTCATAATCCCAACACCATCCCAATGGCCAACCCGGATGCTGACTGTATATTCTAGGTTGCTTCTCCAAGCGTACGTGCACAGTTTGATCCCCTACCGATGACCCAGAGAGATCCCGAGGGAACCTCCGTTGCGAAAACTACGGCATATTGTCCATCGCCACTACAGAGCTCATCTCCCTCATATTCGAAGCTTCCGATCACATCAATCACAGACGTAGAATCACTTCCATTACAGCGACTGACTCATATGCCAGGCCGTCGGCTCTTCCCCCAATGCTGCCCGCATGCAGCGAGTGGTGAGCTTCTACGAGAAGCTTCCACGAGGCCAGGCGCCAGAGATCAAGCCCAAGGGCCTGCTGCAGAGATACCAGCACCGATACATGGGCAAGAACTCATCAGCGTTGCGTAAGACTCCACCGATGTTATGACTGGGTCCGCCGACATGAAACGGAGGATGCTGACGAACGACGTGTCTCACAGCTATCATCCACGCCATCGGGGCCATGATGCTCATTGGTTATGCGCAGAACTACTACTTCCATCTGCGTGCGTACTATGGATCCTGCGCAGGCGGGAGTGACGCTAATTTTGGCAGGTCACCACAAGAACAACGCCCACTAGAATCGAGTATCGTGACTTGGCAGTTGGGGCGGCGGAGGAAGGGTGATGGGACTGTAAATATATGTCTGAACAGCATTCAATCGAAGGCCCGGCCGGCGCAAAAAACAGCTTCTCTACCTATTGTGTCTTGAATACGTAACGTGACACTTGTAGACTTCACCTCCACCGGGCCGGACGCGGCCCCGAGACGCGTCTCGAGCCAAACACAGCAACCGTGAATACCAAGGACAGCGTACTCCGCAACACAATAGATAGACCCGGGAACAGCTGGTGCTAGCTGCTGGCATTTGTGCTCAGCTGCTGGCTTCGCGGTCGGTGAAGCTAGGTTGCCAAGCGGCGCCAACCGAAGGAGGTCATCGTGTCACTTCGATCTCCCTAACACCCGCATCACTACCACTCGGCCATAATAAGGTGCAGGCCATTACTCCCCCTCCATCACCCCTCCGCACGAGGCTTATAAGCCCTCTGTCTCCATTACACATTCTCGAGCCGCCACGCGCGCATAAAGGAGCGCCGCTGAGTCCCGTCACCCGCTTCTCCACCTGAACGCTTGCAAGGCCGGCAGTCGACGTTTCTGCGGAAGCGCCTACTACTACCTCGTGGCGACTATTAGAACCTGACTATAGGTATACATATTCACTTTCCCCGCGTGGCGTCGCGTCAGAGCTCCAGGCTGCTCTGGCCGTCTCCAGCTTCGTCACTCGTCAATGCAGACCTCCGAAGATAAAGACACACGTTCTGACAAAGCCCGACTTGCGTCCACAACAGATACACGGATTGTTATGGCAGAGCAGATCACCCAAGATGTGGTAAAGGAAGCACAGTCGATGGGTGAGTCCTCGCCCATCGACGCTACTGCGACAACTACCATTGACTCCGCCGGCGACGGCGAGGTGCCCTCGGACCGTACGACCGCCAGCCCAAAGCCTTCAAATGCTCTTCCTACACCTCCCCCAAGCACAAGCGATGCTGGAGCCGATGCTCCCCCCTCAACAGACAAGGCCGTCGAGAAAAATGCGACTATGGGTGGCAGCAAGGACGCAGATATTGGGGTACTTCAGGCTGATGGAGAGCAGTTCGCGGTGCTAGAACCTCCTAACAGACAACTTGACCCATCGCTGTCCAAAGCAGAGGTGCCACTGGTGAACGGAGATGCCGGGGATCTTTCTGCACCGGAGGACGCCACCTCTCAACATGCCCTTGCGGAAGTCAGCGGTGGTTCTGATACAGATATCAGCCGACCGGGGAGCGTGGACCAAGCGAATGAGAGGCCTGGACGGCACTTGCGCTCGAATTCAATCCAGAAGCCAAAGTCATTCAAGTCTGTCTCCGTGACGAAGAATTTTCTTGCAAAAGCGGTAACTACGCCGGTGGCGCGACCAGGAGAAAAGGGTACGCTTTTCAGGGCGGGAGATGCAGAAAATGTATACAAAGCTAATACTTGACGCGTAGCACCCCCAGTCGGCCAGACAAATGCATCACTACTGCAAAGCGCGAAGCCTCGACTAGTTGCTAAATCTGGGAGTGGCTTGGGATCAGTCATGCGCACGTCGTTAGCAAAGACGAATGGGGCAGGGTCTGGTCCTGATGCAACTAAAGTGTGGAACAAAAACCAACGTAGGTAACATTTCTAATTTCTCAACTTTGCTTTGCTTAACAATATCCATAGCGGTACCTCCACCACCTCCGAAGCAGTTCACGGATGAAGAGCTCAAGCAGCAATATGGGATCCATTTGGCCACTCGGCTACAGGCAGACGACACGAACAAGGAGGCTAAGTGGGCGGACATCGACGACGACGAGGATGACTGGGCACCTGAAACGGTAGAATGGATGGATGGCACCAAATCTACAGTCAACACGACGGAAGCCCAGAAGCCCCCGGAGGAACCCAAGCCTAGTATTCTAAGGAAGGAAACGCCTGAACCTGTTAGACCTGGTCCGGCTCCTACTGCCATTCAACGACCTAGTTCGACTGGTGGAACTAAGACGATTCTGAAGCCAGGTGCTCACACGAGCTCCACCAAATCCAACCTAGTTCTTAAGGGTGCTCCCGAGAAGCCAACACTGGTGGCGAAGCCATCCGCTCCAGCACAAGTCAAATCGCCTTGGGCACCACTCCCGCCTGTAGAAAAAGTCTCGCCTGTACAAATTAATCCCCCTAATCACCCGCCGCCACCGTCACGTTTCTCTCAGCGCGATCCGCACGGATTTGATGCTTTGCCTCCTGTTCCTAGTACCACCAAGGAGTTTGCGCCAGACGACTTCAACCGGTCATGGAGAGATGAGCGCGGCAACAAGGAGCTGTTCAATTCACACAATGGTCGCTACGAGCCTGTCAACGAGATGCGGCGAGGCTCAATCCGCAGCAACGAGTTCAGGCAGCCTTCGGTGCTTCAGCGACCCTCTCCACAAGGAGCGCCTGCCGAGCCCTCGGCGGCATTCCAAACCTCACGCTCGAGTGGCGATGCTCCAACATGGGGCAGGCGGCGCAATTCATCAAACGTTAGTGGGGGAAGCGGCCGTCGGCCATCATTCGCGCCTGACATGCCACCCATTCCACTTGACATGCAGCACCGACGCGGATCACAGTCGATGACTGGCTCAGACATTGGGACACCTGGAGGGACCCCTCGCCTGGCCTTTGCGCAGCGTCATCACGCTCCTGAGCACGGCATCTCACCTGCCGAGCAACATCACTCCTGGACGCAGCGATCGTCGCCGAACATCAGTCATGTGCAGCCGACCTCACCTCTCGAATCCATAAGCTCAGGTCCCGGCGACGCAGTCCATACACCCGCCCAGCCCGTAGAGGACCCCGTCGCAGTGCAGAAGCGGCTCATGCAAGAGAAGATTGAGCGCGCGAAACTCGAGAAAAAGCGCCAGCAAGAAGTAGAAGCCAAGGAGGAAGCAGCCAGAAAGGAGCGCCTCAGGCTGAAACTCGAAGCCATGGGGATGGGTGAGAGCAAGGACAAGCCCAAAGAGCCATCGCCGTCACGAGCTGCAGAGAAGTCGCCCCAGAAAGAGCGAGCGCTGCCAGCGCCGATGCAGTCGCCCCCGAAGCCGCCAGTTCCTCAGTCCGAGGGCGAGGTTGCGCAGTACGGCATGATGAAAGTACACCAGCCGCACCCCGTCCGGAAAGCCAGCCACGTCTCCGACGCGAGCATCCCAGAGCTGCGAGCAGCGCCCAAGGCCAGCAGTGATGCGCCGCCGCAGGTTGCGTCAAAGCGCAGTCCCTCACCACTGAAGGCGCTGAGTGCCGGAGAGGCGCCGAAGGCGGTGTCGCCGCCGGCTCTGCCTCTTCACGACATTTCACCTGACAATAGAGCCCCACAGGGGAACAATAGCAAGCCCCAGCCTCCTCAATTACAACAATTGGAAGCGAGTGAGGACCGTGCTGCGCACAACGTATTTAAAGAGCGGCCGCCGCCCACCTGGACCTCGTCCTCCATCTCTTCTTCACACTCTGTTCCTTCCTCTCAAGCGATCACTTCTTCTCAAGACGCACTCACTGCCTGGAGCAGTGGCCTTTCTAAAGCACCATCTTCTTCTACCAACGTTTGGGGTCCTCCTCATAAAGCACTTGGCAACGGCACGTTTGAGACCAGCTTCAACCGAACATCGTTACGCCCAGCTTCGCAGCAGCAGCTTCAGGCAAGCAGCTCACCAGGCCCAATCGCTCCGCCTTCGTCGCTCAGACTGTCTCCTGCTCAGCGCGCAGCTGTGCCGACTCAATCTCAAGATCAATCTCAATCCAGACATCCCCATCCTCCAACCGTCGACATGGGTAATACCCGTAACCATGGCACCGCTCTGACCAACTGGTCTGCCAGCGCTACTTTGGAAGGCCACGGTCCTCACGACAACTGGAACGGGTATGGGAGCTACATCTTGCTTTCCGATGCCCTGGCTATCGCTAAGAGCCACGAAATGGCAAAGGTGCTCGGCGACAACTACAAGCACGAGATTCGTGAGCGTTTCACTCCCAGTGTCGGCCGCAATCGCAAGACCGTCACCACTCGCTACGCTCCAGCCGGCGGTCACCTGGCTGTACAGGAACCGACCGACGAAGCCCAGTCTGCGGAGACCGCCAACACCACCAACGCTCCCGCTATCGCCGAGGCCAATCCTTTCTTCGGGATCCCACCTCACCTTCGCCCAGCTGCCCGGGCTGCAGCAGCTGCAGCCGCTGGAGAGGCTGCTCCCGTCCAGAGCATCCCACCGCACCTTCGTGCTGCCGCGCGCAAGGAATCGCGCTACTTCGCAGGAGGTCGTGAGGACTCGTCGTCGCAGGCCTCTGGTGCCTCGCAGCAATCCGACTCTCCACCTCCTCCCGAGACCCAGTCTCACCCGGTGTTCGACAGCGATTCGGCGCGCCCGAAAGTCAACTTGCCAATTCCCAAGGCAGTGGTCAAGCTCCCACCAGCTAAGTCGCCTCCAGTCCAGCGCGCTGTCCTGGCGACCCGCGCAAAGTCCACTGCAGCTCTCGGCGCTCAGCCCCTCGCCAACACCGAAGCCTGGCAGGCGCGGTTCAATGGTCTGTTCAACAAGAAGGAAGTCGCTCCGACCGGCTCTACTGGCAAGCCAAATCTCCTCGCTGTCGCTCCTGCCACCAAGGCCCCACTTGTCGATGTCGCCAGTGTGAACTCGGCAACGGTCTCTCTGCCGGTCGCCATCAAGTCGTCATTCGTCAACGACGGCAGCAAAGACGTTCTCTCTCGCGCCAGTCCCGAAGACACCCTCTTCGATGACCGTACCTTCGGTTCTGTTCCGGTCGTCAAGTTGCCAGAGGTCCCGCATGGCTCGGCCAGTCTGCCGGCAGTTCATGCTCGCCTAAACCTCAAGTCTCAACGCCCAGTCGACTCCACCAGCAAGACCGAGCTTGCCATTGGCAAGGAAGACGAGACGGCCAAGGGCATCAACGTCAATGTCCGCGTCGGCAACTTGACCGAGCCCGTCACCAAGACGATGGCTCCCCGCCGCAACGATCGACGAGCTTCGGGATATCAGAAGCGTTCTTTCCCTCCGCGCAACAACTCGAACAATACCCAAAACCCCCGCGGCAGGAATCAGTCTGGCAGCTACCAGGGCCAAGGCGGTTCGTCTCAGAACACGACTCCACGCCCAGCCAACAACGGCTCTCGCTCTGGCTCAGGCAATTGGAACAATCGCAGCAACACCAATACCTCGCAGCAGAATGGTGCTTGGACCAAGCGTGTAGCTCCGGCTGTAGCGCATTGAGCCCCGTATCTTGCATCTCTCGATCTACAATCGCTTGCACACCTGCATCTACGGCGTTGGCTTCATCGATCGTTATCGAGCACAGCAAAGATCGTACCAAGATGCGTTTCATCTTTCCCACGGCGTCGGTTACACTTTCTTCTAGCCACACATCGGTCGTCTCGCTCATCACTTGTATGAACGAGAATGACACTGGCGCGATCGGTCTCATGGAGGGGCCAAAATCGAGAGCATCAGCTCTTGGGTATCTGCGTTGCTACTTTGCGAAACTTCCCACACTTGCTTTTTGCCTACCTAATCACTTACTTTCCCCTCTTCACTTCTTGTTTGCTGCTTGCTTTCTTCTTTTCCAATCATCCAACAGTTCTGCGTGTTTTTGTATCACATCGGCCTCTTTCTCCTGCCTCTACTACATGCCCAGTCCACCACAATTGGCGGTGACTACTACACTCTGTCGTCCTTGGAATCGGCAGGGCATATGGGGCTCATATCGGAGGCAATACTGGAGGCAATACTGGAGGCAATAGCGTGCTCGGAAAGGGAAGTTCGCTGGTTTCGGGGATATCAAGCCGGGCTTTTCCAGAGAGCGTGATGCGACTGAAAGCTAGTTTAGATACTTGCTGAATCGAATCCTCGCAACTCTACTGCAGGACTTCGAGGGAATTCTTGTTCACATCACGATCAATGAAATTAGAAATTCAATTGTTCTGTCTGCCCTTTGCCTTGCTTGTGATGAATGGCTTTGGTGAAGTGAAGTCCTGCTGCAGAGACCTTCGTCGTAGCCGCCGACGAGCTTACCTCTGCCATTGCCATTGCCTTCCTACTGCCTACCTTATTCGAGTCTTCGGAAGCATTTCCGTTGCCTTGAAAAGGTTCACGCCCTGCTCTGAGTCACAGCTCCCAGCCTCCTCAGCTTCCAGCCTCCTCAACGTTTTTTCTGCCGGCAGAAAAAATTTGCACTGCAAACGCTCGTGAGATCCGTGCGTGAGCCCTATCGTGCAGTCCTATCGTGCACTTCCTAACGGGGCCAGGCGAGTGATGAGAGCCACTTCCCTACGCTTGAAGTTGCTATTGAGAAGTTGGGAAGCGGCGCTCTGACGAGAAGGAGTGCCAATGTAAGGAGGAGAATTTATGCCTGTAGTAGTGTTGAATTGGAGGGGTTTGGGATAAGTATAAGAGCTGTCACGTGACCGAATCGCAGATAACACAGGACATTCTCGAGATATCTGCATTGATGAGTTAGAAACACTTTAAGTAACCTGAATGAACTAGCTTGGATGTTCTTGCAGATAGTCTTCAGGAACCAACACGAGCCCCCGATATTATTCGTCCAGCACGACATGCGGAGTGGGCAAGGAGCGGCTTCTCTGTCCGCCGAGGCCCGCTTTCCATCACTCCATCGGTAACAACCAAACAGTACCTGAAGACGTCTGAAAGAATCGTTTGAGGCGGGCCTTTGGAATGTGATTCGAAAGCCGTTCCTCCCGGGCCTCAAGGAATAGTTGAGATGCGCCTAAAATCAAAGGACAACTCGAAGACCTCCCGGATATGACAACACTCTCCGTGTCCTGCTTCCTCCACAACTCTACTGGACTTCACCCCACCCACTCGGACAGCGTCAGCCACAGGGTCTGATTGCTGCACTCTCCAGTCATGGAGCAACCGGCATCTCCCCTCATGAACTCGACTTCGATCTTCCCAAACTCTATGGACCTCCTCATGGTGGTACCACGCCTTCTGCAGCGAGCAGGGTCGTTCGCCGAACACATGGACACTATGTTTGGAAAGCTTCGCAGTGGAGGTAGTGTTATAGCAGGGCCGACTACTTCGCAGATCGCCAATGCTACAATTACTCGCATCGGGACGTTTGCACAGGAGTCAATATCTTCGGCAGCGACGTCAGCGCTCCGCGATCAAGATGACACGGCGGGAATGTCATTCTTCCAAACCATGAAGAGCGTCGGCGGATTCTTCAATTACATGACATCGAAATGGGCCATTGCAACCTTCGTTACTGTAGGCTTCTCTTGTGAAATGAGGATATGGACTCAGGACTGACGGCAAGCGATAGGCTATACTGCTGAACCGAACACAATTCTACGCCTCTAGTAGAGTCCCTATTACACTGAACAAGTGGTACCTACGCCTCACGCTCTACCTCCTCCCCACGGTCATCCTCCTATACCGCATCCAGTGGATACTGCAAGCTATACAGTGCCAAACCTCACCAAGCTGGTCGGAGATGCAATACGGTAGCTCTGGAAAGGGCATGGACACAGAGTTCGCTGGAGAGGGCGGCTTCTTATGGAAAATGAGCTCCTCCCTTCTCCTAGGACAAGGCGACGAGGTTTCTTGCCGTGCGGCTAATATGTTGCCTCCTGATGCGAGCACGCCCCGGCCCTCTGGCTCGCTGTCTTTGCTCTGGCCCCTATTCATTTCCTTGGGCTTTAGCCAATTCATTGAAACATTGGCGTGTGCCCTCCAGGGCCGCCAGCCCTCGCCAGAGACGGGCATGACGATATTTGAACACTCTCTAGCTTTTGCAGAAGCTGAAGCCATTATAACCAACCCACTAGGCCCTGACATGTTTCGACCTTTGCCCGCGAAAACGATTACCACCTTCGATGGCACTTCTTTGGTTTTGAGCGGTGCTGCAGCTGTTCAGTTTGCCAACGTGCCTCCGGAGGTGCTGGTCATATCACTCATCTCAAGTCTCAGCCACTTCAGCAGTAATGTTTTGGCAATCACGGGGCTACGAGCGAGGGTCCGACTGGTGTCAACTGGGATATGGGGTCTCTGCTATCTGTCAGCCTTCGTCTGGGCTTTTATTCGGGCTACCGATCTTGTTGGCGATCCAGGCACTCAAGTTGGTATACTCAGGTTTCCTACTATTTGCATCGTTGGTTTTATCCCTCACTTGCTCATCATGATTGGGATCTTGGCTTGTGGGTTTGTCTACGCTCTTGCCTTCATCCTGACTGCTATGGCTGTGCCTTCAGGTCACGAAGACGCTTCCTCCCTGACCGGCAGATTGAGATTCGCCTACCAGAATCTGCAAGCAAACATACACTTGTCTACAATCACACCTATCAGAGTCAACTGGCAAGAAGACTTCTACACCTTCATTTTGAAATTCGGCTTCATAGTTCTCACCGCTGCCAGCGAAGCGGTGTATCTTAACGAAGGCACGAGGATCAACATAAGTCCGTCTACATGGCTAGAGGAGAAAAGATTCCAGGAAGCCTTTGATCGAAGAGCGCTGCTTCGACGTAATCGCGATGCCCTCCCACAAGAGCTGCGTAGTGATATGATCGCGGACGGGGTCTCTTTGGTTGATCAATCGGAAGTAGGACGACATAACATGCCCCAAGGGTCTGGGTATGCTCACGAAAGGAAAACCCGTGGTGCCAATCCCACATCCGAAGCTTCAAGAGCTGTGGGGAGAGATGAAGGCGTGGGTATACAGCAACGGCGCGGAAGATGGTTCCTGACATTCCAGTTCATAAAGGGAATCTTCTGGCTACTCATGACACTGTATGCGAAAGTCGCAATGACTATCCTACGAAAACTTGGAATTGCCTACAGTCCAGTTTGGGTGAGGAAACTTGCAGGTACGCCAAGCAAAGCAAAGGGCAAGAAACAGAAGCTGGACACGAAGGATGCACAGAACCACAGCGTTCGGGAATTCTGGATGGTTAATGCCGAGGGGCACTTGATACAGCCCTCCGATACGAACGTGGATGTGGAAGCTGAGACAAGGAGAAGACTCGAAGATGCCGGCATGTACCAGGAAGGGAGTGTCATACGAGGCGATGGAGTCAGTGGCGACGACGTCCTGGACTCTAGACTCTACAACTGGTGGAAAACTGGTGGCTGGTGGGGCGATATTGACACCAGCGGTCAGTACGAAGATTCGCACCAAGACGATGACAATACGAGCGTAGTATCTATGGCTACGACATCCACTCAAGACGATGATGCATTGAGCGTTATGTCAACGGAAGATCTCGATGACGGCCAAAGAACACCAACCCAAGAATCTTTTTTTCCCCGGACTCGCGAAGGAACGCCCGTCGATGATCCACTAATCGACATGACTCGCCTCTCTCGTCTTCTTGATCCCCACAATGCAGAGGAAGAAGAAGAGGCTAGACTGCTGGCCCGTCATCTGAGCAGCGAAGGAGTCATGACTCGCTCGAGATTCCAAAGATCCGTCGAAAGGGAGCAGACTCGCCTTCTCACGTCCTCGAGATACAGGCCTGCTGGTCTCCAAGTTAGTGCTCATCCAACTCCAGAGGAAGAGGAAAAGATGCTGGAGCACTTCATCCTGGAGAAGCGCAATAGTAAGCCTTTTGCTTCGGCGAGCAGTAATGTGGCATCCTGGAACGATGGTGCTGAAGGGATGGGCTCTGAGGGTCCACAGTGTGTGGTCTGCCAGCTCAGTCCTCGTACGATCCTGGTATGGCCTTGCGGGTGCTTGAGTCTTTGCGATGATTGTCGGGTTGGCCTTGCTTCGAAAAACTATACTACGTGCGTCTGTTGCCGGACTAGCGTCGTTGCTTATTCACGATTGTATGTTCCTTGATGAGTTTTGTAGCAGCGGCATTGGGGTTGGCTCTCGTTATGGTAGAGTAACAGGTACATAGCATGCTATTAATACGTACATTATCATTGACTACGGCGTAAAATGGAGTGATTTGTCCTTAATTATGATGTCTGGCCCAATTCCAAGCCGTGCTGTTCTCACATACCTCCCTAATCGGACCTGGGCTTGCGACCACTAAGGGGCGCACGTGACGAAGGCCAATCTTATTTCCCGATGCCCTATCTCACTGAAGACGTCAACCCCCAACTTTCCTCTCCCATCCCATCACCAACCACCGCACATTAGCAGCGACATTGCTCACCATCTACGACTGACCAGACCAACTGGCTCAGTCCCCTGCTACACCTCACCAGCTTCTCCCCTAATTATATGCAATCTGGGCCCTTCCACGATTCTCAAAACATTCTCACCCAAGAACCCACCCAAGTCGATCAGAACTCCCCCCAGCATGGACGCCTCCCTGATTATGACCCGGCCTCATCGCTCCCTCCTGCCGGAGAGCGGAGAGCGCCAGACCAGCCTCCGGGCGTGGTCGCCCGCGACGATGCGGCTCCGTCGCACAGTCGCGTCGCGGCCGATCTTCATGAATCCGCGCGATTGAGCCAGACGTCGCCGTCTCCCGGGAGCCGCATCGAAGAGTATGAGAAATCAGTAGCACAGCTGATCAGAAAGAAGTCCGACGGGCCTGTATTTGAGGTTATCAAGAAGGCTAGGACGCCTGATGACAAGCGTTCTCCTATTACGACCCTTCCCAATGGTACGTCGCACGAACACCGACTCCTTCCAATAAATCATCATAATGACACTTGGAGTATTGCTAATGCGTACTATATAGAAATCCTTACCCATGCGTTGTCACACTTATCGCCGAACGACTTGTCTGCCGTCTCTCTCGTCTCGCGTCGCTTCAATGCCTTGGTTACCACACCACATGCCTGGAGAGTTGCTTTTGCTCGTTACTTCCTCGGTCCAGAGTCTCTGAAAGAACAGTCTGTACAATTGCTTTTGGAGGATACTGGCGAAGTTTTACGCTCGGAGAAGCGTTCCTTCACGAGGCTTACTGCATTGGCTTCATGGCGGAGCGAATACATCCTGAGGACTCGACTTCTACGGTCTTTGACAAGAGGGAGACCGGTGCAAACTCCTACTTCGTTGGCTGCTGCACGAGCTGGACAATCCCAGGCTGCAAATCCGATTGTCATGTACAATGCACAGACTTTCACGACCGTCAATCACATCCATGCTACCTTTGGATCTGGTCTAAACAAACGCCTTCCAAGATTCATCCACGGTTCAGACGATGTGGGCGCCGCTTCGAGCAGTGACCCATCTGCGTGCAAAGTGGACAGTTGGGGCTTGTCGGATCCTGAATTCTTTGCTCAATTCGCCGAACGTTTCCCTGGAGATGCGCAATGGGGTCTTGGCGCAGGCGACACTATCGGATGCCCAAATGTTATGGACGTCAGCCAGCCGCATGGTATGGTCTATGGTATAGGGTTTGACGGAGGTTTTGTTTACTATCGGCCTATTGAAGAGCAACGTGGTCGCTTTATAGCTCCAGCGTCTGAACTGAGCTTGCCAGATTTGGGTATTCCCAGGATGCCTTCTGTCAGTGGTGCTATTACTGCTGTCTGGATCGCCAAAACATCAACAATCCCATCCCTTTCTGAGGGCCTTGTCGGTATCATGACGGGGTCCGCGAATGGTGTCGTTACAGCTTGCAGTCTTGGTTCAGATGGACTGCGCAGTCACCGAATGCAGCGGGGTGAGCTTACTGCTCGCTGGTGTCTCAGTCCAGGTGTGCCAATCATTGCCATTGCAGTCGACGAGTCGTATTCCTTCAAGAGACAGGCGCAGAATCGTATCTGGGCGGTTGCTTTGAACGCCTTGGGAGAACTCTTTTACCTCACAAAATTTCCAACGCGTGGAGCACTGCCTAAAGATAAAGTTGCATCCGACGACGCTACGGAATGCCTTGCGTGGGTGACAGGCCGGAGCGTCTACTGGAGTCTCGTAGAGCCTAGTAGACGTGCGGCAAGATTCAATCCTTACAACGACTCCGATATCGACGGAAGTTATTCACCCCGTTCTTCGTGGGATGGAATGTGCTTGAGCGTAGAGCAGATCCGATCGGAGACCAAGGAAATCCAGCAATTCCTTCGAAAACAGCCCAAGGACTTTCGCAGATCTTGCAACGGCTGGGACATGAGACGACGATTGGAGGTCGATTTTGCAGGCGACGACGGCAACTACGCCGGTGAAGCCATGGCAGTATTTGAGTGCGGTATAGAGGAGGATGACATTGCCTGTGTCAAGAGATTCACCCGCTGCAAGTTCCAAGAGAAAGACAACACTGGTGTCACTTCAAGGTCCTCGGAACTTCAAGAACCAGTCTCGCTTTTCGGACGCGCATCGACCCCCGAAATGGCTTTCAAACAACCACTCGGCCAGCGCCTTCGGAGCTCATCTTATGTCTCTACGAGTTCATCGCCGGAGAGGGGAACACTGGTTGAAGAATGGAGATGCTCCGCTCTCTCCTTTGGCGGATTCAGGAACATTGAGCTTACGACCACGACGTTGGACTCATCAACCTTCGCGACGCTCACGTTGTCAGAAGATCCTGTGCTTGGATTCTCAACCGCATCGAACGCATCGTCTCCCTATGCCTCGCCGCAGAGTACCATGAGCCAACCGACATCACCATCTGATATTCCAGGGCAGCGTGCGCGCTTCGTCGCGGCAGGCACTAAGACCGGATGCATCTTGATCTGGGACATTCGTGCGCCAGTAGCTCGCAGCTCTGAGATTATCAATATGATCGAACCTGTTCGCATCATCTACACAGAGTCTCCCGAAATCGCTTCTCTGGCCTTGACCGCGCTGTACCTTGTTCATGGTGGAAACGATGGTCTCGTACAAGCCTGGGATCCTCTTGCTTCAACCACGCAGCCAATCCGGACCCTGAACTCTCGATTTTCTTCGCGGGCTCGTCGTCGCCTGGTGCAAGCCCAAACGTCTGTCCAGGGAGTTGGCATCAATATGTTCGCAGCTGGCGCCATCGTCCTTGATCCGGATCCAACTGTTCTGCGTGGCATGGTATCTCTTGGCACGCAGCTCCGATACTGGAGCTTCAGTTCAACAGCTGCAGATCAGTACAGATCGCAGAAACGCCGTCTCCGTCGCTCAGCACGGGGCAGCAACAACGGTGGCGAGCGCTTTGCTGGGACAGGTAGAGCCGGAATCAAAGATTTCATTGCCAATGAAGCGTATGAGCTTGAGCGTGAGAAAGAGTCGAGCCATCGGAAGGCCAACCAGCTGGCCAAGCGTTTTGGTGTGGATCTGCTGGGCAGTGAAGAGGAGGCATTGGCGTATGCAGCATTGCTTAGCCAGGAAAGCTTAGAGGAGGACAAGAGAAGAAGAAGTGAAGGCGGTGGAAAGAGCGCGATTCGGAGCAATACTATCACGCCGGAAGCTAGCGTCAGTGGCACCGTCGCAGATAACTCCAGAAGGAGTGATGTCGAAGCAGCAATCGATGACGACCTTGCGGAAGCTATCAGGCGAAGCTTGGAAGAGGCAGATGGTGGTTTGATTTCGCCCTCGGCGTACTTTCAGGACCACCCAATTCCTGGGGGCAATGCTGGATTTGACATCCCTATTCGATATGCGAAAGCTAGGCGGTCGCCCACTTCTCGCTCTAGGTCATCGCCGGTGCTGGAGACCTCTGGAGGCGCCAGTACGAACAAGGAAATGGATGACTTGGAGTACGCCTTGCAGCTGAGTCTTGCGGAGGAGGAGAGCAAGAGGATCGGGGGTGCTGTGGCTGAAGAGGATGAGTTTCCGGCCTTGAGTCCGAGTCCTAAGGGCAAGGGCAAGGGGAAATGGAGAGCTTGAGCTTCTGTTGCGTCTTTTTCTTCTGCTTGCGCGTTATACCTTTGGCATTTCTGCCGGATTGACTGGGCGGTCTCATGATCTGCTCATTCCGTCTGGACTTTTTGAGAGCGGTTGTGGTGGGGGATGTAATAGTTATAGGGCTTTCTCTTCTGCTTTTTTCGGTTGCTTTTACTTCATAGCTGTGCATTGCCTGCGGTCGCTGTACAACAATATCGTAGTTACCAAGTCTTTTGTTTGGTTTCGAATTCACAACGTGCGTGTGTTTGCCACTGCTTGGGGTGCTTCAATGCATTTTTAGTTATAGGAACGCGATAAGAAACTCTTCACCTTGGGCTATGTGGAAACTCGTTGCAGTACTCCAAGCAGGGGCCGTCCGTCGCCCCTCAACTCTCTTCAAACCGCATCTATATGTCCCCAAAACCAGTGGTCCGACCCTTCTACCTCCCTTTCCACCAAAAACACGCAAAAGCAAGCATCCCAATCCTCCACCCTCCACCCTCCCCATCCCCGTCGCATTCTCTCCCGCGCCGAAATCCACCCCAGCAGATCCCCCTCTCGAGAACGAAGCGAGAGCCTCAGCCTCACTCGACGCGCACCCATCCACGGCACCTGCCGCCAGTAACTGCGTCAGGACCCCTCGACTATTCTCACAGTTACATACAGGCTGCGCTACGTATTGCAACAAGCCCCATGCCCATGTCCGCAACCCCGACCAACCCCAGTGACCCGGGCCCCCTCCCGAGTCAGTCAACGCCCAACTGCCGAGGCCGGGGCGGGGGGGGAGGGGGAGGGCAGCTTAGTGCCGGCAATTACAATAGGGCTTGTTGGTTTGCTTCACGCAGCCCTTTGCATGCACACGCTAGCGGAGGATGTTTGCAAAGGCGGTGTTTTCTACGCGAACACGTGGGGGGTCTGGTGATGATTGATATTGGGGCGGGGGCCGGGGCGGGGGCCGGGGCGGGAGGTGTGGAGGGTTTTCACTGCTTTGGGTTGGGGGGGCCAATGAGAGTACGTAGGTGTGGGAGTGGCTTTTTGGACACCTTGGGTTTTATTCTATCTTTTATACGTTGTGTCGACGGATGGATGATGAGTAGAAATTATACTATTGGTTGATTTTAATGTCTCGGTTCCGGGTTTCTAACGTCTCACGCTCCCCCCCCCCGGTAGTTGGGCCGCCGGGGGGCGGGCAGGGTGGGCGGGGTGGTCTTGTCTGGACCTGGTGCGTGATCCGAAGACGTGAAGATGTGATGAGGGAGGATGGCGCCTTGGCATATGCTGGTTTGGGGGATTATGGGAGGATTGATATGCTGGCATCTCATGCGATAGCCCTGGGAACGACGGTCTGCCTGAGATGGGTATCGTGTGAGCTTGGGTTTGCTTGCCCTGGAGCCCGTCCATGCACGCTGGGTGTTTGAAAAGGTGGTATGCTCATCAAGCACTCTATTTCGTGGGTACACCTGTCTGCTGCTGCTTGAAGGAGGGGCTCGTGGCTGGTTCTAACTCATGTCGAGTTTTTCTGGATAGCTGGGAGGCGAAGGTGGGTGGGATCAGCGGGGTTATGGATGTTACTGGAGACATCCGAAGCTGCTGTGTGAAGATTTGAGAGTATGAAATCAAGAGGATGAGACTGACAGCGCTGGAGCTTAGGGATATGGTGGCGGATATTCTGGTGTATAGAACTATACAGATGGAAGACTAGGGTATAATAGTATGATTTTTCTACTCTGCTCGAACGATTACTGCATACTACCGAAGAGGTGGTAGACTAGCGCAACCAAGATTAGGGATGAATTCGATATGTGGTATCGGAAACTGGAGTTAGTGAAGTACAATAGTACCTTCCGAAACTGCGAGGTTGAAATTGGTGCTGAGTAGGCATTACGATTTCGCGGTCGCTGGTTGATATATATTGTCAAGATAGACATTGAGCGCAACAAGTTAGGAATCAAAAGGAGGTACTAGAAAGACGGCGAAAAATGAAATGTCGTTTCCAATCGCATTCACTACTGAAAAGGCGTTCGCACTTCGGAGACTCTCAGAAGTCATCATAGGAAATCCTGGTCGGCGAAAGCCAAGCCACTCTTCGCGACCACGGTTCGTAGTCCAATGAACGACGGCGGAATGAGGGAAATAGGCAAGCTGAGCAGTGGCCGATCTACAGGAACATCCCAAGGCACTCCCTCAGAAGAGGAATTGACACTACGTGATTCAGATGAATGCTGCGTATCCATTCGTAGCGGCTCGGGTCCTTTCCCGCCATCCGGCCCGAACCAGTCGTGCATCGCGCGGATATGCGCTCTTTCAGGCCTCACGGAAATCCTACCGTCTCCGCGCTGCGTCCCAAAGGTGTGGAAACACGGGCACACGGGTCTCGGAGTGCTTGGGATCTCGAATAGGTACGGATGATGCTTGTCCGGGGGTCGACAATTACTCGTGGTGCAATAGTGGATTTGAGAAACGGTGCTCTAGCGCATATGCTATGTCATGTCGAGGCTGTGCTAGTTGCAGCGGCAATTGCGGGTAGGGAATTTATTGATTGAATAATGAAAAGTGAAGATTGAAAAGGCGATGCGGAGAGACCGAAATGCAATGTTCTTGGAGCACGCATCACCTCCCGTTTGCAGCCTATGCGCACAGCAGAAAGAATATTGCATAGGCAATACGAGCTAACGGGACAAGCCAATCAGACTCTGAGAGTGGATCCAGCGGCTATCAGGACGGTGCGATTTCGTCCCTCGAACGGATGCGGGACGAGCGCGCTCCACTCACGACCGGATTTCTGGGAGTCATGCACGAGCACCTCCTACAGTCCAAACATAGTCCAAAAGGTCGCTGAAAACACTGACTCGGGAGCTCGGATTGTCATGTCGCCGCAAGCGCGAGCCAATGGGTGCAGTACAGCGAGGACGAAGGATGGCTAGCTTTCTGAAACGGCTCGATCCGCTCGGGCCACTATATGCTTTAGGGCGTAGGGCCGAGGGAGTGGTCCTCGGAGCCCAGGGTCACGAGAGAGGATGAGGTGAGCAGGCCCTGCGGAAGGGCGACTCGGAGGCAGCGCGGGCGTTTGATCTGTTGCTGGGGTGGGCGTTTGATTGTCCCGCCGACGATTTGCGCGTGATAGTGTGCTGACAACGTGGATGGATCATGCTTGTACGGGACCAAGTAGGTAGAGCGACAGCTACATACTAGAGCCACTGGAGTATGTGTGTACGCATCGTGACTGGTACGACTAGCGAAGCAACGACTGCCAAGTGGAGAATAGATGAGGCTAGTAGCGCGTTGTAGCGACCTCTTACGTGGCTAATGGGCTCTGCGACAGTATACGAGGACTGCTAAGCACTTACCATATAAGAGGCGTCGTTATGATGAGTTGGCAGCCTGTCTAGTATGACGGTATCCTGCTGGATTGAATTGAATACCGGCGTAATGCATCGTAAATTCATCCAGGCGATATTAGTGGCAAAAACGCGCTGGCAGGATGGGTGGCGATTGAAAGAAACGGTCATCGAGGTGGAAAAGGAGAAGGGAGGAAGTTTCACTGTCAATGATTTAGCCTCGGGGATACTCAGAATACTCACGCATGTGACGTCTCTGCTAAGCCCATAACCCGCCCGACTGCAGTGTGGTGGTCCCGCGTGTTTGATGTTCTTAACGATACAGGGCACAGCATCTGGCCTCTGCAATGCTGGCGTGGATCTGGATTCGAGGCTTTGAAACAGAAGTACATACGTATTCTTAGAGCAGGGCTCATGGCGTCCTCCTGAGACGATCTGGCGGTCTGGCTATGCAGGCTGATGTAGTGCGTCTGGCTTTGCTCGTGATACAGCAGCCGTCGAGAGGTTTGGGGTGCCGCCAGGGCCTCTGGGTGCCATGGACGAGAGGCCCTTTTTATTGGCGATCCGCGCGCCGCAGGGAAGACACGCCCGGGATGCCGGGGAGCTGGGCACAGATGCCATGGGCTGGGGAGGCCGCCGCTGAGGCTTGGGATTCTGTCTTGACGCCGTCGGGTTCGCAGATGAAACTTACGTGAGAGCCTGCACACCCGTCCGCCTCCTGCCAAGCGCCCTCCCTAAGGCTGATCGTAGGGACACTGCGCCCTCGAGGCCTGCTGAGCAGCGAACTGTCGTGCATCTCCAGTTCGAGGCGGTGGACTGCGATGCCGTCGCTGAGCGCCATCACCGACCGCCAGCGGACGTCGCCGTGGCCAAGTGTGGCCTAATGACCTACCGGAGCCGCACGAGAGCTCACGGCACCGAGGGAATAGAGTAGTGGCAGATTGATATGTCAGGCCTTGCCACGCGCCGTTGCATGCAGGCGATGGTCTGGCGGCTCGGGATAGCCTGGCGGTTCAGGTTTGCCCTCGTTCACAGCAACCTCCACTCTTCTGGAAGCGCTGCTCGTGTTTGGCTAGCAAGGATGCCGGAGTCTGATGAACTGGCCACGATTGCTTCTTCGGGCGACCGACTCTTGAAATCCACTCTTGATAGATGAAGCTGCAATCAAGGCCGCGGTGCAATCACCCGCCCATGGTTCCCACGCTCGTTCCACGCCCCCTTTGCGATTGAAGCAGTGTGGATAGAACTGAGCGTCTCGGACTGGCGCGGAGGCTCGCGGGGGTTTGATGCATGAGGGTGTCGATAGCTGGCGGGTGCGTAGTGCGGTCGAGGGCGCGTGCAATATAGATATGAAAGGTCGCTTGACAAAACGGCCAGCTGCTCTGCTAGGTGCCATTTGGCCTTAGCTGCGCTACGCTTTGGGTCTATCGCACCACCCAGCCAGTATTGGTCGAGGCTACTAGCGGCGAGGTGACTTCACTGACTGATATCTCCACGCATATCGGAGCTACGAGCCCAAAAGTGGTCCCGTTGGATTCAGAGCCGTCTACTCTATGAGGCAGCCCGGTCGGGCCATGCAATATGACTAGGAGAGAGTGCAGGTCTTGTTAAAGAGGGCCCACCGCAGCGCGCTTGTCACTGCACGGTGGCTTTGAATCCAGTAGTGCATTTGCCGTCCTATAGCATGAGCACTGTCCTATAGCATCAGGACTGTCCTATAGCATCAGCACTTCCCTATAGCAGCAGTAGTTGTGGAGAAGTTTAGCAGTGACGGCCCGCTCGCGACTAAAGCAGAAGCTTGGAATAAAGCAGGCCTGAGCTTGTGCAGGCCAGTAAACCCGTCTCGCGCTCCGCGGGCTTCATGGACGGCCTAACTGCCCAGGTGGGTATGGGGTGCACCCGCGTGTCCGGGATGCATTTGCTCACCAAGCCGCGATTCCGCCCGCAACTTGTAGCTCGCTGCGAACGGAGCGCCCGCCTTTTCCACCTGCCACCCGCGCGCCCACGGTGCCCTCACCGCGCCCCGTCGGCCTGCTGCTCGGCTTCGCATTTGGCCGCGCTGTCGACGGTCCCGCGGCGAACCAAGGCTGGGTTTCGCGGCCCCAGGGGATGCCTGCTGGGCGCGCACTGGGACCAAGAGACCGACCTTCTGCCGCAGTTCACGGGCCTTACCACACCCTTGGGAGCGCCCTTGTAGGGATGGGCTGATCCACTCTCCACCACAGTACAGTACAAACACCCGCCCTCGCCCTCGCCCAGTCCTGCCGAGAGACCACGCCAGTCGACTCGCGCCCTGGACGACGAGGCCTCACACCGCACCAAACGCCTTCACGACGTCTGCTCAGTCCCGAGCCGAGTCGCTGCCAGCCAAATACATCCCCATTCCCGCTGCGTCGGTGGACCCGACGTTTCGTTGCTGTCTCAGCTGCTGACCACCGTATTGCGACTCTCCGCACTCCAAGCCCTTGATACCCCACGTTTCCGGCCACACGTCTGGCTGCAGGCCCTGCTCGAGCAACGCATTGCAGTATTGCTTTTTCGTGCCGTCGAAAAACCCAGCGTGCACACAGGCCACCCAGCATTCGTCAGGATCCCATCTCAACACTACCACCGCGATGAGCTCGCCGGCACCAGCAGCGTCGGACGAGAACAATGAGAGGCGGAGGAGCCTCGGAAAGTACGTGAAGAGAATGAGCAGTGTGTTCAAGCGCGGGAGCTCCAGCAGAGCATCTGCGCCCGCCTCGACATCGACTGCTACTCCGGCCACGGCACCGGCACCAACAGCAACAACTGCTCCGGAGACGACTACGTGAGGACTTCTGATACTCGCAACTCTCACTGCATTTGCTAATTGACCTAGACCCGCGGCACCGGCCTCCGAATCTGCTCCCGTGGCGACGTATCAGTACAACAGGAGCGCAGTGCAACAGGAAAGAGCTCGGGCGCTGTTCGCCAAGTACGGATTGACTCTGGAATCCCATGAATGGATAACTCCCGCTATTTCGAATATCCAGCGGGTGGAAAAGCCCATCCGGATGCGCGTCCACCGGACCTGCCACCGATGCGAAACCACCTTTGGACAGGAACGCGTCTGCGCCAAGTGCCAGCACAAGAGGTGCAAGAAATGCCCTCGCTACCCGAAGAAGAAGGTCATTGGGGACAACACGGACGATCTCGCTACTGAACAGCGTCCGAAAAAGAAGCAGCTGCTCACCATCAAGAGCAAGACTGGTGGAGATCTCGTCTATCAGCCAACCAAGCAGCGAGTCCGGCGGACTTGCCACAAGTGCGAGTCGTTCTTCAACCCTCCAACGGCCACAGTGTGCGAAAAGTGTCAGCATGTGCGATGCACACGATGCCCTCGGGACCCAGCAAAGCTGAAGAAGTGGCCGGATGGCTATCCTGGAGATGCGCCGGCCGAGGATTCCGAAACGGAGCTCGACAATGAAAGACCGAAACGCATGTACAGGAGACCACGGCAGAAGGTCAGATGGGAGTGTGAGCAGTGTCAAACTTTATTCGTCGACGGAGCGTCAAAGTGCGAAGGCTGTGGCCACGACCGGTGTAATACGTGCCCAAGAAAACCGTGAGTTACCATTGACATGACCTGTTCTTTCCCCGCGCTGACAACGACTTACAGGCCCAAAAAGACCAAGGTAGAGAAGGAGTTTGATCCGGAAGTTGTAAAGAGCGTAGAAGAAAAGCTGGCTCGATTTAAAGTTGGGGAGACGCCCACCTCAGTGTTGACTGCATGATACCTCTCGCGGACTTCGCTCATCATTCACGATGAGAAAACACGATTCACGATTTCGATTTAGCATTCTGATGTGTGGTTATGGACTAAAAACGGTCACCAGAACGCGAAGATTTTTTTTCTATACGGAGCCTCGTAGGAGGTTTACGAGCAGGGACCTTGGATGCAACTTTCGCATCTTGATGGAACGGCATAATCATTCTCACAATTCATCAGCGACCCCTTTCTCTCTGGAGAGGTTGCCCATTCACCTTTGAACACTGCTTTTCTTGTTCTGCTTGGGTCCTACTAACACCCTTCTGACAGCATTGCTAACCTCCGCAGGCTGCTGCAATACTCCCAATCACTCCCTCAACAAGCCAAGCTGGCCACACAGGGGAAAATGTCGCAGCTGGTTGTGCCACGTTGGATGTCAAGGCGGCATCGCAGCGTGTTTCACGCGCTCGAGGCAGTGCGAGGAGGCCCAGAACGCCGGATTGGGACCGCCCTCGATTTCCCCCGGCCGCCACGCTGTACAACGTGCAGTATGTTTCTCATACGAGTTTTCCTCGCAGTGGCATGACTAGTATCACAGGATGCGCCTGTCTCACGCGGCGGGCGGGCTCCGACTGTGGTGCCACTCCACTCACAGCAGTCTAGCGAGTCTCCCGTGCCACGACCACATTGCGGGTTCTGCCCGAACCCACCACGCATCTGGCGCTGGGTCGTTGGCGCACGTCGCAGTCCTGCAGCGATCAACCTGTCAGCGGGATGCCGGATCCAATGAAGCCACTGGAGCCGCGGGCCGTGGGCGGCATCTGCCTCTTGCGGGTCCTCCCAGCACCCGCCCGGCCTCAGCGTCCGAGGCAACAGCTGTCGCAGTCCACAGCGGGAGCACTCCCAATTCGCAGACCTGTGCTGTGGGAAGGCACTAATGCCTTGCCCGCCGCGCGCAGAAGCCAGCGAAGGAAGCTGGCGGGCAGCGAATATGCACGCACTGACAGCGGGCCCTCGACATCGCTTGCGTGGTGGATAGTGGATCGAAAACTATCCGGGTCCAGATTCACGCCTCTCGGGGCCCTTGCCTGATGCCGCTGGCCCACGCCAAGTCTCGTGTGGGGGAGCGTGAAGGTTTGCGCTGCAGGACTGGTGCATCTCCTGCCGACCCTTCGCGCTGCCCTGCATGCTGCCTTTCTCTCTGGAGTTATGCACAGTACCTCTGCTGCCGCCGTGACAAGTGCGACGCCCGCTGTTGGAGTAGCAGTGGCAGGCGTCCTGTGGCCTCGTACGATATAAACTCAATGTACATTAGATGTTAGATTGCTCCCTTGCCGTCACTGCTTCACTGTCGGGGTATCTCTGGTTCAACCAAGCTCTCCACTCACCTAACATGCACTCTTGCCAGCACCGCCAGCCACAGCATCGCCGGGGCGGGATTCTTGTTGCCAAATGTGCCCTCGCGCAGCACAGCCAAGCCCGCTAACGCAATCACTCACTGCAAGCAAGCACAAAACTCTATTGATCCTCCATCCTCGCTTCCCCGGTGCGCATCCCCGCCGAATCACGGCACCGGACGGCGGCGGGGCGTTCGACAGGCATGCTTGACCGTTGAAGAGGCGGCATAAGAGCGGCAGACAGCATGGCTGCCATGAGTGCCGCCCCTCGCATTCGGCCACGCTTTGCAGTTGCGGATACATCGTTGATCGCTGCAGACTCCATGTTCGAGCTGCCGATTGCCTAGGCTGTCTCTAGTCCATGTGCTGCAACGATAAGACAGCGTGCCTATCCCATTTCCCTTCCCTTTGCTTTTTTAGTTACTCCGCTTGTCAGTTTCCTTTTCACGTCTCGCTTTCACATGCCCCCGCTGCCTGTCAGTGTCAACGTCTAAACTCTGTTTCTCTCAATCTACCCACCTTCCCTTTTCCCACCGGCTAAATATGCTGGTCCCCGGCGCGCCAGAAAGAGCGAGAAACGCGCCACCGGGTTCTTGCCACGGGGCCTGGGCGCAAGGCTGTAGAAATGACTTCATAGCACCGTGCGGAAGTCCTACATAGAGCTGGCCCGCGGGAAAGAAGGTTCTGTCCGGGCGCCGTTGCTCACTCGCGACCCCCCCCCTCCCGCCCCTCCCCCTCCCGACCCCGATCTCGGCATGCCGACACCAGCACCTTGTTCCACAACAACCACACATTCCTTGCCCTGCCGTGCCTGCCAGCCAAAACCACAAACCCCGGCGCCGATCGCCTGAAGCATGCAGCGCGCGCGTGTGTGGCACCTGGAGGCTTGCTGCCAGTATATTGTGGAAGATCTGGATGCCACGCCACACGGCGGTAAGTGCCGCCGAGGAATGTGAGGCGGAGCGCGCGGGCGCGCGGGAGGGAAGGGACCGGGCCGGTGGCGGCGGCGGAGAGGTGGCGGATACGGGGAGAAGGTGGGTGCCCCCGATCGCCGTGAGTTGGGTGGTGGTGGGTTGGGGATACACGTGTATGGCGGAGAGGAAACAGGAGGCGCGTGTATGAGTGCGGCACAGCAATGGGGTGGGGAGGTTGGAGGTGGGTGGGCTGTGGGAGATCGAGAGGGAGGATACTAGAGGACGGCAGGCTATGTAGAGGAGGAATTACGGAGAAGTCTTCCAGAGGTCTGTGGTTTGAGCCAGAGTACTATTTCAATTGAGTTCCAGTTTCTCTCACCACTACTTCATGCCGATGTATTGAAGCTGGCATCTCATATGTGCCGGTAGGCTGTATGAGATACAAGCAATGCAAAAAGATTTACCTTCATACTCATATAGAATTAATTTATTCAGCTACCTCAATCTCTCAGTGGTATCTCTGAGTAGATGAATGTCCGAGTCACGTGAACATAGATTAATTGCGAGACTATTATTCAGAGAGCTGGAGACCTGATTTGATTCCCTGTCTACTGTACAATCCATTATGTCCATCTTCCTATCCGCGTGACATCTCTACCGTACACATCGTCGGCAGCTTTCCTCGCTCCTTCCATCTGTATCATACAAATATCAACCCAACATCTACTCCCCCATTTTCGCGGCAGGCGTCTAATATTACAAAAACAAACGGACTACATGACAAGACGCCTTTTCCCCATCTATGCAATGCTTTGCATCCTGCAGATATGCACAACTAGAAAAAAAAAGCACGCCCGAGCCGTATATGCTCGTTCAATAGATACATCAAAATTGCGGGAAATGTACAGCTCCCTAAGATTTTTTGGTGGCTCGACGCCCATGTCGATGGCAAAGCTCATGAGAAGAAATACTTGCTCTCTTTGAGGCGCCGCACGTCAAAGTCGCCCTTCTTCGGCACAGGCGGGAAGGTGAGCGGGAGCCAGATAAATACTTTTTGGGGATTTGGGGCCTTGCCCTTGCGGGCTGCCTTGGTGTTCTTAGGCTCGGTGTCCTCTTCCGCCTCCTCTGCCTCATCCGCTACGTCAGCCGGAGACTCGAAGTCCATCCCAGAGAGCTCAGCACTCATCATCTTCTCCTGCATTTCCTCCATCAGCTCGGGCGTCGGCTGCCCGATAAGAGGCTGCTGCACTTCGGTGATCATGGCGGACGCATCTTGCGCGGCCTCGTAAACGCTTGCTGGCGTGACCATCTCTTGGCCCCTTTTGCGCTTCTCGGCGTCTTCCGATTGCAATAGGCGCCGACGCTCTGCGTCAAGGAGGAGCTCGCTATAAGAAGCTTTCCGGGCTCGCCTCCCCCTCGTTTCTTTTCTCAGATCCAAGATTTGCTGGGCTGCCGCACTGTCCAGCTTGAGCTCTGCGAGGTACATAGACCCAGCATAGCGAGCCTTGAACTCTGCAGCAAGGCGTCCGATGATATCTTCCGAGTGCATGCGTACGAAGGCGTCGCGCAGGATTTCATTGAGCTTGGGGACATCCGCGGGATGCGTCCAGAAAGAGTCGTGGACAGCAGCAAACGTCAGGCCCTTTTCGCTGCACTTGAGTGCCGAGAGAAGCATGTGGGTTGCGTCAAGCGAGTGGATGAAGTTAGGGGGGAAAGCTTGCAGTTGCTTCCGTTTGGAGACGGCGTCTGAGGTCCGGGGGTCCAGGATTGCTAAAGATTGCAGAGCAGTCTTAATGTGCACAGTCTGAACTTTTCGGTATGGTTGCACAACTGGCATCCTCAACGGGGTGGTCCAAATGACACTTGATTTAAAATCCATAGCACTCTCCTGTAGGTTGGCTTCTTGTGCAGCCGTATATATCTTCTTTTGTTTCGTCCCATCCTGGTACTTTGGATTTGCGAAGACTTCATGACCCTTTCCAGAGGCTACAGCTTTCCGCAACTTCTCTATTTGCTCCACTGTGACCGAAGTTGTGATTCGAGATGCGCAGGCCCCCAGCCATAATTGTATGTCTTGAGCGCCATTGAAAATCTTCCCTAAAGCGTCGAATATGTGCTTCGCAACGAAGGCCGCGACGCTACCTAGACTTGGCACACCATCGCTCTTCTGAAAATTGGGCATCGCATCTTTTAGTTCCTCAAGAACTTGGAGACGGGCTCCTTCGAAAGTCACGCCATAAACGTTGGTCATGACAGTGCGCTTGACAACCTTGCGAGTGATTTTGCCCTCCAAAAATTTGGACATTGCATGGCCATCTTTCGCAGCTTTGGTGATTTGGGCCTTAACGAGCTCAGCAACTCCGGTATAGATGTCTTGTGGGCGGTCAGAAGGCTCCAAGTTGACTTGAGTAGCACCATTCTTATCGCCGCCGAGAGCTGCATAATGTTGAAGGCCGTTGCAGGTACCGTCCTGATGTACTGGGAAGGACGATACGTATCTTGAAGGATCTGGAGAATCTAAAGCATTCCTGAGTTCAAAGCAACAGGCTAGACATTGCCATGGATCCTCAGCTTTCAGCCACCATCGGGCACCGGAGAGCGGATTCGTAGCTGAGTCGTAGACGTGGTTAAGGTTCTCCATGGTAAACTCCTCTCGCTCGAGAAGACTGGCCTTATCGAACCCGTAAAGATTGGCCAGGTGAATCTTCAACCATTTTAATCCAACGCTCCCAAGTTCCCTCCCTTTAGCAAACTTCAGAAGACCGCGAGCTATGTCAGCACCCATGTGGTTTAATATGGGCGGAATAGGATATGCCCTCCCACGAAAGTCGATGTTGTGCGGGTAATAAATAGTCTCGTCCAAATACGCCCGGGCCATTTCCAGTTGAAGATTTTGAAAGCATCGTTTCGAGTGTAGCCCGTCTTTCTTTTCATTAGCCTCTTTGACCGCCTTTTGGTACTGCATACGTTCTACCACGGGCGCTCCGGGGCGTGGTTCTGCGGGGCGCGGAACTTCTATGTTGCCTGGAACAAGTTCACCAATGCCCTCCCCAGCATTCCATGCGTGAATCATCACTTTAAAAACGTCCTTGTTGATTTGCCATGGAACCCGTCCAAGGGCATCGAGGCCTTCGAAAATTTGGTCCATGTCTCCTTTTTGAATGGCCGAGATGGCATACCTAGCCTGAGACTCATCTCCATCCTTCATTCGGACTACCTTAGTAGGATATCGATAATAGCCGCCTTTGTTGAAAGATTTCCACGGCTTCGGTTCAGCCACCATGGGCAGGCGAAAAGTCGACTGACCCCTCAAGGGCTCCCGCGTTAGCATGAGCATCAACTCCTTGTGTAGGGTCAAAACTCCCACCGATTTGCCCCGGATATGGACATTAGAATGGGCGTAGGCTGGTTGAACACTCGAGAGAGTCTCGCCTGTTTTTGGGTCCTCTCGAGTAACTGTGAGTTTCGCACTTTGGAGGAATTTCTCGATCAGTAGAGCGCCAATTTTAACCTTGACGTGGCGAGGGAAAACAATTTCAGTTACGACATCGGAAGGTTGTGTCGATTCTGGCTTGTGACGCTTCGAGGGATCGAATTTGAATTTCCCTCTGCTCAATTTTGCCAGTACTTTCTGGCGGCGCAGTGACTGTTTTACACCGGCAGTGGAGGGCTGTCGCGACACCGCAGTTTTAACGTTGCATTCCAATTCCAGCGCAGATGCGAGTTTGAAAGTGAGATTCGAAACCTTGTTGTTATTGGCGCGTTCTGCGGTTGCTAGTTCTTCTACTAGACTCTTGACAGTGATAGCAGAGAGAGTCTTTGCGTCGAAAAGCTCCAGATAAGTCCCGTACACCAGCCGATCCGAGTTCTTGTATGTCGTCTCCGAGGCGAGCGTCTTTTTCACCGCAAGAAGCTCCTTTTGCACTAGAGGAATCATAGTCGTGTACCATTCCCACATCAAAGCCCCCATAGATTTTGTCTTCAGGGCTCCATGAATTCCCAACCTTGTGAGCTCGTCATTATCGTGCTTCCAGCGAGCCACCGAAGCATCGACCGCAGTCTCCTCCAAATGGATTTGCCGCATGACGGCGTAAGCCGTATCCTTTTCCTCCTGCGAGCCTTCCATATCGTGGGGATACGGAATGACGTTGGAAGGATCGAATGCGCTCAAGGCCTGTTTTAATGTCTCCATGCCTTGCCCCTTTTGGGGGATTTCCCGAATCTCTGTAGCCGGGTCCTTCATGAAACCATGCTCAATCGCAATCTCTCGACCACCGGGCGTACTGATGGGCGAACTCAAATCCTCATCGGTCATGACGGGCGGTTCGTCGTAGTCTTCAGCCTGGACTCTAATCAAGGTATCCCATTCTTCTTCGGTAAACTCAGGCGATGAGTTTACTGCATATTCCACGTCTGGTCCGAGGTTCTTTGCAATGTCCATATATTTCCCTACCGCCTGGTCCCTCGCTTCACCATGGAGCAAAGACAATGCTCCCTGTATCATTGCCACCAAGGTGCGGTCGTCTGGCTCGATGCCCTTATGAACCATGTCATTATCATACCAGTCCTCGAGGTCTCGCATCTTGGAGTTGACTGGATCCTGTAACATAGCCTCGAGCTTGGCCCGAAGATAAACATTATGAACGTCCAGAATCTCGGTCGCTGAGGGATTGTATACAGTTGTCAGCCGTCGTACTATGGCTGCAGCGCGGTCCAAGCGACCAACTCGTATGCAGGCGTGCAAGTTTTGAGTGAGTTCGAGAGGGTCGCCCCCTATGCCCTTCTCGAATCGGAGCCGAGGGGGCGCCGCGAGGGACACTTGGTTGACGAGTATAGATTGCGGCGTAGCCCAGGATAAACCGCGAGGCTCGCTACTCGTTCCCCATTGTGAGAGTGAGGCGAAAGGAGGAGCAGTCGAAGGTGAAAGGGCGTCGACGGCGGTGTATATTGAGCGGCTTTCGGTGCGTAGCGAGGCGCGTCGAAAGGGCGTCCGTTTCGTAGAATTGGAGGATGTGGTAGGCGGGGGAGCTGTACTCGCAGCCCATCGCAATTGCGCAGGACATAGCCAGGGCAGTATTAATTGATCGAACGACACAGATGGCCGCTGGAAGGCATTGCGGCGTCCTCTCCGTGCACGCGTGGCACGCGCGAGCATCGTCTGCGAACTGAAGGGCGGGCGGAAAGAAATAGGACGAGGCGCACACCGACGGAAGGAAGAAGAGAAAGGCACAAACACGAAGACGGGACGGGAGAGACGACGGCGCGATGGACAGGAGTGAATGATGGAGCCGCAAAAAATGTTCTCGGCCGAGTCGACGAGCCCCCTTGCGGTCGGGCCAAGCCAGCCGGCACGTGATCTCTAAAACCACCGGGCAACTTTTAGTGCTGCGCGCTCCCATAGAACCAACCTCTCCTCGCAACCACACCACGTCCACCTCGCCCATGGACTAGGCACTTTCCTCACCTTTACTACGCACTCGCAGGGCTGCAAACATCGAACCCGTGCCACTATCATGGACGACCTTGCCTCGCTCGAGCTGCTTTCGCTGGTGTCGAAAGTCACCTCCGAGATACAGAACCATCTGGGCATCTCCGACAAGACTCTCGCCGAGTTTGTTATTGCCCAGCACGCAAAATGCAAGTCGCTGCCGGAGTTCAAGTCCACGCTCGAAGACTTCGGTGCCGAGTTCCCGCAGTCTCTCGTCGAGAGCATCGACAGACTCATCCTGACTCTGCATCCAAACTTCGCAAAGAAGCAGAATGGCGCGCAGGTAGAATCCCGCGAGCCTGCAGACGAGCAGGACCGCAAGACGAGGGTGTTCAAGGGCCTTGCGATTCCAGATAAAGAGCCAGTGTGGAGTACTGACGATGCAAAACAAGCAAATAGGGCGGAGGAAGAGGACACAACACTGGCGGCACTGGACGACACATTCGCGATGCTCGAGGGCCTCGCGGGCAAATCGGCGGCACCAGGGAGGGACATGCCTTCCAGGAAACGCAGCATCAGCCCTGTTGCGGACGATAGCCGAGACAGAGGACGGAACAAGCGGCATAGATACAGGTCGCGGTCGCCATCGCAGAGTCGCGAACGGGGCGACCGGCGGTCAAAGCACGACGACTTCGTTTTCGAAGATGAATTCGGCCGTTCACGAGCCAAAGACCGACGGGAAGAAAAGCGAAATGGGCGACGCCGTCGCCGCAGCGAGGACGACGAGTTCAAGCGACCGCCGACCCCAGAGCTGGACGATGAGCCGGTCTTGTACAAGGTGTATAAAGGCAAAGTCACTGGGGTCAAAGATTTTGGAGTGTTTGTCAACCTACAAGGAGTTCGTGGCAAAGTAGATGGGCTGGTGCATGTCACGCAGATGCAGGAAGGTGCTCGAGTCAACCACCCTTCAGACCTCGTGTCCAATTATCAGGAAGTCAAGGTCAAAGTCCTCAAGTTGGAAAATAACAGGGTCAGCTTATCAATGAAAGAGGTGGATCAAGTCACCGGCCACGACCTTGCACCCCAGCGTCGAATCGCATCTGGCGCAAACATGGAAGGCCCACGAGGCAGCTCAGGCGGGAACGATCGATATTGGGGTCTTGTATCTGATGTCCCCGTCGTTGAGGGTGCCATGAACGGTAGACGTACTGGCACGCAAAAACGATTGACATCGCCAGAGAGATGGGAGCTCCGACAGCTCATAGCTTCAGGGGCTGTGTCTGCCAAGGACTATCCAGATCTCGATGAGGATTACCACGCCGCGATCAACGGTGATGGCGGTTTTGAAGAAGAGGAGGAGGTAGACATTGAGATTCGCGAGGAAGAGCCACCTTTCCTTGCAGGTCAGACGAAGCAGTCTCTAGAGCTCTCTCCAATCCGAGTTGTGAAAGCCCCAGACGGCTCACTTAATCGAGCTGCCATGGCCGGAGACTCCTTGGCTCGAGAGCGCAGAGAGATAAGACAACAAGAAGCCCAGGAAAAGGCCGCAAAGGATGCCTCCCAGGTCGACCTCAGTAGTCAATGGCAGGATCCAATGGTAGCTCCAGACCAGAGGAAGTTTGCGTCTGATCTGCGCAATACCAGAAACAACCAAGCCGGCGAAGTTGTGCCGGAATGGAAACGAATTGCTCAAGGAAAAGAACAACAGCTTGGCAAACGGACTGACATGAGCATCAAGGATCAGCGTGAGAGCCTTCCGGTCTTCAAGTTCCGAAACCAACTTTTGGATGCCGTGCGCGCACACCAGCTTCTCATTGTCGTTGGAGATACCGGCTCGGGCAAAACGACCCAGCTAACCCAGTACCTAGCAGAGGCTGGCTTTGCTAATGATGGAATGATTGGTTGTACGCAGCCACGGCGTGTGGCAGCCATGTCCGTCGCCCAGCGCGTCTCGGAAGAAGTAGGCTGCAGAATGGGACATGAGGTTGGCTACACAATCCGATTCGAAGACAACACAGGCCCGGATACGAAGATAAAATACATGACCGACGGTATCATGCAGCGCGAGATTTTATTGGACCCCCTCTTACAGAAGTACTCGGTTATTATGCTCGACGAAGCTCACGAACGTACAATCGCAACTGATGTGCTCTTTGGCCTTCTCAAGAAGACATTGAAGAGGCGACCTGATCTCAAGCTTATCGTCACAAGCGCCACCCTCGATGCAGACAAGTTCTCGGAGTACTTCAATTCAGCACCCATCTTCTCCATTCCAGGCCGAACATATCCTGTAGAAGTGATGTACAGTCGCGAACCGGAATCCGACTATCTCGACTCTGCGCTGGTGACAGCAATGCAGATCCATCTATCGGAGCCGATGGGAGATATTCTTCTTTTTCTTACTGGTAAAGAAGAAATCGACTCTGCCTGTGAGGTGCTTTATGAACGTATGAAGGGGCTTGGACCTAGTGTGCCCGAGCTCATGATTCTACCGATCTACGGAGCTCTCCCCTCTGAGGTTGCGAGTCGAATCTTTGAGCCGGCGCCGCCGGGCAGTCGCAAGATCGTTATTGCCACGAACATCGCTGAAACCTCTATCACGATCGATGGGATCTACTACGTTATAGATCCTGGATTCGTAAAACAGTCTTCATACGACCCCAAACTTGGAATGGACAGACTGCAAGTTGTACCAATCTCGCAAGCGAATGCAAAACAGCGCGCAGGTCGTGCTGGAAGAACAGGGCCTGGCAAATGCTTTCGGCTGTACACGGAGACCGCGTTTCAGAGCGAGATGCTGCCGACCACCATTCCCGAGATTCAGCGCCAGAACCTGTCGAATACTATCCTCATGCTCAAGGCCATGGGCATCAACGATTTACTTCATTTTGATTTCATGGATCCGCCGCCAACGAACACGATGCTTACAGCACTCGAAGAGCTTTACAGCCTAGGAGCTCTAGACGATGAAGGCTTATTGACTCGGATGGGTAGGCAAATGGCAGACTTCCCCATGGACCCGACACTCTCAAAGGCACTAATCTATTCCACAACGCTGGACTGTTCTGATGAGATGCTCACGATCGTGGCAATGATTTCAGCAACGCAGACGGTTTTCCACAGACCGCGGGACAAGCAGAACCAGGCGGACCAAAAGAAAGCCAAGTTCCACGACCCAAGCGGTGATCATCTCACACTGCTGAATGTCTACAACGCCTGGAAAACGTCGAAATTCTCCACCCCGTGGTGTCTAGACAACTTTGTCCAGCCCCGCAACATGCGCCGCGTCAAGGACGTCAGAGAGCAGCTAGTCACCATCATGGAGCGCCATAAGCACCGCATGGTTTCGTGCGGGCGCAACACCATCAAAGTGCGCCAGGCTCTCTGCTCTGGCTTCTTCCGCAATTCAGCTCGCAAGGATCCTCAGGAGGGCTACAAGACGCTTGTTGAAGGCACTCCGGTTGCACTGCACCCGTCCTCTGCGCTGTTTGGTAAGGCGGCTGAGCACGTGATCTACCAGTCTTTGGTCGAAACGACAAAGGAATATATGCATTGTGTCTCGGCGATCGAGCCGAAGTGGCTTGTCGAGGCGGCGCCGACGTTCTTCAAGGTGGCGCCGACGGATAGGCTCAGCAAGAGGAAGAAGGCGGAGAGGATCCAACCGCTGCATAACAGGTTTGCTGGGGAGGATGATTGGAGGCTGAGTGCACAGAAGAGGCAGGGCAGGGGAGGTGGTGGAACGTGGGGTTAAAAGTAGCTGGGTTAGCTAGTTGTGAGGGATAATTCCAGGCACGATGTAAAATCCAGTACCGTGCAAATTGAAAGCATTTACACACGCCTCGAAATCAAGGGTTGAGCTCTTCGTAGCCACACAACAAAATCACACTTGTTCTGATTCACAGTCCCCAATCCTTACTCAAACGATGTCATCACGCTACCAGAGCACTAGAACGCACGTCCTGAATAGGAAGATCGAGCAATTTTAGTCGCGATAGGTTAGGAACTCCACCGCCCTTCTGATTCACGACGTTAGATCCTAGACATCATGGTCGTATTACGTTCGAGGCTACAAGGCACCTCAAACGCTAGCACCACATTATCAAATCACTTGAGCACATGTCTTAAATAGGAGAATCGAGCAACTTCAGTAGCAACAGGTGACAAAATAAAACTAATGTCCGTCTCTGCGTGGCGCAACACCCACCGTGCCGCAATATATGAGGGGTACATCAACCTTGAACAACTTAGACTCTGTGCATACGTCGATATAACCCATAATTCTTATAATATATGTGCTGTGGCCACTCTACAGCCTATGGAACCCCTCCCATAGAAAAATTACCTTCGCATGGTCGCCTTCGCGCCCGATCTACGGAGAGCCTTCTTTCATGGCGTAGCCGAATTCCTTCACCACAGCACCACTATCAAGCTCTTATCACTCTTGATGCTCATGAAATGGTCACATCCGAGCCTGAGAGCCTTACTACCGTACTGGGAAGTCGTCATCAGCCTTGTAGCTGCTGTCGCACGCAAATTCATGCAAGGTCGCCACCCTGGTCGGTACTTCCGGCTGAAGCAATTACTAATTCGGGCTAGGGCAAAACGACCCCGCACGACCTATATAATCATTACGGTATAATTTAGTTACACGTCAGCCTTATGGCTGTTCGGACCTAATTTCGGACCTGGACTGATGGAAAGGCATTAAATCAAGATATAACTTGCGCAACTCCTATACTTTAACAACACTGCCCCAGTAGCAAAGACCTATACGCCTACTTAAGCTGTACTAAGCTAAACTCTAATAAACTGCCAGGCAATCGCGTCAGACTGCCAGTCTTCGACCATCGCCAGCTTCTCCGAACCGTTCTCCACCTTTATTCCGACCGGACGAAGGTCGTTCCAAAATAACGTGCACCAATTCTTATAATGCATCATGAGCAGGAGATATCCTCCCTCTGGCCTCTGTCCTACGCAGAAGTTCTCCCACAAATTTTGCCGGCTGACTGCGCAGCAAAGCTCCTCGTTCTTATCGTACCCCAAGAACATGCCCGACGCAGGATCCTGAAATCCAAGCCAACCTTTATTCTCAACACACTGCCAGCGAGTCATGATGTGGCTGCCAAGTGGACCTAATACAACTCGCCCCTGCTGAAATGTAATCACCTTTCCTGTCGCTACGGATTGGATGAGGAAGGACGAGCCAGGGCTCGGGACTGAGGAGCTAAGCGATGATTGAGTATTATCCTCCTTATCCAGTCTGTCACTAACGCCTCGGGAGGTCGTGGAAGGCGTATAAGGAAGGGACGCGGCGTCGGCTTGGTTCGGAGCCATGGTTCGTGTATGCCCACGTGGTTAATGACTGCAGGATCGTGAGTTGTAGTATTTTGTTGATGAGTGCTGATTTGTTAGTTCACTCCTCTAAACAATAATAGAGAGACAAGACTGACAAGGCAGTAATTGCGGGCTCCGTGGTACTACTATCTAGGCGTAAGTGCGGGGAAAGAGGATGCCAGCTGATAGAGAGCCAAGGGAATTAGTTAACTAAGGCTAACTGTTTCGCTTACATAAGATCTATTGTACCGCCATGGAAATCTAATACCGTGCTAAATCCTTTTGCTTGCGGGGCCCTTCGCACGGATAAATCCGGAATGTGTGCTTCTAGGGACCTATTGCCTTAAAGCTTAGAGGTATCTTATCAATTTGATGCTCTGAAGTTTGAAATTTTGTAGATGGTTGTGGTGCAGTAGGGGCGCAAAGCTAATGTAGTTCCGGATGCTCTGAAAGGAATGGTCGGCACTATAATCGTCATCGTTGTAGGGAGTAATGTCTAAAGAATAATGATAGATAGATTATAACTTAATGGAATCGCGAGGGAGAGAGTAAGATGCCTAAGTAATAGATTCATTGCGGCACGGGGGGTATTGCGCCACCCAGGGGGGGGACGTTATTCCAATTCACAACCTTGAGTCCTTCACGTCGTGTTTAGATCGCGCTCGAGGCCACGGGGGCACTCAGACGCGGTCACCACGCTGTCAAATCGCTGGAACGCACATCTTCGATTCGACATCGACCGGGGCCGAGGAAGATGAGGGCTGTCTAAACTGGTGTTTCACGTGCGCTCTAATACACGGTGCGAGACTTTACATGGTGTGTGAGATGTTTGGGCACATTGGAGGACTCTATGCGGCGCTGAAGTTCTATTGGAATCTATACGGAGTAGATTACAGGTGCTCCAATGTACAGCGCGAGGAACATTACGTCTTACCCGAAAACTTCTAGACCTGCTGGAGGACTTCATGCAACACTGACAAGAGAGCAATCTGATACTCTAACGTACGGAATGTATGGTCTCCTGGCATCCGTGAACAGACAGCACTTGACTCCGCACGCAGAGGAGAGGCAGAGGTCTGTGCACACCTTCCTGACGCCGTCAGAGGTATCAGGCATGTCAACACGATTGACTTACATCGCGCGCAGATTCCAGAAACGGTATCGAGGCACCCCAGACGACACCAGGAAAGTGTACACAAATGCAGTCAAGAAGACGCACTGACATTGCCTGGCGCCGTCTAAGGTGCGTCAGCAGGTGCCAGGCGTGTCAAAACGATTCACTTACACGTCGCTCAGATCCCGGAAGTGATATCGAGACACCTCAGATGGCACCAGCAATGTTTGATCGTGGTAGGGAAAGCGCCTCACAGGCTCGAAGCTGTCAGCGTCCAACGCCCCGGACAACGCCATCCAGGATATTCTTCACCCGCTTGCACCCTTCGATCCCTACTGCAAGCATTCCTTCAATCCGCTCCACCCTCACCCGTGTCTCCATCACTAGGACAGTAATCTTCTCACCACCTCCTACAGTGGCCAGCGTCAGGAAGGGTAGCTCCTGCTCCTCCATTGCATTCAAGTCAAGCAGCGGGTCTGAGACCTCATCACCGCCAGCAGATGCAGAAGTAGTGGGCGATGAAGCGGCCGTGCAGGCAACGAGATAGTCTGTCATGGGGACGCCCGCATCGACAAGTGCGAGGGTCGCAGCGTTGATGCAAGCAGCGAGGATGGAGCCGTCTTGTGAGAGGATGTTAATATGGATGGAGATGGTGCTGTGGGGGTAAAGGTGCATGAGTATGAGCGAGGAGAAGGCCGTAGAGAGGGTATGAGCCATTTCTGCTGTACGTCTACGCGTGAGAATTGGTTAGCAATGGAGGTGAGCGATGGGAAGAGCTCATGCCACCACTTACTTGTCTCCTTTGCCCCTCCGTTTCCTGTCAACGCCGCTGAAGCCCGCAAACCCAATCTCAACCTCCAGGTTCGCCTCGCCTTCTCTACCACCACTTCTCCCCGCGCCTGTATTTCGTCCCTCGGCAGGACCTATCACAGTGCATATCACTTGGGTATTTCCCATCTCCAGATAGCTGGATCCGTCGGCAGCAGCCTGTGTGGATGTTTGCGCGCGAATGCGGCGCAGCTCATTCCAACGACGGCCATCGAGGCGGAGAAGCGCTAGCGCATAGGTCGACGTATCAAGGGGCATTTCTAGAGGTGTGCGGAAAGCTCGAGTAGGTGAAGGGTCGTTGTTGTGGTATTGTAGTGAGGAGAAGGGAGGTTGTAGCTGTCAAGTGTTGAAAGAACGGAAGGCCTTTTTTAAGCCTGAGGTCGCACGAGTGCAGCGCTATTCTAGCGGCTCGCGGCCCTTGATATAAATAGGGCAGAAAGAGTGGTGTTTGAGGATGATCGAGGTGGGCGACAGAAGAAAAGCGATTGAAATGTGAGTAGGAGAAATGTGAGGGTAACAAAATAATCCGGCACGGATGCAGATGGAAGGCCGCCGCCGAGTTCTAGCCCCACCTGCGCGTGACTTCGTGATGTCGTGTCGTGAATCAGTCCCATTCCTCCATTTCTTCCATCCACCACCGCTGCGACCGCGGCCGTGGCCAACCTGAAAGTGAATCGTGGATGATGTCGCCCCTTGACAATTTTAGAATTGACTTTGATGGCGACCTATTTAGGGCACCTTTCTGGAACACCTCACACAAAGGTGCTAAGTACGCAGAGATGGCGACTGACAAGGACAGCCACGCCGGTAGCTCTGACAGCGATGACCTAGACATCATCAAGACAAGCAGAGCTCAGTTAAGTCTGTCACAGTATATCGATCATGTCACGCAGACGCAGAGTCAGCATGCATCCGCGGACGCAGGCTCAGATACCGCTGAAGACGTAGAAGACGACAGATCAAGGGATGAAGCAACGTCAGACACATCACAAAAATCGCCGAAAAGGATGAGGGTAGAATGGTCCGACGATGATGAGGCCCTTCCTACAAAGCGTACCGTAAGCAGGACTAAAGGGAAAGGAAAGGTTAAAGCCAAAGTGGCAGAGTCTGCATCCGAGGCTTCTGAAAGCGAGGACCCTGAGGCTGCCTACAACGCCTTCAAGAACCGTAAAACCGTCCAGCGGAAGAAAGTCGCAGCTGACACGCGTAAAGCTAAAGCAGCAGTCTCAAAACGGACATCCAACAAGACGGCTATCGTTGGGCGAAAACCGAGGAGACCCATGAAAGATGAGACTCCCGATGATCGCAAGAAGAGAAAGGAGTTTGGAATGGGTTCGGACTCAGCGCCGTCCTCTGAAGACGAACTTCCGAACGATGCACCCGAGTATGTCAAGCGCCGGAAAACAAAATTTGATAGAACGCAGGCGAAGAACTGGGGTGCTGCGTTTAGATTTGCGCCGGATTATGAGGATGTTGAGTTTTCTGAGGATGACGAAAGTCGCTTGCAGAAGAAGCCTCAGATGAAAGATATCAAACCCCAGAGAGTAAATGAAGACATCCTCATGGATCGCACAGGTGGCATCATACCAGCGCCGATTGCTCGCTGGCTGCGGGACTACCAGGTCGTAGGCGCGGAGTTTCTCCACGAAGCCTTTGTCCGCCAGCGAGGGGCTGTTTTGGGCGATGACATGGGTTTGGGCAAAACGATTCAAGTCATTGCTTTTCTCACAGCTGCATTTGGCAAGACGGCAGATGAGCGCGATAAGAAGAGGATGCGGAGGGTTCGCCGTATGAACGACGACCGATGGTATCCCAGGATTTTGATTGTTTGTCTGGGAAGTCTCATGCAAAACTGGCAAGACGAGCTGGACAAATGGGGCTGGTGGCAGGTCGACGTCTATCATGGACAACCAAGCGACCGAGAAGCTGCTCTGCAGGCCGCGAGCAGGGGAAGGCTGGAGATCATGATCACCACCTACTCAACATACCGGATCAACTGTAGTTCCATAAACACTATCGACTGGGACTGCGTTATAGCAGATGAGTGCCATACTATCAAATCTGGCAGCTCCGGCGTTACCAAGGCAATGAACGAAGTCAACGCACTTTGTCGCATCGGCCTCACTGGAACTGCTATTCAGAACAAGTATGAGGAACTCTGGACTCTCCTCAATTGGTCTAATCCCGGGCAGTTCCGCACACGTACTGAGTGGAAGTACGAAATCAGTGATCCACTGAAGGTTGGTCAGGCACATGATGCGACGAACGATCAACTTGCCAAAGCACGGAGAACCGCAGAGAAGCTCGTCAAGGACGTCCTACCGAATGTGTTCCTTCGCCGGATGAAGACACTCATAGCGGACCAGCTTCCCAAAAAGAGCGACAGAGTGGTCTTCTGTCCACTTACCGATATGCAGGCAACGGCCTATGAGAATTTCGTCAACAGTGAGATCGTGGAGTACATCAGTCGTTCATCTGACATGTGCGATTGCGATAGCGGCAAGAAGCGCGGTTGGTGTTGCTATATAGACGTTCCCGGTCATGGGCCCTGGAAGAACCTCGCCTTTCCCGCCATGATAGTTCTCCAGAAAATCGCAAATCATCTTGCCCAGTTACTACCGTCCGGTACAGATCCCCCAGAAAAACAGTCCAAAGACCTCGATATCCTTCAAATTGCTATGCCTGAGGAGTGGAAGGAGCTCTATCGCAACAAGGACAGCTTATTGAATTATTCCCGTCGCGCCTTTTGCGGCAAGTGGAAGATCCTGAAGAAGTTACTGGAATTCTGGCATTCAAACGGAGACAAAGTCCTTGTTTTCTCGCACTCTGTTCGCCTACTCCGAATGCTCAAAGCCCTATTTGACATCGACGGAACGCAGTACAATTTCTCCTACCTAGACGGCAGCATGAGCTACGATGACCGGGCCAAAGCAGTCGCAGACTTCAACGCCGATCCAAGCCGCTTTGTCTTTCTTATTAGCACTCGTGCCGGTGGTGTTGGTCTAAACATCACCTCGGCAAACAAGGTCGTTGTCATGGATCCCAATTGGAACCCTTCCTACGACCTACAGGCGCAGGACCGCGCATACCGCATTGGCCAGACACGAGACGTTGAGGTCTTCCGGCTTGTGTCGGCGGGCACGATCGAGGAAATCGTATATGCTCGGCAGATCTACAAGCAGCAGCAAGCCAACATCGGATACACAGCTAGTGTAGAGCGAAGATACTTCCGCGGGGTAGATGGCGAGAAAGGCAAGAAAGGAGAAATATTCGGACTGAAGAACCTATTTGCTTTCCAAAACGACGGATACGTCCTCCGAGACATCGTTAACAAGACGAATCTTGCAGAAGTCAAGGCCGGGGTTAGTGTCGTTGGAGTCGATCTAGAGCCCAACAGTGACGACGAGGATGACGATGACGAGAGTAGCGTCTTCAGTGATGCAGTTTTCAAAGAAGACGACGATGATGCTTCCGCTAAGTCGAACAGTCAAATCAAGAAATTCGCGCAGGCCTTCATCAGTGGTGGCGAGACAAGGGGCCGAAAGAGCAAGAGATCCAAGCACGGTCCTGACCCCGTCAAAGCCATCTTAGCCCGCGCAGGCGTCGAGTACACCCACGAGAATTCGGAGGTCATCGGCCAAAGTAAAGTCGAAGCAAAGTTGAGCCGCAAAGCACGAGAGCTGGCAAATGACATCGAGCTAGGGTCGAGAAAGGTGTTTCAAGTATCGCAAAGCCAGGCAATAAACGAGGACGGAGAAGAAGAGATTGAAAATAGTGACATGGACTCGGATGTTCAGGAGCTGAAGGTCAGCTATAAGTACAAACCGCCAGAGAAGGTCAGGATCAGGCAATTTTGCGAGATTGCGAGGTTTGCGGGGTGTGATAGTCCGGTGGACTTTGCGCTGGCGGTTGAAAGTATGACGCAGGAGGAGCGAAGGAAGATGCTGGACAGGTTTTATCGGAAGAGGAGGCAAAAGCTGTTTGGTATTGGTGGGGGATGAGATGAGTCTATTCATTTGTGCGAGTCTTTCCCATCACCGAGTCCTTGCGCTCCAAGTTTTCCTGCGATCAATATACCACGCCCCCCTCTCTCATACCTCTACCATAGTCTACGCCGTCCGCCTTCTTGAGGAAACACAGAAACCAATCGAGTTTGACAATCAAAGCAAAAGGCTAAGTCACATGTTGAACCAAGAAGCAAAACCTTACTACAGCCTATGTGATCATCGCAAGCCAAGTTTCTCGCTAAGATACAGCGCGTAGCTTGGTTTTATCAGAAGACTCTTTCACAGAAAAGGTTAGCTTAGCTAATGTCCGTCTCTGGGTGGCGCAACACCCCCCGTGCCGCAAGATATGAGGGGTACATTAACTTTAAACAACTCATACTCCATGCACACATCGATATTTCCTACAATTCTGTATAGGTCATGCGCTGTGGCCACTCCAGAGCCCTTAGAACCCCTCCCACGGAAAAAATACGTTCGCATCGTCGCCTTTGCACCTGATTTGCAGAGAGCCTTCTTTCAAGGCGTAACAGAATTCCTTCATCGCAGCACCATTATTGAGCTCTTATCACTCCCGATGGTCATGAAACGGTCTCATCCGAGCCTCAGAGCCTCACTACCGTTTTAGGAAGTCGTTATTAGCCTTGTGGCTGCTATCGCACGCAAATTTATGCGAGGTCGCCACCCTAGTCAGTACTTCCGGCTGAAGCAATTACTAAACCAGCTAGAACAAAACAACCCCACACGTCTGACATAAGCATCACGGTATAACGTGTTCTACATGCATGTGGTGGTTACAAGCGAGTGGTGGCGCTTAATTTTTGGTGCGATTTAGACGTTTTGACACCCCAGCAACCTCAACAACTATAAAAGATTTAAATCTATAACTTAGAATAAAGATATGCATAGCTGTTTCAATATTATAAGACAAATTTTTAGGGTCTCTT